CCGTTTCGGTAAGCGTATACGCGTCTACGGTAATATATAACTAAGAGAAATTTAGTACGCTCTTAATAGTAAGTAGTATTTAAAAATAGAAAAAATACGGATATTTAAAAAATAGTTAACTCGTATAATTAATCCTAAGTTTAGCGGGGATTAGAGATCTAAATACCTATTCTATAATATTAAACTTATAATTTATATTTTTTATAAATAGCGAGCTAATAGTCCGCCTAGTAATAAAAATAAATAGTTATTATTATTATAAAAGCCTTTTTAGATATATTATTACGTTTTCTCTTTTTTTTTTTCTTTTAGTATTAAGGCCGGCTATTATATATATATAACTAGATTAGAGGGGTAGATACTAAAGTTTATCTAATATATATAAAATAAAATAAAATTAGTAGATAGTAAAAGTAGCGACTAGTTTTATTTAATTAAGCGTCTTACGCTTTTTTTAAGAAAGAATTAATATTCGCGTAAAAAATCTAGAAGAAAAAAAAGACGTTTATTAGTTACTAGATACTAAGACGCTAGTATATAAATTAATAATATTAATCTTTTATTCTACGAATCGTTAGTCGTTAGATAGCGTAATAGTAGTAATAAAAAAGCGTAGATAAACGCGCGTATAAGAGACGTATAAACTAGTTTTACTTTATTTATTAGATAGTATAGGCGCGCGCGCGCGCGTAAGAGAAGATATATAAGCTAATTTTATTTTATTAAAACTAAAAACTATCGTAACGCGGGCGTATAGCCCGTTTATTTTTAATATTATATCGCGGACGACGCGCGCGTTAGACGGTAAAAGTTACTATATAAAAAATACTTACTAGAACGCGGCGCGTTAGACGCATAAGATTACGGGCGGATATAGCGGGGTTTCTATAAATATATTATATAAATATATCGTATCCTTCGCTAGAATATAACCCGGCGAAGCTTTAGTAGCGCCGTAAATATACCGTACTAACGGTATATTTACGCCTTTTAGTTAGGGATCTAAATATCTATTCTATAGTGTCTAGACGGCGAGCGTTTACTAGTAACGGCGGCGGTAAGCGTTTACTAATAACGACGGCGGCGAGCGTTTACTAATAATAGCTACGGCGTTTACTAGTAGCGGCGGCGGCGAGCGTTTACCAGCAACAACGGCGGTAAGTACTAGTAACGGCGGCGTCGAGCGTTTATCAACAACAGCGGCGGCGAGCACTAGCAACGGCGGCGTTTACCAGCAACAACGGCGGCGAGCACTAGCAACGGCGGCGGCGAGCGTTCACTACTAGCGGCGAGCACCAGCAACGGCGGCGGCGGCGAGTATTACTACTAGTAGCGACGGCGGCGAGCGTTCACTACTAATAACAACAGCGGCGGCGGCGGCAAGCACTAGCAGCGGCAACGGTAAGCGAATACTACCGGTAGTAATTACGAACCGTAATTACTACCTCACCATATCACGAGTGATAAAGCCCCAGCTTCGCTGGTGGACCCTCTGTCGATAGATTCTACCTTCGCCAATCTATCGACAGCTCATGTTACCCTCATCCCGCACTACTACCATTGGGGCGTCCTCTCGCCACGCGCCCATAGATGAAGCTGTAGTCCTGCAGAAAGCCGCCACTTGGGCCAGCTGGGTGAGCGATGGCAACAGGGTGGTCATAAGAGATGAGACCCGCGTCCGCGAGGCCCTTCGCCTGCTGGCTGATGAGGGCAACACGGAGCCATACCCCGTCGCTGTGCGGCAGGCCCACGCCCTCGGTGGTAAAGAGCTCACCGTCATGCTTGCTCTAGCAGTCGGCAAATCGGCCTTCCGGGACATGAGGCAGGAATTGAGGCGGGGGCTACCGGACGTGCTTCTAAAGCAGGGTTGCCATCGGTCGACCTGGATCCAAAAGTATGTGCGCAAAGTGGAGCGCCGTGTCTCGCCAGGGGGCAGATCAACAGAGAACGAAGAGAGTAGTGACTGCAGCGAGACTGCCTCGGTGGCGACAGGAGCAAGGGCACCGTCCAACGAGCCCCAAGCACTGCCCTCGTCTAACCCGACATCCCCTGTCATGCTACAGCCGCAAGATCGGACAGGTGAGATTGACTGACCACGATAGAGAGGGCTAGACTGATAGGTACATAGAACTCACTGGAAGCGTGTATGAGCTTACCCCGGTCGACGTCCTCGAGCTCGCAACGGGCCTCATCACCCAAACGCTCAGCTGCCCAGGACAGATCTTGCTAACGGAGCCATTCCATCCGTTAGCAAATCCGTTCGTCACCATACCTATTACGAACCAAGTCTGCCTCTACCTTCGCAATAAACGGAGACAGGTCATGTAGCGGGTGAGGGCTTAACGAGATATCTTATTTTAATCGAACCGACCGCGTAGTACTGCCACTCGTGCTGCCATGGCCAGACCAACAACTGCGCCTCGCCTTCTGTTACCATTTGATCGATTACGTCGATGCCCCACGGTGCTTGGACATATTTCCCAATGACAAACTTGCCGCCTGGCGCGCTAATATCGACGAGGATGGCCACGGCATTGCCAGGCGCGCTGATGGTCTTAGACGTATCCCTTGACTCGCTCGAGACCGTGCACTGGTCGTGCTTTAGCTATGCGAAGTCAGTAACGGAAGGATGACAGGTAAAGCCACCAACTTGCCTGGGCCTTGCCGAGCTCCACCAGCTCCTCATCGGTCGTAGATTTCTTGACCTTGATGGGGATCTCCATCGGCCGTGGATGCGGAGAAAAGGGGGAATGCGGAAGCGCTTGGGGGGAGAAGGGTGGAGGCTATGGGCGTAGTGGTGGTGGTTGTAGTGGCGGTCGCAAGATTTGTGCAGCGGGTGCGGGGTAGTTCGCCGGCGGAAACAAGCTAACCCCGGAATGGGTGGCTTCCTACAGGGCCTCCAAGGTTCGGTATAGATGAACTGTCTCTTTTGGGGTGATAATCTTTTGGACCCCACGCGAACCTTGACAGGCTTATCAACGCATCCATGCAGCAGAAGTACAAAAGGGGTGCGTGGTCGGATAATCCCCACAAGGCTAACCCTATCCAGACATTGCGAAATGGGCGCGTGCGCCCAAGGCGACAGGGTACGGGAGCAGACACTTGAGCGGAGCAAGGCTTTTACGTGTAGCAGACCAAGTGTACATTCGACCGTGCATCGAGCGAATCAGGCAACTTCCATTCCGGGAAGATGGCTGACTGAACATGTCCGTACTGCGGAGATCCGACATCTATAAGTTCCCGTAGAAGCACCCGGTTCTTCACCCGCAATCAGCAACACCACCATGGCGTCCGAAAAACCGTTGAAGGTCCTTATCGTCGGCGCCTCAACTTCAGGCTTGACCTTGGCCCATTGCCTTGACCGAGTCAACATAGACTACGAAATCTTCGACGGCCACCCGGTCGCTCCTCCCGTCGGCGCCTCCATCTGCCTTCTTCCAAACGGTGTCGCCGTGCTCGACCAGCTCGGTCTGTACAAGAGCCTCGCCGCCATCACAAGGAAGCTTAAGAACGTAGCCATATATGCCTCTGGCGGTCGACTGATCAAGTCCACGAACGATGGCGATCTGCTCGAGCAAAGGCATAAAAGAACCACCCCCTGTCCTTCTGGTAGGGGAAACTGACCATTGCTGCTTAGTGTCGGCTACCCCGGCTGCATGCTCCCCAGGCAAGCTCTCGTCCAAATGCTCTACGACCACATCGCCGACAAGTCCAAAATCCACGCAGGAAGCGGCAACAAAGTCCGCCGAGTCGAGCACCGGGACGATTGCATCGAGCTGCACACCACGGATGGCGCCGTCATCCGCGGCGATCTGGTGGTCGGATGCGACGGCGTCCACAGCACCATCCGATCTGAAATGTGGCGCATCGCCCGCGCCGCGCAGCCCGAAGCATTCGCCGAAGACGCATCCGGTACGCCCCTCTGCAATTAGGAGAGACCGGGCTAATCGAAGAAACAGCCTTTGCATCGGAATATCGCTGTCTCTTCGGCATCTCGGGCCCCGTTCCCGGGATGGGGCCCGGTGACAGCCATCTCACCACCGGCAAAGCCGGCTATCTTCTTTTCGACGGGGCGAACGGCGACGTGTTCTGGTTCCTCTACGAGAAGATGGACAGGAAGTACACCTGGCCCGACGTGGCTCGGTTCACCCCTCAGCAAGGCGAGGCGCTGGCGGCCGAACACGTGCACGACGTCATCACCGGCGAGATGACCTTCGGCGACGTGTGGAAGGCGCGGAAGACGTTCGGCCTGCTCCCCATGGAGGAGGGCGTTATGAAAAACTGGCACTGGGGCCGCATTGCCGTCCTCGGAGACGCCGCGCACAAGGTTCGTCTCTCTCTCTCTCTCTCTCTCTCTCTCTCTCTCTCTCTCCGTCGTCGTCGTCGTCGTCTGCCGGCTTTGCTGCTGACGTGTCCAAGGTATCTGTGAATGCGGGCCAAGGCGGCAACAGCGCAATTGAGGACGCCGCCGCTTGTGTGAACGCGCTGAACGCGGCCGTCAAGGCGTCTCCGTCACGCGGCCTGTCTTTGGCGGAAATCACGACCGCGCTGGGCCGATACCAGGACGCTCGACTGCCGCGCATGTTGAAGATCGAATGCCTGTCCAGGGACCTGTGCCGCATCCAAGGCGCCGAAGGCATCAAACACTCCCTGTTCGTGGCGGTTTCTTGGCTCAAGAGCGCGCCTTGGATGGAGATGCAGGAGGACGTGGTGCGCGGGGCGGTGACGCTGGATTTCTTGCCCGCATCGACTCGGTATATCAAAGCGGCGGCACTGCCGACGGAGCAGGGCGGCTTCTTTTCCCTGGCCAGTCTCCTCGTCCTAAGCGCTGGCTTGCTTGCGGGAGTTGGCATTGGCGTCTTTCTGAACAAGATTCCTATCGTCGGTTAATGATAGATATGAATGCGATGGAAAAATTAGCAAGTGGAGAGAGGCCCACATAGCCTGTCTTGTCTTCGGTGTTACGACATTTCTGATAGTTGATGGCCTTGTGCAGTCAGAGGTTCGTCGGGTAAGGAGTCAGCGATGCGGTAGACGAGCTTGTACATACATATGAGAGAAGATCTACATGCGGATAAGAAGGCGTGGCGAGAGGGTGAAGAGAGCACGCGAGACGAGGAGCGGGGGGAGGTCTGCCCGCGTTCGCCTCCCCCTCTTCGCCTCTCCCTACTCGCCTTGCTACTAACTCGCTACATCAAGGTGATACCGGTGGGTGGCTCAGAACATGGTGTTGCCATCGCTCCCCAGCACGCTGTTCTGCTCACGCCGTTTTTCGGCGAACAGCGAGCAATGGTCGCCCTCCTGCGCCTGGCCTCACTTGAATCCGGTCCCGCGATCCCATCTCCAAGAACTGAGCGTCCGTTTCCTCTACCAACCCCCGCCTCGAGACATGTCAGACTGCGCCCAAAGCACCACCGCCAGCCGCGCTACCGGAAAGTTCACCGCATGGCTCATCCGCATGCCGCAGACGCCCGTCGATATCATCCGGCCATTCCACGTCCCGGGCGGTCGTGAAGCAAAATCGTCCGGACGTCGATCCGGGAGTATCGGCAACAAACCCCCACATGAGCGGGAGCAGGTGCGCATCTCGGTCATCGGGGTGTGCGTGGCAAGCCGCACTGATTGCGGCGCTGCAGGTGAAAGCCAGTGGCATCGGGTATGGCTTGCCGTCGTACTTGTTGAAAATGCCAATCGAGCATACAGCGATGAGGATTGTGCTGATGAGGATCAATGATAGAATCAATCCCATGATGGAAAATCCTATAACGGACGCATCCAGCGTTGGGTCTCGTTCAAAGTCCGGGGACACGTAGGCAATCGTCTGGACGGTGAAGATGCTCTGCGAGATCAGCCAATGTAGGATACTCGAAGAGAGCGACAATGGGATGCCGTATCTAAACGGGAGGGAGAGGAAGTAGGAAGAGCGCTGGATGCCTTTGGGACAGGAAACTCGGACCGTTCGCCGTTTTACAAGGAAACTGTTCCACTCGGCTGCCGCTAGCAGGCTCGTCAAGACGCTGTTGTACAGCAGATACTGGCCACTGGCGATGAGCTGAAAGACGTTGGCAAAGAATACCGTTGCGAAAAACCCGCCCGTCTGACCAAGACTCCGCATGAGGGTGCCGAACGCAAGTGAATGTAGCTGAGTTGTTCCAACGCCGTACCTCCATAGGCCTGCAATGCCGACATCCAGTCTACGGTACTTCAGGCCCTTGGCAAATTGTGCAATTCCAGTTGCTGCACATACCAGCAACAGGAGTGTGCTATTTCAACTTAGCCTAAGCTGCACGAAAGCGGACCAGGCCCGACTTACGGAAGTATCGTTGCCAACCACCGTCTCCGACTCGCAGCATGGTACCATCTGCATGGTTCTGGTAGTCCTAACTGGGGTTTCCTTCTTTTCCCAGACCGCCTTAGGAAGTCTTCCTTGGCTGCCAGAACCATGGATCTAGTCTCCGGGTCATCTTCCTTGAGGAAGGATGACACCGCATCGCCAATTGTTACAATCGGAGCTTTTTGAGGATCAAAATCATCAGCAACCCAGAGCCTGCTCCACCTCTCCCATAGATGGGCTCGAGGGCCGTCATTCCGCGACGTCGTACCCTGCCACCCTTTCGGCTGGGCCTGATGCAGGTGGATGTAGGCGGTATAGGATATACACACAGACTTGATTAGGCTGAGCACGCAGACAACGGCGAGGATGATGGGACTGAAGCGCAGTGCGCACAGCTTGTCCATCCGCTGAAAGTCTTCGCCAGCACTCAAGCAGTAGGCAACCCGAGACCATATGGTGGAAATAACAACGTCGTTGTACCACCGAATTCCTTGGACGCTCCAAGACGATGCAGGTTCGAGAAGTTCTTCCCTGCACCACACGGGCGTGTCAAATGACGTGTTCGCAGCGTTCTGAGGGGTCCTCCACCTGGAGCACATCCAGGCACTTGCGAGACCCCAATCCGTTCCTCTGGAATTGGGCTCCACGTGCAGCAAGGAAGAGCCAGGGTTGTCCGAGATTATCGTCTTGTGATCGTGCATGGATATGTTGGCGCTGACAAGAATAACGTCTCTTAGGCCTGCTGGACGGTTGATGTACCGCTTGATGCAATCCGCGTTGTCCAGCCGATGCAACTTGCTGATGTTTTCTCGCATGGCGTTGACCTGTGGGGGAGCAGCCAACCAAGGGCTTGGGTCCGATAGAAAGTCGTGCGATACGTGAACAACGTCATAAGAGCTGACCGATATAGCGGCAAAGATTGCCGAGTTCCACCTATCAAAGTTCAACATTGACAATAGCTACGGGTTGGGGAAGCTGCTGGCTTACGTCAAATGTAAAATCGCGGAGCTAAGCATTAGAAGGAACCAGGTAATGCTCCGGTTCCAGGGGATCTTACGCAGATTCCGGATACTGGGGATGCCGATGTCAAACCAATCGCCCTTACGATGAGCCTGTACCGCCTCTTCTCTCGTAGGTGCGGCAAGCAACTGAGCGCAGTAGTTGCTAGATCCCTGTAGGGCCGTCGAGAGGATGTTGATTCCCAAGTGCAGCCACCTGTTGTATGTCGCTATTGACGAGCAACTCCGGTCCGACGGTGGCCCGAAAATCTGACCGGTGGTGAGCGTGACCTTATACTCCCGTATTGCGTACAGGAGAACACTCAGATTGAAGAGGAATATACACGCGGCGATGATTTGATGAAGGATTAGTGCGACACGCCGATCGGAGAAACGACGCTTCCAGGTTTTGGCAGCATCGTTGTCGGGGTCAACGAGGGGAAACAAGTGTTTCAAGCGACTGATGGATCCGAAACGCCTGTAGAAGTTAGAAAATCTCCATGCGCAAGCTGCTACAATAGAAGAGGCAAACTCTTCATCGTCATTGGCTGAGCGCGCGCCCACATCAGTGGGTGTTGGTGAAATTCCCACCGTATCTTCGACAATACCCATATCTGCCTCGGAAGTCGGCGGCGGAGGATGGTGTGCTACGAGGCTCAGCTCGCGTATGTCTTGTCCAGCATCGCTTGGATCTTGGGCGGAAGAGCCTGTAGTGGAAGTGGGGACATCGAAATCGAGATGCTGGAACATGGTTGACCATTCCTCGAAAAATAAAGCGCTTTCTCCATCGGCGTCCGACATCTTGGATGGGTTTGCAATTGAGGCAGACTGAAGGACAATTGCAACGCCTCTTTAAAACATTTCTCGCACAGACTGCCGTAGCCGTAGCCCATGATATCTATGTTAGGAACACGACAAACACAGCCCCCGTGGCAAGCCCAAGCGACGAATACGATAGACGCAGGGTGCCCAGTAAAACCTACAGACATACATGCACTGGAAATAGTATTCCAATATTGCTGCCTCGAGATAACCCAGACCAGCGGTGCCAGCCTTGCCGTCAATTCTATGCAACAGACAGCTTAATAACCGTGGCAATGCTCCGTGCGCCTGCCGGCCGGCTGGTACCACCGAGTGCTACCATGCCTTGTTCCCAGCCGAGTTCGTGGTACCTTCCCCGCGCTACGTTTAAAGAACGGAGCAGGGTGAGGGCGACAGGGGCAGATGGCAATCGTACCCCGAAACACGACGGGTTCGATGCACATCGGGTCAGGCCGGATGCAACGGTTGTGCAGTAGCTTCCGCTTTGGTCTGTACTTGCGCAGGCAACCGCCCCACAGCGACTCGCCGAATTTGCGCGACTCCTCAACTGGCCTTTAGAGTGTCCCTTTTTGTAATCTCCCCTCGAACGGCTGGGGTTCGGCTTTTCTAGCGCCTGACCATCTTTCAAACCCGTCTACGGTGGTCCGCCTCGCGCGGCTAGGGTTCAGTGTCCGTCGAATCTTCTACCGAAATGCACTCTAGGGAAAAAGAGGAAGTTGAGGAACTCTGTATCCACCATTCTCGAACATTACGGTTTAAACTCTACTGCACACGAGGCTAGCCGAGGGGTTGGATTTCTAGGGCAAGAGTCGTAAGTTTCGTTAGTAGGTTCCACTAGGCAAGGTCTGATTCAGCTTTTGCATCGACCTCTTGTCCAGACAAACACATAACAGGAAGTAGAAGGCGGAATATGAAACATTTGGCATCCAGCCCTCAAGGGTCTCCAATATCCAGCGCCGGAATGGCCATACACATATAGCGCAAAGCCTGGATGGCCGCCGGTAGGATTGTGACAGCGGCCAACACCCAACGTCATCTCACGCCAATGACAATGGCAACCCTCCCCTATGCTTTTCGTGGTTCGAGAAATAATCCCCCGGAATGATGCGTTCCGTGGAGGATTGTAGATGACATGCCAGCCGGACTTTGCAGCAACGTCCGAACACATCAGCCGGTGTTAAGACATTAAACCCGCCACCCTCACACTCGGTCACTGTATATGATGTTTCCGTGGCATCAAAATAAAAACTCCAACTCCTCCACCAACTCTCCACAATGGCCAACCAGCGCATCTTCATCACCGGTGGCAGCGGATTCGTTGGCTCCGCGGCAATCGAACTGGCCATCTCCCGCGGCTACCAAGTCCACGCACTGTCTCGCTCCGAGAGCAGCGACGCCAAACTGACAAAGCTGGGCGCAGTCCCCGTGCGGGGCGACCTGCGCGCCTTCGACGTCTTGCGCCAACAGAGCGCCCAAGCCGACATTGTGCTTCATTACGCCGACTCCTTCTTTGACAACGTCGCCCAGGACTACGCCGGTGTCGTGCGCACCGACAAGGCCGCCGTGGACGCCATGAGCGCCGGGCTCGAGGGCAGCAACAAGCCCTTCGTCATCACCTCCGGCTCCCTGGTCGTGGCCTCCACCGGCGCCGAGACGAGCGAGGATTCGCCTCTGTGGGAGAAGCCGCTGAACGACCGCATCCTCAGCGAGCGGCACGCCCTGGAGCAGTGCAGCAAGGGGATCAAGGTCTCCGCCGTCCGCCTCGCGCCCTTCGTCCACGGCCGAGGTGCCAGCGGCGTCAAGAGGGTCATGACCATGTTCTCCAACGCCGGCAAGGCCATGTACGTCGGCAGCGGCGATGTCGTAACCTCGGCCGTGCACGTGGACGACGCGGCGGACCTGTACCTCCTGGCTGCCGAGAAGGCCGAGGCCGGCGAGGCTTTCAATGCCGTGGCGGAAAATGTAACGATGCGAGACCTGGCGGAGGCTATCGGAGACGTGCTCCAACTCCCGGTGAACTCGGTCTTTTACGACGATGCTGCAGCGCAGTGGGGCGAGTTCTTTGCCCGTTTCCTGAGCACGGAGAACTGGGCATCGGGGAAAAAGGCGGCAGACAAGCTGGGCTGGGGGCCAAAGGGGCGGCGTATTCTTGATGATGTCAAGACTGGTTCGTATGTTGCGGTCGCTGGGGAGATTGGTCATCGCTGAAATGGTTTTCACTTAGGAGGTTTTATTCTTAGTCGGTAGTGTCTTATTCTCAGCATAAGGCGTGTCTGGGTGGTATGGAAATCGACCGTGGTGACTATCACTGATTCCCATTTCGTGGCTACATACCAGCGGAGAAGAGAGGGCTTCGCTGATGTGTTTTTTTAAAGTGGAGACTTGGTGCAGACAAACGCTACAGACATTGAATCCGTGTCCGGTATAGCTCAAGACCCCCCAGGCATGAACCCCAAAAGGAGCATGCCCCAGTTCCCGTTTACAGCTTTGTAGTGCTCGGCTCACTCCTTTTAGAAAGTGCCTTCAGTTCCGTGCCTTCGTGATTGGACTCTCGGCCCGTAGCACCGACGCTGAGATCGCTCTGATCTGGCTTCTCTCCATCCTCATCCTCCTTCAGTCCATACTCCGTCACCAGCTCTTTTCTTAGCGGAACCTCCTTGATGAACACAGCAATGGGCACCGCAACCAGTGTAAACGCAATCAAAACCTGCCATACCTCCTGGATGCCCGCCGTGTATATATCCAACAACTCTCTCTTCAGCTCCGGATTCCCATCAAACGACTTGATAAACACTCTCGTCGCATGCTCGTACGCCCCGCCCCTTGCCAGGACATCTCGGGTGGCTTCGTCACTCACCTTGTGCAACAAGCTGTCGACCCTGGAATTAAACACGGCGGCCGGTATCGCCGCGCCCCAGATGCTGCCGAAACTCCTCACAAACGCCCACGACGCCGTCGCCACGGCGACATCCGCCTCGGCCAGCGGAGCCTGCACCGCCGGCAGCGTGGCCGTCAACGCCAACCCGCCGCCCGCCCCGGCAATCACCTGAAACACGACCCACTCCGCCGTCGTCGAATTCGCATCCAGCGTTGTCAGCAAGCCCGCGCCGATGGACAGCAATGCGTATCCCCCCACCATCGTGGGCTTGTACCGCCCCGTCACCGCGATCGTGATGCCCCCTGCGATACCCGCCGGCATGAGGGGTATCACGATGGCGAGCAGGTCAACACCCGACCGCAGCGGGGACGCTTCCAGCAGGACTTGGAAGTAGACGGGCAAGAAAAAGGACAGCCAGGACATTTCGATGCCGTGCAGGAATGTGAGGATGTACGCGAGAAGCGACGTGCTGTTCGCGTATACGCGCAGCGGCATCGTCGGCTCGGCCGCGTACCGCTTCTGGTGATAGAGGAAGGCGGCGAGCCCGACGATCCCGATGAAGAGCGGCACCAGGATGTGCCAGGACGACCAGGTGTAGAGGGTCCCGCCCCATGTCAGCGGGATCAGCACCGCGACGACGGAGGACATGAGTAGGATGTTGCCGGTGAAGTCGATGCGGGCGAGCCGCGAGGCCAGCGTGCCTTGGTGGCTCGAGTTGACCCGCAGGAAGAGGATGACGAGGACGAGGGCGACGCCGGCGATGGGCAGGTTGATGTAAAATACCCAGCGCCACGAGATGTTGGATACAATCACCCCGCCGATGATGGGTCCGATGAAGGTCCCGATCGCGAAGGTGCCCATGACGATGGACATGTACTTTTGACGGTCGCGCAGCGGGACCAGGTCCGCCACGATGATGTCGACCATTACAAAGAGACCGCCGCCGCCGATGCCTTGGATGAGTCGCGCGGCAATGAGCATGGCGGTGTTGCTAGCGCCGCCGCAGAGTCCGCTGCCCAGCGCGAAGAAGACGATGGAGAGGATCCTGTGTCGTGGTTAGTCAGGGCGGATTTTTTGCCATGTCGCTGGAAGCGGAAGGAGATCATACATGGGCATTCGGCGGCCGAACAGATCAGAGAGTTGCCCCGCGATGGGTTGTACGGCTGCCGTGGTGAGAAAGTAGCCATTGACGGCCCAGACGTAGAGGGCACCCGAGTGCAGAGACGCGACAATGGTGGGCAGTGCCGTTGCGACGATGGATGTGTCTAGGCCGGCCAGCAGGATGGAGAAACAGAGGCCCGGGAAAACGGCCCAGAACCGCCAGCCGTGGGTCTGGCGCTTTGGAGCAACAACGGCGGTCAAGTCGGACGCAGCCATTGTGTCGGCGAGGCTGTGAAAGGCCAAGGGCGGCGAAGTAGAGGTGGCTCAGGGCGATAGATCTGAGCAGAGAACGACAATGGCGGGAGCGGGCGGGGAAAGATGCAGAGGGAGGGAGAGGGAGCACGACTTCACAATGATGGAAAGTCGAGTCGCGCCCTGGCGGCTGCATGAACGCTAGCTTACAACCGCACCAAAGGTCAATGCGGCACGGGCCGGGGTGGCAGACATAGACAGACGGGATGCAGGGTTTTACTGGTCTCTCACAGCTGCATGGAACGCTTGGCTAAGTGTTGGTTACACGGAATCCTTCGAATCCTCCATTCCAGCTACCCCGCCACCATCCGACATCCCCACATCCCCATCTTCCTGCACCGTCTGTGTTGCATTATTGCATAATGAGGATTCCAGTGGCGTTTACCCGTTCGCTCAGGCCTGTCTGGCTACACGGCGCACGCGGAATGGGTTCGCCTTCTCCGGATGATAGCCGGAAAAGTAGTCTTCAAAGACCAGATCCTCGGGCCGCGTGCCGTGCACCTCCAGATCGCCGCCCAGACTGCGGAACATGGTGGCCACAGTGACGTACAACTCGCAGTAGGCCAGCCTGGTTGGTTCGTCAGCGAGACGTGCAGGCTTGCAGCAGAGAAAAGTCAGTCGGTACTTACGGCATACCGATGCACTGCCGGCTATCTTTGCCAAACGAGACCAGGTAGGGGCTCAGCCTACGCGTCGCGGCAGGGTCCATCCATCGGCCTGGGTCGAACTTGTCGGGATCGGGGAAGATTGACGGCGTGCGGTGCATCGTCCAGCTCGACATGCCCACGATGCTCTGTCCCACGACATGCGGTTAGCACACAACCAGGACCGGCCTGGCCGTAAGTGACAACATACCCCGGCTGGAATCTTATGCCCGTTGAAGACGGCACCCGGCTCAGGCACCACGCGGGGCAGCCTCCCGATGACGCCATACGACAGCCGCAAACCTTCCTTTATCACTGCTGCCTGCAGGGTCTCATCAGCCGTACCGAGCGTGGGGGCCAATGTGCTCTCTCAGCTCACCAGGAACGGAAGCTTCTCCAGCGACGCCCACTGCATCGGTTGATGCTCGTCAGGGAATGCTTCCAGCAGCTCCGCACGCAATCCGTCACGGATTTCTACGTTACTGAGCACATGGTAAGCAATCATGGATAAGGCGTTACCGGTAGCAGCCGCCGCTGCCACGATGATGGTCAGTGCGATGTCCGTCATGTCGTCCACGCTCGGTGGTCGGGACGCATCGCCGTCTCCCTGCGTCATTGGCGTCGTCAGTAGCTCGTGGAAGATGGATCGTCGCAGCGGCCTGGCCTGGCCCGAATCCACCTGCTTCTTGGTATCCGCCACTTTCTGCCGTGTGCCCTGCCAACACCGCCATCAGTCAGTCGTCAGGACCCCCACCCTCTCTGCCAACGGTACCACTTACATCGACCAATGCATTGTAGTGCTTGATGGCAGGATTGATCTCGGAAACCCAGCGCGGCAACCTCAACGCAACCGCCTCCACCGTCGCCGACTGCATGAAGAACCAAAACGAACGCAGCACCCCCCTCACCATTCCCGCAAACGCCTTGCCGTAGCCCTCGGCATCGAGCAGCCCGTAGCAGTCATCAAACGCATACTCGCTCGCCACGTCCACGCTCAGCGCACTGAACAGGTCGTGGAGCTCGCAATCGCCCTTCGTATCCAGCTCCCTCCGGAGCCGGGCCACGAGCACGCGGGCTTTTTCTTGCACGAGCGGCTCTAGGCTCTGCACACCCCGCCGCGAGAAGAACGGGTTCACGGGCGCCCGCCGCGCCGCGTGCAGCCGGTTCGGGATCGTCGTGAAGAAGGCGGCCGGCGCGCCGAAGACGCGGTAGTAGGACGCCGCTTTGTAGTACTTTGTCCCCACGTGGTAGATTTTGCCATAGTTGGAAGGGTCGTTGAGCGAGACTTCCGACGGCGTGATGCGGACCACGGGCCCTGTGCGTGGTGCCATGATGCTTAGCGCGGTGCCGAGGCGAGGGAAGCGTCTGCCTGCTGAGAATGGTGCTACGTACCGTACTGCTCGTGCAGGTGGTCAATGTGCTGGTAGAACCGGCTCTCGTTCCTGTAGTAGCAGTAGAATGTTTGATACAGCTGGGTTATCGCGGCAAGCTTTGGTCCTGGGATGTTGGCGAGAGGGTGGAAGGTGAGTCGGTAGATGGCAATGGTGAGCGTGTAAGCTAGAAGCCCGAGGGCTAGAAGAGCTTGGGGAGACATGATGGCAAGTACAGCAAGTGTAGCCGGAGGAATCATCGTGATAATGTGGTTTTCTCGTCTCCAGCGGTGTTTGATGTCGTTGAACAGAGTCTTTTCACGTTTGAATGCGCCATAAAATACCCTTGCTTCGCCCCTCTTCGGATAGACCTCTATTTGTGTCGCCTATTTTGTTTTCTTGATGTATGCGTATGACACACGACTTATCCCTGACGCAGCAGCCGGCCCCCAGCGGACTCGGCTCTGCAAACGGAAGGTGGATAGGTAACAGGCGGAGAGCTGACATGTCTTCATGCATGTGAGTATGTGCTTTGCCGCACGCACAAGAGTTGGACGCCTTACTTCTCACCCCAGTGATCCTTCGGCAGCCACATGTTGCTCGTGGCGTGACCGTGATATTTGGGAATGTGCACAGCGGCAAGCACCGTGAAGTTATTGACTCATTCCTCCCGTGGAAATGGGGTCCAGCTCGTCTCGAGTTGGACCACGAGAATAGAAGCATAGCTCTACCTTGGAAAGCGGGAGCAAACGGAGAAGCTCAAGCCTACCTCACTCCAAGGGCTATTGGGGTGAACAATGTGAGTGTAGTGGTTCGAGCTTAATCTTTGCGCATCAGCGAAACAGGAGAAATCATTGGAAATTGCAATATGCATTTAGACAATTCTGTAAGACTGCCAGTACTCTAGTTATGGAAAAGCATCCTGTCGACTGCCCACTGGATTGCCTCGGCAACCCTGCTCACTGTCGCCCCCTCTCGTGGTAGCTGATGGCCTCCATCATGCGTGACCACCTGCTGAATTCTGGAGTTGCAAATTCCTGCCAGGTTTTTCCCATGATCAAGGTACTCGTCTTTAAGTCCAATAACATGAACGGTCGGGATGTCAATTTGCTGGGGGTGCGTCGACGGATGGTAGCGGAGAAGAACATCGACACTCTGCGGCAGCGCTGACTTCTCAACCTGAGGTCTCCTCGCCTGGAACTCTGCAATTACGCCAGCAGTGCGGCAATCGTTCAGCCAATCCTGCTTCCCGCCGTCCAATTTCGTACCATCAATGTCCTGGTGAGTCGCCGTCAGGGTATTGTCCGCCTCGCACGTGAGACGTAGCTTTCCGGCGGAAAAGTCAAAGGGCATGGTCGCAGAGAGGAAGATGGCCACCTTAAACGTCTCGGCCAATGGGTCTCTCTCAGCTTCGGCTGCAATTACCGTCGCCGCGAGCGCAGCTCCTTGCGAGAAGCCAATGACTCCATCAAACGGTCCCTCCTCCCTTATGACCTCCTTCACGAGATCCACGGCGTGCTGAACATCTTCGGGAATGGGCTCTTCGTGGTAGCAGACATAGGGACCCGGAAAAACTGCGTCAATGCCTGAATTAGGTGTCAGTACTGTTCATGATTTACCGGGGGAGATGCTCTGACCTGTGGCCGGAATCGTCTCCTTCTCGCCGTCGAGAAATTCATATTCCCAGTCTCGAGGGAGGCGGCTTCGCAGAGGTTCCAGCTGCGCCTCGAGGATCTGCGAGTTTGTGCCGTGGCCGTGAAGGCAGAGAAATCGCATAGTGGAGATATTTGTTGTTGGTACAGGCTGGACGCGGGAGGAACGGACAAGGCGGGGTGTTTGGAAGGGTTCGCGGGGGCTGTGGGATGCCATCTAGAGTTAGGCCGTGCTGACAATCAGTCGGCACAGCTGCTCCCCTGTTCGCACCGAGAGGATTCGACCTCTGCGCGCCACTAGTGGGAGCCCACCCTGTCAGGCAACAATCGTTAGCGATCGAGTCCACGCGTCAGTAGAAAAAGTAGCCACGGCATGCATATGGAGCCTCGTTAGATCGACTTCATGCGTCAGCCTTTCCGGCCGTTCGCTTGTACCCTGGGAGCCTTTGACATGCCACTGTTTATTGGAGGAAATAACCGAAGTAAATGGCTCTTTGCATACGCCTTTTCGACATGGAGCGGCGGTGGACCGTTGCGGAAGCAGGCAGCCAGAGCCTTCGACCACCCTCGAGGAACGCCTTCTCGCTCTTTTCAGCTCAATCGCAGAGACATGTCACAGACATCTCAGTTGGATCTTACGATAAGGGAGATTCGTCAGCGCGGGTGTGGGTCTCCGAGCGCCGCGGCTGCCTTGACCAGCTGTGATTCTCACTCCTTCTGCAACCTCATCCAGCGCCACTATCACAGAGCTTTACCACCTCGCCTCGCCTGGTCCTCGCAGCGGCTATTTGCACTGGAAGTAACAACTCGTCACGGGCAGTATCGTCGCCTTGTTGGATGTGAGACGCATCCAATGGACGAGCTGCCCCAAGCGACTATGCGGCCTGGCCAGCTAGCTACGACGGAATGGAGCTGCCGCGGAGCCGTGCTTGATGCAAGGGGCGAGATAATATCTCTGTCGTCTTGAAAAAAACACTCCCGAGGTATATAAATACTCATTGTAGGGCGTGGTCTTTGCTCAATTAATCGACTCACCCTTTGCTCTACCTTCCTGCTTCAACACTTCTCACTCACAATGACCCTCAACGACGAGACGGTGTTTGACTCTGGTGAAGATACGTCTATGCCGATTGCGATTGTCGGCATAGGAGGTAGGTTCCCGGGCGATGCAACCAACCCGGAGCGTCTGTGGGAAATGGTCTCTGAGGGTCGAAATGCCATGTCAGAGGTTCCCAAGGATCGATTCAACATTGACTCCTTCTACCATCCGCATGCAGAGCGTCAGGGGACGATGAATGTGCGAGGAGGGCACTTCTTGAAGGAAGACATTGCTCTTTTTGATGCTCCATTCTTCTCCATCACCTCCAAGGAGGCTGGTGCTATGGATCCCCAGCAGCGATTAGCCCTCGAGGTGGCTTACGAAGGCCTTGAGAATGGTATGTTCTCCAAATAATCACTTATTAGCAATCGAAATTTTGTTTTAACTCCAACAGCCGGCATGCGTATGGAGGATGTCTTGGGCTCGTCCATGGCATGCTACATGGCGTCTTTCACCCGAGACTACGCTACACTACGCGGCCATGATGCACAGGACATTCCGTACGTACCCCTTAGCACAAGAAATAACTACGAATTGACATCTTGACAGCCTGTACGAAGGGACTGGCAACGGAGCAGCCCTGATATCCAACCGCATCTCTTGGTTTTTCGACCTAAAGGGCCCAAGTCTGAGTCTGGACACGGCATGCTCTTCATCTTTAGTGGCTCTACACCTCGCTTGTCAGAGTCTCCGCTCCGGTGAAGTCCCAACCGTAAGCAAAAACCCAACAGTAGATGCCGTCATACAAGGCTGACTCCACACAGGCACTGGTTGGTGGCACCAACTTGATTCTCATGCCCGAGATGCAGATTGCCATGACTTCGCTTCACTTTCTCAGTCCCGACAGCAAGTCTCAGTCCTTCGACCACAAGGCCAACGGATACGCTCGAGGCGAAGGTGCTGCTGTGGTTGTGCTTAAACCCTTGGCAGATGCCATCAGGGACGGCAATACCATTAGAGCCGTCATTCGAGGCACTGGTGTGAATCAAGATGGAAAGACTCCCGGTACGTATATGAGATATATATCTGGTGAATTGAACTCACGGTCGCCCTAGGGATCACACTACCATCGGCAAAAGCTCAGGAGGACCTCATTCGGGCGACATACGCCCAAGCGGGTCTGGACATGGCTTCCACGGCGTACTTTGAAGCCCACGGAACCGGTAGGCTTGAGAAATATTTACTGCGGATCTTCAACGACTGAGTAATGATCATAGGTACACCGGCTGGCGATCCACTCGAATGTTCCGCCATCGCCGCCACCATCAGCGCGGCGCGGCCCAAAGACAAGCCTCTCCTCGTCGGCTCAGTGAAGACCAACATCGGCCACATGGAGGGTGCGAGCGGTCTTGCCGGTCTCATCAAGGCCGTCTACGCGATTGAGCGAGGCGTCATCCCGCCAAACCTCTGGTACGAAAAGGCAAATCCCCGCATCCCTCTGGAGAAGTGGGGGCTCAAGATCCCGACCAAGCTCCTGCCATGGCCTACCAAAGGCCTGCGTCGTGCGAGTGTCAACTCGTTCGGATACGGCGGCACCAACGCTCATTGTATTCTGGATGACGCGTTCCACTACCTTCGGTCACGCGGCCTCCGCGCTCCGCACAACACCATTGTCGATGGCGAAGAGGCAGACGACAGTGGGATAAGCAGCGTTTCCAGAACCGATTCCGATGACAACAGCAGCAGCCAAGGGTGGGAGGAAGTCAGCACTGATGGTGGGAGAGGCTCGCAGAAAGCCTGCAAAGCTCCTCTCTCTCACCCGAAACTGCTGGTGTGGTCCTCGCACGAACAGGTTGGCACAGAGCGCGCCGCGACACAGCTGATCGATTACCTACAGATGCGCGAGATCCATACCCAGCTCAACGACAGGGATGAAGCCCGCTTCCTGGAAAGGCTTGCCTTCACGCTGTCCGACGGCCGCAGTAGGCTGCCGTGGAAAGCCTTCACCGTGGCGTCGACGGTCGAAGAGTTGACGTCGACGGTGAAACGGCACCAGCCGAAGCCTTTGCGGTCGTCTCAGGCCGCGCCGGTGTTGTGCTTCGTCTTCACCGGCCAAGGCGCTCAATGGTCCGCCATGGGACGGGAGCTCATGGTCTACTCCGCATTCCAGGAGAGCTTGGAAGCCGCGGCTGGGCATCTCAAGACGTTTGGGTGTTCATGGGATCTCCTCGGTATGTAACACCGCTCCCTTCGACTCACAGCCCGTCCCTGACACGGACTGTTTTTCCAGATGAGCTACTGGCGGACGAGCAAACTTCCCGCATCAACGAGCCGGAAGTCAGCCAGCCAGCCTGTACTGCATTGCAGATTGCTTTGGTTGATCTTTTGGTGACCTGGGGTATCCGGCCCTCTGTGGTCATCGGCCATTCAAGTGGGGAGATAGCAGTAAGTTGCCCCTGGATCGATAAAGTGTTGAGGACAAGGCTGAATGTGCACAGGCTGCCTACGCGAAGGGCTCGATTTCTCGAGAGGCCGCCTACAGCATTGCTTACCACCGCGGCCGACTCTCGGCTGCGTTGAAGAAGGATGGTTCCATGCTCGCGGTGGGCCTTGGCGAAGAAGCGGTGTTGCCCTTTGTCAAAAAAGCGTCCAAAGGCGATGTGGTCGTTGCTTGCGTCAACAGCCCGTCAAGTGTAACGCTTTCTGGTGATACGGTCGCCATCTCCGAGGTTCAGGACGTGCTTGAGGCCGAAAAGATCTTCAATCGAAGGCTGATGGTGAAGACGGCATACCACTCCCCACACATGCAGGCCCTGTCTCAGGCCTATCTGGATGCGTTGGCAGGGCTGAAGAGCGCCGGAGGGGACGGCACAACCGTTCAGATGGTTTCATCAGTGAATGGAGCCCTCGTCGACGACGCGTCACTTGCTACGCCACAGTACTGGGTGTCGAACATGGTCAGTCCGGTCAAGTTCAACCAGGCGGTCCAAACAGCCCTTGAATACAGCCCCAACAAGAGACGAACGGCCCGCAAGGCTCAGTTCGTCAACATCTTCCTGGAGATCGGGCCACACGCAGCGCTGCAGGGCCCGCTGAAACAGATCCTATCGGGCCAGGAAAAGAAGCTAGCCGTCGTGTCATACGTCTCCACGCTCTCGCGCGGGAAAAACGCCGCTAGGACGTGTCTGGAGGCACTGGGCAAGCTGGTCCAACACGGCTACCCCGTAGATATCGCCACAGCCAACGAACCCAACGAGAAATCCAAGTCGTCGCGGGCATTCCTGACGGATCTGCCCCCGTTCGCATGGAACCATGGCACACGCTATTGGTACGAGTCTCCAGTGTCTCAGGCCTTCCGGCACCGTACGCTGCCCCGCTACGACCTGGTGGGAGCTCTCAGCGAACACTCCACTGAGCTCGAGCCCAGTTGGAGCAACTACCTGAGGGTGTCGGAGGCTCCATGGATCGAACACCACAAAGTCCAGGGCTCCATTTTGTATCCGCTCTCGGGCATGATGGTCATGGCGATTGAGGCTGCGCGCCAGATTGCCGACCAAAGCAAGGAAATCGAGGGCTTTCAGCTGCGCGACGTGTCCGTCGGCAAGGCCATGGTGCTCCCCGCAGACGCGCCCATCGAGACCAAGCTCCAGTTCAGGCCATGGAGAGCCGGATCCCGTCTGCCAGATTCGTTTTGGCATGAGTTTACCATATCGTGTAGAACACGACAGGGCGTCTGGACACAACACTGTGGCGGTCTCATTTGCGTCAAGTACGTCACCAAGGCCAATGAGACGTTTGCGGATGAGGAGGCTGCGACATCAAAGAAGCATCGCGATGAGTACTTCAGACTCGTCGGTGCGGGCTTCAAGCCGGATGATCCGCGCCAAGTATATGCCTCGGTACGTTTGCACTTTTCCGCTCTGCACTTTTGTCCATGTGATTGCTGACCATCTCGCAGCTGGCGGAGCTGGGTCTACAGTGGGGCCCCACCTTCGCCAGGCTAGTGGCAATCAGCTCGGGTGACTTCGAGGCCCATTGTGCCCTCGAAATCCCCGATACTAAGAAGTATATGCCCGAGGGCTTCGAGTACCCCCATGTCATCCACCCTGCCACTTTGGACAATTTCATCCAGATGGTCATCCCGGCCTGTACTCCTGCTGGTGTGCAGCTGGAGAAGGCAAAGATCCCGAGGTTCATCGAGGGTCTCTACATCTCCAACAAAATCAGCGCCGAGCCGGGGACACGGTACTACGGCTACTCCCGCTCCAAGCCGTACGGCTTCAACGAGGCCATCGGCACAATCGCCGCTTCCGACAGCCAGTGGGAGAAGCCTATGGTGATCATCGAGGGCTGCAGGATAATCTCTCTGGAGAACATGACGGACGGCATGGCGTCTGAGGCAAACACAAAGTCGTTGAGGAAACTCGGTGCCCATCCAGAGTGGGGCATGGACATCGAACATCTCCCCCTCACGACCGCCAGGGCCTTTTTCGGCGAGTACGGCAAGGTCATTCCGGACGCCAAACAAAAGGTCATCCACGACCTGGAGTTCGCTTCCTTTGTCTTCTGCAAGCGGATGTTGCGCAGGTTTACCCCGACCGATGCCGAGGCCTTCGCCCCTCATCACCGCCTATTCTACGAGTACATGCAGCACAGGTACGAGCTTGCAGAGCAGGGCAAGCTCGACTGCCAAAGTCGGGAGTTCGACTGGTTAGACACCACCGACGCGTTCGACGACGAAGTCCTTGCTCACGTATCAGCCGCTTCAATCGACGGCAGAGTACTTTGTCATCAGGGCGCCAAGCTTGACAAGATTCTCCTCGGAGAACTGGAGCCGCTTGAGGTGCTCATGGAAGACAACCTGCTCACAGAATACTACCGCAACGCCCTCGGAACCGACAAGTGGAACCCCATCATCGCCAAGTTTGTCCAGGTGCTGTCCCACAAGAAGGCCCTCCGCATCCTCGAAGTCGGCGCGGGCACGGGGGGTACAACATCTGTCGTGCTGTCGGCGCTGGGCAAGCGCGCCGATGCCGCGGCCCGGCTCCAATCGTACATGTTCACCGATATCAGCAGCGGCTTCTTCGAGGCAGCCGCGGCTGATTTTGAGGAATGGGCGCCGTTCCTGGATTACAAGGTGCTCAATGTCGAGAAGGATCCGGTGGCGCAGGGCGTGACGGCAGGTGTTTACGATCTGGTCATCGCCAACAACGTCCTTCACGCGACCACTTCCATCAGCGCCTGTCTCGCCCATTGCAAAATGATGCTCAAGCCGTAAGTCACATGCCCTCTTATGCCTTTGGACAGAGCTGATGATAGCCTACAGCGGCGGGATTCTGCTCCTTGGAGAACTCACGTCCACTCTGGCCAGAGTCCCCATGATCTTCGGCACGCTGTCCGGATGGTGGAATGGTAAGTTGCACGCTGTCGAGCAATTGGATAGTAAACTGATAAAGACCAGGCGAACATGACGGGCGTAAATGGGGCCCCAGACTCTCCGAGCAGGAATGGGATGTTCAACTACGCGAGCAAGGCTTCAGCGGACTTGACATGTGCTTCCGGGACCACAGCACCGACGACTACTCCATCTCACTGATGCTGTCCACCGCAGCACCAGCCGCAATTGCCACTCCGTCTCAGGAAATCGTAGTCATCACCCCAGCAGAGCTTGCCACCCCGGTGGTGTCATTGGTGAGACATCTCAAGGCCAAGCTTGCGAAGGGTGGAGCGTCTGTTCAGGAGATGATCATCTCGGACGTTGATTCTGCCAACCTCGCCGGTAAATGCTGCATTTCCGCCCTGGAAGCCGACAAACCCTGCCTGCATGATATCGGGAGTGAGGACTTTGAAACCGTGAAGCGCCTTTTGCTCGGCGCGGGACGCACGCTGTGGTTGACCAAGGGTGCTGCGATGGACAGCCCGCACCCAGAAGGGAACCTGATCGCGGGGCTGGGTCGGACAATCAGGGCTGAGATCCCCAGCTTCGAGCTCACCACTCTCGACCTCGATCCAGCCGCACCTGTGGACTCGGAAGGCACCATCGCGGCCATCTGCCAGATCGTTCGCTCCTCCACCGAAGCTGGAAATGCAGAAAAGGCCGACTGGGAGTATGCGCTGCGCGAGAACACCATCTACTCACTCCGAATGGTGCCCGACGAAACCTTGAACGACATGTTCGAGGCAAGCACCACAGAGTCCCTGCCCGTCCCGCTTCCCTTCGGTCAGCCCGATCGCGCCCTCGCCCTCGCCATCAGGGTCCCTGGCATGCTCGACACCTTCCAGTTCGTCGACGACGAGGAGCACTCAAAGCCGCTCGGCGACCACGAAGTCGAAATCGCCGTCAGGGCCGTCGGCATGAACTTCCACGACGTGATGATCTCCATGGGCCAGATCGCCGACACAGACCTCGGTGTCGAGTGCAGCGGCGTCGTCACCCGCGCTGGGAGGAGCGTGACGGCCTACGCCATCGGCGACCGCGTCATCACCTTTCGTCTCGGCTGCTTCCGCACTTTTCTTCGCAACCCCGAGGAAATGTTCCAGAAGATCCCGGATGGCATGTCGTTCGAAGACGCCGCGTCCCTGCCGTGCATCTACAGCACAGTGTACTACGCCCTCTTCGACGTTGCGCGTCTCCGGCAAGGCGAGACGGTCCTTGTCCACGCCGCGGCGGGCGGCCTCGGCCAGGCTGCCATAATCCTGGCGCAGCATCTGGGAGCGGAAATCTTCGTGACGGTGTCATCCGAGGCCAAGAAGCGGTTCTTGGTGGATACGTACGGCGTTGCTGAGGACCACGTCTTCAACAGCAGGGACCTCAGCTTTGCGGCTGGCATCAAGCGGATGACAAATGGCCGCGGCATGGATGTCGTCCTCAACTCGCTGGCGGGCGAGGCGCTGAGGGAGACGTGGCTCTGCGTTGCGCCGTTTGGGCGCTTCATCGAGCTGGGGAAGAAGGATATCGGTAAGTGTGTTTGCTGGTGGTGGAGTGCGCCCCAATCGCTGACTGATTTTGTGTGCAGTCGGAAACACGGGCGTGGACATGAGCCCGTTCATGAACAACATCACCTTCGCCGGCGTGAACATGCTTTCGGTCTACCGAGACAATGTTCCCCTTTTCGGCCGCATCATCTCCGACGTGATGAAGTGCCTGTCCGAAGGCATCATCCGGCCCGTGCAGCCGGTCAAGACGATGAAGTTTTCACAAATCGAAGAGGCATTCCGCATCATGCAAACCGGCAAGCACATCGGCAAGATGGTTCTGACGGCTGGTGCGGACGACATTGTGCCGGTATGTCCAATACCATCGAATTCACCCAAGACGCATCGTCCGCTGACATCAAACCACAGATCGTGCCCCGCAGGCTACAGCCGTACAACTTCTCTCCCGACGCGACCTACCTGATCCCTGGGGGACTGGGCGGCCTCGGCCGTTCGATTGCTGCTTGGATGGTCAGCCAGGGCGCTCGCAACCTGGTCTTCACCTCTCGCTCCGGAGCGAAGAAACCCGAAGCCCAGGCGCTCCTTGATGTCCTACACAAGCATGGGGCTAAGACAAAGGCATTTGCTTGCGACATCAGCAATGCATCGGACCTCCGGCAGGTTCTTGATTGCGTGAAGCGCCAGTTCCCACCCATCAGAGGCGTGGTTACCTGCGCCATGCAGCTTCAGGTATGACCCCACCCCTCTCCTTGTCGTGAGATCTTCCTAGCTGAAAAAGACCCCAGGACGTCCTGTTCGAGAACATGTCAGTCGTTGACTACCGGGCCGCCATCCACCCCAAAGTCCAAGCCACCCGCAACCTCCACGACATGCTTCCCAAAGATCTAGACTTTTTCATCTGCCTCTCATCAACCGGCGGCATCGTTGGATCGCGCGGCCAAGGCAACTACAACGCCGGTGCGCACGCTCCCTCTCCCATGCTGCCCCACCGCACCCGCTGACAAACCACCAGGAAACACCTATCAAGACGCCATCTCCCACCATCGCCACTCCCTCGGCCTCGCCGCCACCAGCATCAACCTCGGCGTCGTCCTCGGCGTCGGCATCACCGCCGAGCGGGGCGAGATCCTTTCGTACCTCAAAACCGGCGCCATGATCGGCATCCACGAGCACGAAGTCCTCGCCGTCATCCAGGCCGCCATGGCGGGGCGTCTGCCATCCCAGGCCGTTGTCGGCCTCGCCACCGGCGGGCTGTTGAAGCAGAACGGCCACGACGACCCCTTCTGGTTCGCCGAGGCCCGCTTCAACCCCCTGCGCGTTTTCGACACGCAGGAGTTCAAAGCTGCGCAGAGTGATTCGTCGGAGGAGTTGCAGGCCGCGCTTGCCGAGGCCAAGACCGCGGCCGAGGCGACTGATGCTGTGTGCGGCGCCCTGATGGCGAAGCTGGCGAAGGCTATGTTGATGGAGGTGGACGATCTGGATGCTGCGAGGCCGGCGAATTCGTATGGCGTCGATAGCTTGGTGGCGGTCGAGATTAGAGCGTGGGCTTTCAAGGAGGTGAAGAGCGATGTGTCTGTGTTCGACATTTTGAGCAATGTGCCACTGATTACGTTGGCGGAGAGGATTGTGGCAAAGTCGTCGCTTGTTTCGTCGCTTGTTCGGAGTGATAGGGAGATTGAATAAAAGGGCGGTGTACTGATATGGTGGGAATATAGGGCTATGGGGGTTAACCAACACGGATGGTGTATAGTGAGTTGAGGGTTCATATATCTAGATGCATTTGTAAACCTTTAGCACTTCCATTTACGTCCAGCTACCTGCTTAAATTACAGAGTTGGTTTTGGGTTCTGGGTCAAAAGCCTGGGGAGACGGAGGATAGAAAGACGATAAACTTACATACTCAATCAATGTCTCTATCTGGAGCAGGTAAGGTACTCCCATCTAGGGGCCCTATTAACATATTTGGCCTCGCCAATCTATCTACCGACTATCTTAATTTGGGCTACCGGCCTTTTTTGATTTTTCAATTAACTACGAGAACGTCGCCGCTCTCCAAACCCCACCCGCCAACAACTACAAGGACCAAAGTTTTCTCAAGAAGTACGTTCGTAACGCCAGCTTCCTTTAGGTATTCGGGATGCCACGGACTCGGTCGTGGTGCTCTTTTAACCGTACACTGCCAGACCCCGTCGTCTCTGATACTGATCCTCCCTGACATGTCTTCACCATCTACGAAGACTCGCAATGGCGGCATCCTCTCCCCTTGGCTGTCGACCCTCCCGCTGATACTCAAGATAAAAGAACCGTCGTCTTTCTCCTCGCTCTTCACCGCTTTTAACTCCCGCACAACGCCTCTCGCCTTATTCTCTGGCACCTGTCTTGGTTCAACCACATCGCTCTCCAGCGGTGGCGTTCTCGGAGCTGCCACTCGTCCTCCATGTGCCTTTTCAAACGCCCACGCGGTGCTCAACAACTTCTGATCCTCGTACGCCTTCCCGGCAAAGGTCAGATTGCACGGCATCCCCGTGTCCTCCATCACTCCCATGGCCACGCTGACCGTCGGCACGCCCAGGTGTCTCAGCACTCTGTTTCCGTTGCTGTACATGACGCCGTTCCGCCACGCCTCCCTGGCGCTCTCTTCCACCGTGTCCGCATCCGCTCTTCCGACACCCCCATTCGCCGGGAAACACACCAGATCCACGCCCTCCGCATCCATCCACCCCTCCAAATCTCTCTTCCTCGCCGCTTCCAGCGCCCTCAACGCCTCCTCCATCCCGGGATACCCCACCAGCGTCGACACACCCTCATCCCGACACTCCCGCAGCTTCTGCGGCAGCTCGTGCCAGCGTATCGCGTTCAACGGATTCGCATACCGCGTCTGCGGCCCGCCCTCCTCCATCGGAAACACCTTCGCCGCATCCACATCGCTCTCGAAATCCCACATGCCGCTCTCCGCACCGCCGTTCTGCTTCAGAAATGCGTCCCACGCCAGTGCCAGCAGCGGGCCCCTCTCCGCCGCCATCCATCCGGCAGGTAGGCCGGGGACGTTCGCCACGGTTCCGCCCTCAGCCGGCGTCACATCTTGGAGCGCCTCGTAGTTCGCCACGATGGGGAAGTCTGTCTCGACCAGCTCGGCACCGAGTGCTTCTAGAGTGCGACGGGCGCCGAAGAACAGTGCAGCGATGGATGCCCGCAACGCCACCGGCCGGCCGTCGGCGTCAGGGTGACCGATGTACATACGTGGAACGGCAACACGCTTCCCCCGCAACGCGTCCGCGTCTGCCAGCGTGACGAACGTCCCGGCCGCCGGCCGGATGGTTGTGGGAGACGGGATGGGGATCCACGGCTGCTCCCGCCAGAAGTCCCCCGCCGGCTCGGGATCGGGCACGCACAGCACATCGAGGATGGCCAGCAGATCGCCGACGGTGCGGGTGTGCGGCACCACCACGTCGCAAGTCGGATACAGCGGCCAATTCCCCCTGATCGAAATGACGCCGCGCGAGGGGGTGTAGGCGACTAGGCCGTTGTTCGACGCCGGCGACCGTCCCGAAGACACGGTTTCTTCAGCCATGCCGAACGCGGCGAATGACGCGGCCGTCGACGTCGCGGAGCCGTTGGAAGAGCCGGACGCGAATGCCGCGGTGAGGTAGGAAGCGTTGTACGGCGACTCGGCCCGCCCGTACGCGCCGCGGTGCATGCCGCCCGCCGCCATGGGCGGCGTGTTCGTCTTGCCCAGCAGCACGGCGCCGGCGGCGCGGAGCTGTGCCACGGTGAAGGCGTCGGAGGGAGCCACGAGGGTGGTGAAGGCGGGAGAGCCGCTGGCCACGGTCAGGCCGCGCACTGCGTAGCTGTCCTTGACCATGTAAGGGATTCCTTCGAGCGGCCGGCTTGGACGACCGGCTGCTTTGTCGGCCGCTCGCCTCTCGTCAGACTCGGCGGCGTCGTGCAGGACGGACGGGTTGAGGATGGGGATGGCATTCAGCGTCGGCCCGCGGGAGTCGTAGGTCGAGATGCGGAGCAGGTAGCGCGTGCAGAGCGAGACGCTGGTGATAAGGCCGGTGGAGAGGGCATGTTGAAGGTCGGCAATACTGGCTTCGACAATGTTCAGTGTCATATCGTATGATGAGGGTGCGTTGTGGTGAAGTGTCTTGTCGGTGGTCCGGAATTGGCTTTCACGGACTGCTTTTATGGTTGTCCCATTGGACTCTCCGCCAACGTCGCCATAGCGATATCGGATAGGCCTTTTCAAAAAAGAAACTAGCGCGTCGCTCAAGTGCGGGATGATTGACACGGAGAAGTTTATTGGGGTGTCCATGGCGGTGCACGTGCCGCCGGGCTTCCATTAAGTACAGGTCTACCCGTAATCCAATCCCTATACGCAGCTATAGGCGGGTTTCCAATCCCACTGCAACGTAACTTACGTAAATGCTAGTTTATTAAATGATAAGACGGGCTGCGCTTAGAAGCGGGAACGTACTCGAAGTTTTTAATAGTAGCTTATTCGTGTTATTAGCAACCCTAAAGAGACATATGAATGGAATTCCACCCCAGAACCGGCAACGCGAAGCCTAATCAAAAACATCCGTGACATATCGATCCTCCTTCTGCGCCTGCAGCCACCCCTCGGCATCCTCCTCCGTCTTCCCATCATTGTGTTCCAACCAAATTTTCTTCAACGTATCCGCAGTCGACTTGGCCAACTTGCTCGCACTCCCACACAGCAAAATCTTAGCCCCCTCCCTAAACAGCTTGGCGCACTCTTCACGCTCCGCCCAGATCCGTTCATGTGCATACTTGAACTCCTCGCCCGCATTCTTCACCGACTCGCCCTTCGCAAAAGTCGGACTCAGACTGACGGCCTCGTCCGCCTCAGCCGCGTGCGCCTCCTCTCTGCGCCTCCTCTCCCGCTCAGCCTTGGGCCCGCGCTTCGAAAAAGTCGGCCGCATGCTCACAGCGCCATCCTTCTCGGCAGCCAGCAGCTCCTCTCGGCAGATGAAATCCTTCTCGTAGTCGCGGCACCCGAAGTACAGGAGCGCCGGCGCCATCTTGGACCCGCGGCCCGCCGCGGCCCGCGCCACGCGCTCCTCGACGAAGCCCCGCATGGGCGCCAGCCCGGTGCCGGAGGCGATCATGATGACTGGGGTGGACGGGTCGGACGGCAGCCGGAACGACACGTTGGTCGGCCGCACGTAGCCGTGGATCTTGTCGCCGGGGCCCAGGGAGGCCAGGTACGACGACGCCACGCCGTGGAACGTTCGCCGGGTGTCGGACCACGCGGGCGCGACGTGCACGTCGTAGATGACGGAGAGCGAGTACGTGTTGCGGTCCGCGTCGAAGTGCCGCGCCGCCAGCGGGCTCGACGAGATGGAGTACTGCCGCGGCGACAGCGGCTTCAGCATGTCGATGTAGGACGGCAGGCTCAGGCTGACGGATGGGTGGTCGTCGAGGATGTCGAGGATCGAGTAGTTCTTGAGGACGACTTTGGTCCGGTAGTTGGCGTCGGATGCCAGGGACTCGAGGGAGCGCCGCTCGTCTTCGGACTCGGTTGCGGCGATGATGATGGCCAGTTGGCGCTGGGTGGGAGGTGCGTTGAGTTCGACTCGATGAGAGAAGAACATCTCGGCTCCGATGGGCTCCTTGGATTGCTGGGGTCCTGTCAGCATGTCTTAGAACTCGGGAATGGAGCGCTGGCTTACCAGATACATCTTCCGCGTGTCCGAAATGGAAATCAGATCATCGGGGTGCAGACCAAATCTGGAGAGCGCCCGGGCGACTGTTGAATGCGGATTGGATGGCAAGACGACAAAGTAGTCACCTAGAGGCCGTGAGAAATACCGTCGAATATGCACGAGAAAGGTTGCACATACCAGCTTCGTAGTGGGTCTCGTGTGGCAGCTCGATTTCCAACTCTCGCTTCTCAAGGCCAACCTCCTCACCTCCGAGAGACCGAGAACTCCTGACCACTGCCCAAGACATTTCCTTCCCGCCCAAGATGACGGGCATGTCGTGTTTGATGACCTCGGCTCTCAACGATGGCATGTGAGTTTGGCCACCAGCGCCGCCGTCCTCCGCATTGAGGCTCTTCCAGAGCTTCTCCGTCCAGTTCTCCCAATCATTCGTACAATCCTGCTTCACATCAGCCCACCACGGGTCGACAGTTCTTCGAGCACCGTTTTTGGACATGTGCTCGTCGATGAGCTTGGGGACTCTCTGGTACGTCGAGACCCACTCGCTGTTTCCTACGCCGAACACGGTGTACTGCACACCCGTCAACGAGGGCGAGCAGTCCTTCAACCAAGAACAGAACTTGGCAGCATTTTCCGGCGGCTTGCCTTCATAGCTGGAGGTGATGATGACGACTGGCTGCTCCTTGGGAATGTTTTCAGTGGCCTGGTCGAGGGTCAAAACTTCGGCCTCGAAACCGAATCCCGGCGCGTTCGTCTGGAGCTCTTCGGAAAAGGCTTTGCATGTTCCCGCGTTGGAGCCGTACAGGATCGTCATCTTCTTCTTGGGAAACGAGGCTGGAACGCTTCCGTGAGATGCGTCTTGGGTCGTTTTGCTGGCATTGGAGGTGGCCAAGCTGGCCAGGCCCACCATCGGGCTCTTGCCCGGACGTCTACGGACTTTGAGGAAAAACCCGTCAGGCTTGATCGTGAGTGTGCTCTTGTTGACTGTGATGGATGCGTCAGCAAATGTCGTGTGCTGTGAAGTGAAACTCACCAAGGGTGTAGCTGGGGTCGGCCATCTCGACCTGGAAACGCTGAAGGATGAGAGCGATGTTGATGATCATTTCCTGCTCGGCGAAAGCTCTTCCAATGCAGCTCCTCATGCCGATACCGAATGGCTTCCAGGCGTCTTTGGGAAGCTTGTCCATGTGGAACATTCGCTCCGGTTTGAACTCTGCAGCATCTTCACCCCAGACTGCTGGGTCGCTGTGGTAGGGTCTGAGATTGATGAGGAGGGCGTGGTCGGCAGGAATCTTGTATCGGCCTCCAATCACCGTGTCGTGTTTGGCCCTCCGTGAAATCATCCCAATGGGTCCATTCAGGCGGAGCGTTTCCTTGAGGCAAGCATCGATGTACTTGAATTTGTCCAGATGCTTGACCGTGATGGGCTCGTCGCCGAGAACCGAGTCGACCTCCTGCTGGGCCTTGTGTAGTTTCTCTGGATTTTTCAGCAGATTGTAGAAAGTATACGACAACGTGCCGCTGGTCGTCTCGTGACCGGCAATCAGAAACGTCACCATGTTGTAACGGATGTTCTCGTCATCAAGCTTTTCCCCGGTAACCGGATCAGCAACGTTCAGCATCGTGTTCAGCAAGTCATTGACGTCGGGTTGAGGATGCGCCTTTCGCTGTGCCACCAGGTCATCGCATAGCTTGTGCATCTCGTGGATGTTGTCTTGCAGTTGCTTGTTGGACCAGATGCGCAGCCTGGTCTCCATCTGTGTCCGGTTGGCGCGTTTGCCGCTTTCAATGAGGGCTGCGGCCATCTGGGTCGCAAACGGATGCATGTGCTCGGCATAGAAGTTGTTGAACCGGTAGTTGAAGCCACAAATTCCAATCGTGTCAAAGGCCAGCCTGTGAATCAAACCATCAGCATGCAACACGGTAAAAGATCAGCATAGCCGTGGACATATCGTAAACTCATCCCCACTGTCAATCGGATGGTCGGGCCCAAGTCTATCCCAACGCAAAATCAACTGCGAGGCGATGTCGAGTTGTTCGGGGAACATCTTCCGAACACCCATCGGACCAAATATGGGCATGAGAGTTCGGTGCGCCTTCCACCAATTCTGTTTTCTTGTCAACATCGTGTCCGCAGTCATTTGGAATCGAAAGCACTTGCGGTCTCATGCGGGTACGCTGAGAAAAGGCCATCTTTGATCAAAGGCCGCAATTCCTTCAATCCCGCCGTTATGACTTTCTCGAACTTTTCATCGTCCATGGTCTCGTGCGCGAGCTCATAGTTGGACAGAACAATGACCTTGTTGGTGATCATGTCGAGTTGGAAGATGGGCCCGTAAAGAGCGTTGAGTCTCCAGAAAGAACTGAGCGGGAATGACGGATCAATTTCCGGCAGGTTCGCCAACATACCAAAAAGGTGCGTTGGCGGCTGGGGGATTGGCTCCGGAGTCATTGTGCGGGTTATGGAAGTTCTAGTATGAGCATGGAGTTTGAAAAATGAGGCTTCCAATATCGTGCACGTAGAAAAAGCTACGTATTTATGCTCGGCTTGAGGTGGTTGGTGTACCGTAGCCAACGACGGTTGGCCCTCTTCCATGGCTGAAGGTGGTCTAGTGTGATCCTGAGTAAGTGCGCTTGTTGATTGTGTAAGACGGGTGAACGCCACACAAACCTCGCAAAAGATCACGCCCATTCGCCAAACAGATCAAACAGAAATGACTAAGCCTCGAACTTCACGGCTACATCGATGTACCAGTCGATCGGCTCTCCGCGGCACAGCCATGCAAGGTTCTACTACATCACGGCGCAGCTCTAGCCTCCGAATTAACCGGACGCACAACGCCAACATCCAAGGAAGAGGCATTTTAGTCATTGACAAACCTTGCTGACAATGCAGATGCCACTGAAATGCTGGTGGCTGGAGAAGGTTTTGGGTCAGGTGAAGGTGCACGAGTGAAAGGCGATAAAGCCGGCCGTGAAGCCGACTTGACGTCACTGGCCATGTACCAGTAGGTACGCTGTCTTTGCTGTGTGGCCTATTTTTCTCGAACAGGGCCTGCAATGAATTGGGGGAGTTCACAGCTGAAAGATGCGACGTCTCCCCACACCCACGGCAAAAGCCGGCCACAACAAACCATGAATTGCCGTAAGACATCCTTGCATGGGTCTTTCTGTTTTGGACTTGGCCCTCCCACTTCCTTACCACACCCGTGCCCGCATAGAAACTCTACCGAGCATTATTTTTTTCTATTCGTTCGCCAAAGACCCTTTGAATGCTGAATAGATATACAGAGCAGAGCGTGCAGAAGCTACGATAGTGGTTGAATCATGTGACCGTGGTTGACTAGAAGAGAACTGCCTAGGTGCGTGTAATAGCAATATCGGCGTCCTGAACTACTTGATTAACTCGAGTGCGACAACAGTGGTAAGGTAGGGGCCTTCCTTTAATGTTACGTATTGGATATTTGGCAAAAGAGGAGGAGCAGCAATAACGGAAACATCAACCCAATGAACCAACCCCGAAGATCGTGATCACGTGGGCCCGCCAAAGTTGCCGACAAAATTCGTCACGCATTAGGCTAATTCTTGCAGATTGATGAGCTGATCACGAGCGGTCAGAATTTTCGAGTGTTTTTCTAAACGAGAGTGATGTCCGTCTTACCCATAAGGCACCCGAAACACCAGACACCGGGGATGACACACGTGAAGGATTTGGCTCCTACCGCCGCTTACTCAGAGAGGTTGCGGAGCCCAAAGGGGAAGGTACTTGCGCGTCTAACTGGAGTACGTTGGGAGGCAGAGCTGACACGATCTATCGACAAGTGAGTTGAGAGGTCATGAGGGAGTATAATATTTTTCGTACGCCCTCAATGGAATGTCGTGCGACCCAAGCCGCATCGAGCGTATTTTATTATAAATTGGTTTCCTCCTACGTCTCTGAGCCAAAGGCTATCCACTGCAGCATCCCCGGTACACCGTGAAAAATTGGCATGTATTTTTTCAAGTGTCTCCTGGCTGTTGCCCTCTGGGCAGGGTTCTCATCTTCACTATCGACGTCGACCTTCAATCCGCCTGATGCAGAACCCACAGTGACAGTCCGGAACGGAACAATCGAGGGCACCTACAGTGAGGCGTATCATCAAGATTTCTTCCTTGGCATCCCCTACGCTCTTCCTCCAACCGGAGATCGCCGCTTCCGGAGAGCCGCCCCCCTGACCAGAAAGTGGGACGGCATCAGGGCTACCCAAGACTATGGGCCTTTCTGCAAAGGCTATTCTGTAGGCCTTCCAGCGTATGATCAACCCAACATTACGTATCCAATGGACGAGGACTGCCTCACCATCAACGTCGTCCGCCCTGCAGGCACCGGGCCGAATGACTCCCTACCGGTCTTGGTGTGGATCTACGGCGGCGGGTTTTCCGAAGGTGGCAGCGGAGACCAGCGGTACAACATGTCGTTCCTTGTCAACACTTCGGTCGAGAAGAACACGCCGATACTGATGGTCAGCTTCAACTATCGCGTCTCCGGTTTCGGTTTCCTCGCCGGCCACGCCATCGAGGCGGAAGGAAACGAGAATCTTGGCCTGCACGATCAGAGGATGGTTCTGGCTTGGATCCAGGAGAACATCCACGCCTTTGGAGGAGACCCCGCTCGCGTCACCATCTCAGGAGAGTCTGCCGGGGCTGCCTCTGTCGGCTTCCACCTTCTGGCATACGAAGGCCGCAATGACAGTTTGTTCAGCGCCGCTATTTCTGAAAGTGGCGGTCCGTTGTTTTACAAAGCCTTTCCTTCATTAGAGATCCGTGAACAGCAGTACGGCGCAACCTTGAACGCCACCGGCTGTGCTGGCACGAACAACACCTTGGCGTGCCTTAGAGCCGCACCCGCAGACAGTTTCGACTCGGTATTCAAGCAGTATCTCTGGTCCCCCATGGTTGACGGCGGCCTCATACCCGACTTCACTTCCAAGCTGCTCCACCAAGGCAAGTTCGTCAAGGCCCCTCTGCTCATCGGGGCAAACACGAACGAAGGCACCATAATGGTCCCCTTGTTCTCGACCATTGGGGTCAATAGCACAGCAGAATTCCACCAGGTAATCGAAGGCATCAATGATGGCCGGCCTCTCCCCGGCGACACGCTGCGCCGCTTCGACGAGCTTTACCAAGAGGTCGTATCGCACCCAAAGGAAAATCTAGGCACAGTCTCCCCCGAACCGGGCCCGCCGTATGGCTCACTTTATGGCCAGACGTCTCTAATGATTGGGGACGTCATGCTCGCCGCCGGCCGCCGGCTCGCCGCCCGGACATGGGCCGACGCAGGGTTGCCGGCCTACAGCTACCACTTCGACACCGTGCCCGCCGGTATCAACCCCATCACGCTGGGCGCGGCGCACTTTCAAGAAGTCGCCTTTGTCTTTCGCAACACACGTGGCACGGGGTACGAGAGCGATCCGTTCGCCGTACAGGACCCGGAGCTGCGGCAAAAGTTCGACGGCCTCGCTGAGCTGATGAGCTCCATGTGGGTCAGCTTTGTGGACTCTCACTCACCAAACAATCATAATGGTACACACTCTTCGCAAGCTGGTCCATGCTACAGAAAAGGCTAACTATGCACAGTCGCCAGCTTCGGAGAACATTGGCCCACGTATTCGACTCATGAACCCGTCAATCTGGTGTTCCGTGCGGATCCTGGCTCTTATCTGGAACCGGACACATTTAGGTCTGAGGCGTTTGATTTCATCAACCGCACGGCGCTAGAATTCTCGCGTTGAGACATTAACAGTGTTCAGCATTCGGTGCGAAGCTGGGAGTATCAGTTTGATGAAGGCTTCACAGGCATGGAAATAAAATACACAGTATGCCGTTAGCAAAGAGAACGAAACGGGCCTTTCGCCTATAATGATTGATACTATGAAGATTGTAAAAATCATCGCCATCATTGACTGCATTCTATGTGAGATCTTAATACGATATCTGCAATGGTGAACGGTAATTTTCTCCACAACCACCGTCGTCTCCCATTCCCATCCAGCCCCGCCTGTCGGTCACAGTCTTGAAGTGCCGGCATGAAGCGGTGGGTATGATGGTCCCTTCTTCGCGAGCTTTTCCCTCTTGGGCGCATACGGCGGTCGAATGTATTGTCGCGGATCCGTTGGAGGAAGGCTATGGGATGGCGTCGACCATCACCGTTTTTGGTGATCAATCGCTGCTGTAGGGTCAGCAAGATGCTCGGTTGAATGGTTCAAGCGATGAGTCGTGACCGTTGACAATGCTTCCGGTTCTACGCTCAAGCAAGCTATCGACCAAGCAGTCTTACCGCAGTTCTCATAACGGTGCTGGGTTTCGAGTTAGTAGGTTCCTCAGTGAGGTGTCTCAAGTAATGGTGAAATCACACTCTTGAAAGTTAGCACCGTTGGTAAATGCACTCCAGCTGCCGGTTTCAGTCGAAGCAAACTCCACCAAAGAAGTCTCACCCCAGCCCCTCCTTGATGCCGACAGCGAGGACACAAGACGAATGTGGCCAGCATCAAAGAAACCGCAGAGAGTGACTACAGACTATGGCAGGCTCTTCCATCGCCATTCCGGTGGGTGCTTGATTCGGAGCGGGCGGGAAATCGCGTCCTGGCTCTGCGGTCAAGAGAAACGTCGTCGGCTCCCGCCACCGCAGGCGGGACGAGCAGGCAGCATCCCCATCCGGCATATATTAAAATAGGTGGGTTCGAGAGTTTGTAGACGTTGATTGTGTCACCTACAAGTACATCGAGCCTCAAAAGCACGTTGATTTTCTGTTGGATTCCAGTAAAGTCGATGGAAATCCCAAGTGTTTCTTACAAGGAATGCTAATTGGAAATCCGGGAAAATTGCAGAGTTATACTACTTATGGCGCTGACTAGCCATCCTGAAAACCAAGCAATGGAACATCTCACACCATCTCATATCCTCATATCATAGCAGTAGTGTATGTGTAGGGCACTATCCCAGTCCTCTCCCTTTTGCGAGATTGACAAAAGGACTGCATCAGCCTGCTTTGTTTGATACTGCGTGCACAACGGTCCACAGTGATCGATTGAACCTGGTGCACCACTACTTCTGGCTCGGCCGCCATTTCTCCGCGTCTCCCCAGCGATCGACAGTCCACCCACCGTAACCCGGGTTCCTGAATCCAGCTTCACACTGCTTTTCGTAGCTGACCTGTCTCAGCCGCGCCGATTCTCGCGGCGTAAGACTGAGATACATCTCGACGCCGATGATGTGGAGCACGAGCGCCATCCAGAGCTGTTCATACGTGTCAGCAACGCGTCCAACAGACGGCGCCCAGGCAGAGCTATACTCACACTTGTGCCGAACGGGATGGTGATCGAAGCACCAAGGTTCGGCGGGCGACTCGCATCATGGATGGCCTCGACGACGACATGCGCCCTGGGGTCCAGCATGGTGCCGTTCCCGGAAAAGCAGCCGGGGTAGTCCTGGGCCAGCGTCTGCATGCCAAACTGGGCGTACGTGTACTCCATCTTCCGGCACGACCACACGGTGTAGTAGCCGCCGTACGCCGAGATAATGATGGCGGCAATCTGGGCGATGACGCGATCGGTGATGATGACGCCGTAGTAGAACATGGTGCGCAGCATCCACGCGCGGTGCTGGTCGATCTGCAGCCGCTTGACGTTCCAGTACGCAGCGGCCATGCTCACGCTCGTCATGAGCACCATGGCGGCCTCAGCCGACTGCGCGTCGACGCGGGTGCCGCTTTCGCGGCGGCCGAGGACGATGCAGGCGCCGGCGTTGGAGACGAGGACGAGGAGGAACACGACGTATCCGTTAATGCGGTGGAAGGTGAGCCAGCGGTGGCGGACGGCGGGGACGAATTGCAGGACGAGCAGCAGGCCGGACGGGAGACACGCCGCGAGGTGCAGGATCAGCCCGATGCGGTACTTGCCCGCGTGGTAGGCGGCCATACCGCCGGGGACCGTGTTGGCGGCGAAGATGCCGTCGAAGCTGTAGAACTGCAGGCGGGACAGGCTGAAGCCGAACATGGCTCCGGCGAAGACGATGACTGAGCGAGCGGCGTTAGTTCCTGATGTGGCTGACTGCCTGCTTGGGGTTCTTGCTCACAGAGTGGGAAGTTGTAGGCGCGCTGGAAGCCGAACCAGTTGTGAAGAGCCGCATAACGGCTGGGTTCTTTGGCTTCGCGCACTGGCGAAGAGACGGGAGAATCATCAATGGCCGGGAAGGATTCTTGCTTCATGATTGCTAAAGACTTGAGATGCACACACCGGTTGCATCAGAGCCGTTAGACGTAACCAATTGCTATTTAAAATATGGCTCAGATGCTACATGAGATGGGGGTTTCTACAGCCAATGAGGTGGCGTTGGTTTCTTGATCATGCTTCAACCGTCGAAGTCCATGAGAAAGTGTAGCTGGGCATGATACCCCGCTGCCCAAAGCTCGATGGCGTCAGACCGAGACAAGGATGTTCGATGATCGTGCAGCCGGCAACGAGTGGGCATCCCGAGAGCCATGCACGGAGGCGGGTGTATCGGGAAGGATGCGATTGTCGATCAAGCAAAAAACCATTTTCGGAACTTCCGAGCAAGAGGCCACTGACTACAACAGCAAATTGGGATAGCAACGAGTCATTAATTGGCGAGATATTGAAGTTACCGAGCATGCATGCACTGTGTATGCGCATTCGAGTCGCGGGTTTGGCTCCGATACGCTTGGAGCGTCACTTGGCCAGTGGGGATACCAAGGAAATTTCTTGTTCTTTTTGATGATCCGTCTAAAACTGCTGCTATCTAACGTTGGAACTAGAAACAGATGAGGCAAGTATGGCCTCAGTAAACCGTTGCCCGGGCAGCGTAAGCAAAACAGAGGACTGGGGCAGGACCAAGCACGACGGTGGCGGCAAGCAACAGCAGGGCCAAGACGATAGGACCCACACCGAGCAGGGTGGCAGCAACGGGGAGAAGGGTTGTGTAAGCGGGGACGAAAAACGACGGAGCAATGACGGCCAAGTCGTACCACAGAAAGAGATGGGCGGCGTCGGGCACGACGTTGGCGGGCCGCGTCGACGGGCTCGGCCCTGCCGGCCAGTACACCAGGGCCAGCAGATTGCGAGTCAGCGCGGCTGAAACGCTGTACAGGTGGGCCGCTGCAGCCACCAGACCGGCGGCGAGGTAGGGGGCGGCAGGGGGGACGGATGCAGGACCGAGCAGTGTGGGAGCCATGTGCTCCAGCCCGAGATGCATCACCACGTAGGCAATGGGTGCGAGCCGGTACAGGGCGATGGAGCGCTGGCGTGTCTTGGCCGGGCACGAGGGCGCGTAGGCCGGGTACAGCAGCGCCAGTGGAACCAGGGCGCCGACGCAGGCGGAGAGGAGCAGCGCGGGCACGGCGGCGTGATTCATGGGCGTCGCAGCGGAGCCGCCGTCGAGGGCGAGATACAGCGGATAGACGAAGGCGGCTCCCCAGAACTGGTTAATCATGCCCCATGCGGCGGGGATGCTGCAGCGGTTAGCGAGGGCCGTCGAGGCGCTCAGGAGGCGGGTATACTAACAGGAGCTGCAAGGGCCGCGGCGACGGGCCGTGGCGGGTGGCGGCCAGCATGCAGAAGGCGGTAGCCTGCATGGTCGAGTGGACCTGGACGAGCAGCAGCCGGTTGCGCTCTGCACTGTCGTTGCGTGGATCGACAAGGTCCGTGTAGAAGACGACGGCCGTCTCGAGCCGACGATCCAGCGCGGGCACCCCAGTATAGCGCCTCAGCAGGGTCGAGCCATTCGCGAAACGGCCAGTCTTCATGACTCGGCCGATGGCCAATAAGGAGCCGTTCCGAACGGGCACCCTCCAGAGCCGGTCGTACCCGATCCAGGCCAGCCCGCATTGATAGCCTGCAACGAGGGCCTTTTCTGTCCACGACTCCATCGTTCGCGTAGGAGGGATGAGGTTCGACAAAGAAGCGAGACGGGCAACGTGGCTGCGGATACGATGGAAGCAAGGGGAACAGTGAGGAATAAACTCCTGGGCGGTGCATACTGTTATCGCATTTGATAAGTAAGCATGGCCTGCGGCGCATTCTCGAAAGAGTCCTTCGGCAACGGACAAACGAAGAGTAGGCGCGGTGCCGACGCACAAATCTCTGGGTCCGCCCAGCCTCGAAAAGCGAAACCATGCTGAGCGCGGGCGATCGTTTTCTCGGCGTCGATTGGGAGACGTGTGCTGTGTAGACCATCACCCGACAGGTCGGTACCAATCTCTGCCAAATCGGGACGACGCCGAGATCCCTGTACCTGATTACCAATCTGCGGACGAGTAGCGGTAGGCTGTGGCTTTCACACGGCGGGAGATTGTCAGCGCCACGCAAATTGCCCTTTACTTTTGTTGCTCCTTCGTGCAAACTTGAATGCCACTTCGGCTTAGCATTCTCTCCCCACGACCTCACGCGCAATGGACAGCACGTCGACATCCGCAACCCGTGTGCTCGATATCGAAGCAGCTGGGGCCAAAAGTGCCGACGATGGCGGTCCCAGTCCGACTTGCGCGAGTAGTGTCGAGCCAGACGCCGAGAAGGGTTCCCCGGCCGAGGATGCCGACCAGCAGCCGGCGCGGACCTACAGCACATGGCAATGGGCACTGATCCTGGCGGCAATCTACGCCAGCCAGTTCCTGTACGGGCTAGACACCACCATCGTTGCAGACATCCAGTCCGCCGTCGTCGAGGAGTTCGATCAGATTGGTCAATTGGGATGGCTCGGCGTCGGGTACCCTCTGGGCAGCGTTGCGACCATCCTTACATTGTAGGTACACAGCACCTCGTTGGCAGTCCAACTCCTCTAACCTCGCACTCAGTGGGAAGGCCTATGGAATCTTCGACATCAAATGGCTTTACACCGGGAGCCTGACCATGTTCACCGCCGGCAGTGCTCTTTGCGGCGCTGCTCCTGTAAGTACAATCAACCTCACTCACCACAAACTTGATGCTGATGCATAGCCAAGAACATGAATGCCCTCATCGTCGGCCGAGTTTGGGCAGGGGCCGGCGGAGCAGGAATGTATCTTGGGTAACTATCTCAACCCAAACCCTCAAGGACAAAGGATCTGACCAACCGCTTCCAGTGTTATGAACCTGCTCACCGTCAACACCGCCATGCACGAACGAGCGATATACATTTCCACAGCCGGCGCCATCTGGGGCGCTGGCTGCATTCTTGGTCCCGTCATTGGAGGCTCCTTTGCCGACAGCTCAGCGGGATGGCGATGGGTAAGTGTCACGGAATAGCCATACCGGTCGGATCACTGACAGATGACAGGCCTTCTACCTCAACCTGATTCTTTACGGCTTGTTCCTGCCAGTCATCCTCTTCGGACTGAAGCCATTCAGCTTCCAACCGGACAAGCCGTTCATGAAGAAGCTTGCACATCTCGACTGGCTCGGCATCTTCCTCAATGCTGCTGTGTACACCGTATTCGTGACCGTCTTTACGTTTGCGGGCTCAGAGTGGGCATGGGACGCCGGCCAGACCATCGCGCTGTTCGTCATACTCGGCGTCCTCATCATTTCCTTCGTCGCCAGCCAATACTTCACCATCCTGACCGACAAGGAACGACGACTCTTCCCTGGAGATTTCCTCCGCAACAAGAACCTGATCCTGCTCTACATCAGCCAGTCCTGCGCCACGACCACCCTCTTCATCCCCATCTACTGTAAGCCCCGACCCCTTATGCCAAAACCACCAGATCGATCGCTGACTCCACTCCCAGACATCCCCCTCTTCTGCCAATTCGTCTACGGCGACAGCGGCATCTCCTCGGCCGTGCGCCTCCTCCCCTTCATCTGCATCGCCGTCTTCGCCAACCTCCTCCAAGGCGCAACCGCATCGCGGGTCGGGTACGTCTCATCCCCATCCCCTCCCCTCCCCTCCCCTCCCCCGAGCTAACCCCTCGAACACAGCTACTACATGCCTCTCTTCCTGATCGCCAGCATCCTCGGCACCATCGGCGGCACGCTCTTCTACGCCGAGCTCTCGGCCTCGACGCCGCCCTCGCACATCTACGGCTTCTCCGCCATCCTGGGCATCGCCGCGGGTCTCTCGCAGACGGTGGCGTACAGCGTGGCGCCGACGGAGACGGCGCCGGAGCGCGTGGCCGACGCCGTCGGCTTCATCAACACGGCGCAGATCGGGTCGACGGTGGCGGCGCTGACCATCACCTCGGCCGTCTTCCAGAACGTCGGGCGCAAGCACGTGGCGGCCGCCGTGGCGGGGCTGGGCTTCACCGACGCCGAGATCGCGTCGGCGCTGGCGGGGCAGCGCGCCGCTGTGTTTGAGAGGATGAGCGAGCAGGTGCGCGAGAAGGTCATTGCGGGGATTGCGAGCACGATTTGCGATGCGTTTGTGCTGATTACCGTGGCTGGGGCGCTGGGGACGGTGGTGGCGCTGTTTTTGAAGAGGGAGAGGCTGAGTATGGAGGGGGCTGTTGGGGGGGCGTAGGTGTGGGTAAGAAAGAAACCTGAGCGAGGAGTTGGAGCACGAGTGGAGGGCCGGAAAGGGAGGAGGAGGGCGGGTTGTTGGGGGTTTGGGGATGGGATGGGGCGGTTGAGGCAATCTGTTGAGGCACATGTTTGATAGATTCTGCGTGTGAGGTGGATTGCTCTCAGCTGCGTTGCACGAGATGCTGCATCATCTCCCGCCTGTACCTTTAGATTCTATAATGTGGCTGTTCTTAATAATCAGCGGGCCTTATTGCCCATATATCCTTCAAGTGTGAGATTGTCACAATATCAATTCCGTGGCTGAGACGATGAAGTCAAGTAACATCAGACGCTGTTTTTGACTTGGGTAGAACAATGCAGATGGCTATGCTCGTTATGGTAACACTCTCTCATCTATCGTCCAAACTGTTGATTGATGGTGATTGGCTACATGACGTCGTGAGAGTTTCGGGGTGTAGGTGTTTTCCGGCGTTGAAGATTCCCCAAAAGTTCAACTCCGGCGTTACACGCAGTCAGGCTTAGGCGCGGCCAAGCCGTTTCCCGACAGATCCTTTTGAGCAGATGAGTAATGACGTCGGTAATTGACTAAAAGGGTCAAATAGACGAGTAATGGGGCGCAGAGCCCGGATTGCAGGCGAAGGAATGATTTGAGGTACCGTTTCGACGTTAGATATCCGACCAGTCAGGCCTGAAAGTCACATCTACTTTAGCTGTGTTTGTATATCATCACTTGCCCTATTGAAGAGATCTTTGGTCCGTGCATGCTTGAGCATACGGTTGTCAAATCCAGGTCCGCTGCACATCCAGGTCCAAACGGTGACTGCAAAGACAAAAGCAAAGGGAAATAAAGAAAAGAGCGGTACGTACATACTTATGCAAAGTGTGCAACAAATGGGACAACCCGGCTTGGAGGCGCAGTCAACAATCAACGAGGTCAAATCGTTGGGTAGCCCCACTGACGAATGACAGCAGACGCCAATGAACATCACCATGAACCCCATCAACTTTCTCCCTTCGCCCGAGGATGATCTACCATTTCCATTCGCAGACGATTGTCCCGACGATGCCTTTCAGCCGTTCTGGGCCCAACCCAAGCCCAGGCAGCTGCCCGAGTTGCATATCCATCACAACGTCAACACTTCACGGGTGGAGACTCAGATCCGGGTGCAGCTGACCTTGAGCCCCCTTCCGGAAGGCGTCACAAAGCTGCACCTACAACGCCACACCATCGGGAGACCGAAGCTGCTTGCCAAAGCAGAAGACAGGGTCAAATCTCCCGACACGTTGGAACTCCATACATTTCTGGTACGAGGAAGCGCGATGAAGGACGAAGGCTCGAGACTGAGAGCTTTGGAAGCGGCGACCCGACAGATCCAGGAACCACAGACACAGGAGAGCCCAGCGCTACCGACCGAGCTCGGGGGAGAGGTGCGCATCTGCGAGCGCTGCAAGTTTCGCGAACGCAAGCGTGCGTCTCGCAAGGTCAGAGTCGACAAGGGACAGCACTCATGGGCCGAATTCGAGGACGAGCGGGTCGTGGTTTTCAACGACTCGGAATACAAGAAGTGGGAGCTGCCGTCGACTCTGGGCGCCGCAGAAGGGGCCATGCAGGTCGAGCTACCGATGCGAATAGCATGTTACTGCCGCCATCACCAGGAGCAGGTTGGATTCTGGTATAGTAACCGCTCCGTGATTTCTCTACGTGGGATGCTAAGCGCCGTAGCAGTGTCATCTTCACCATCCTTGACCACGAAGGCAACCAGGTTGCTCAGCGCATGACGAACCCGATCCTTGTGACAGACCGACACAAAAGCGCTCAGCGAACGAGTCCTAGCCCTTCGAGTTGCAAGCGGATCTCAATGGCAGACTCATCGGGCGGCTCGCCCTGGGAGCTCTCGCCTGGTACCGACTCTCAGGCCATCTCCACCGAAGGGTCACTCGGCACACCCGCCATCAGGAAGCCGAAGCGGTTGAAAACAGCTCCAAGTGGCTCCATCAAAGACGCAAACTCGGATATCCAGGCTCTCATCTCATTGGCGGGGCCATCACAATCAGCGTCTCTGCTCACGGCATTGACGGAAGGATACGAATCACAGAAGCGGGTGCAACGTGAAGAAAAGCTACCTCGTATATACAAGGTGGTTCCGCCGCAATGTCCCAAGCATGGAGGGTGTGAGGTCGTTTGCCTCGGTGAGAATTTTGACCGCAACGTACAAATCTCTTTCGGCGGCAACGCCGCTCTTACAACCACTTTCTGGAACAGTCAAACTGTGGTGTGCTTGGTACCTCCATCAAACTTCACAGGTCTTGTACCGGCTTCGATACATTCGAATTCCCCTGTATTACCAGGCTCCAGCCCATCAATCGCATTCATGTACGTAGATGGCAATTAGCATGATAGTGTGAGCACGAAGACAATCGATAAGGTGTGCAAGCAGGACTGAGCCACCATGGTATTAAGTGATTTTAGACTCCTATGAAGAGTGTGTCGTACGTAGGTCAGGAACAGGGGTGAAGTCGAGTAGATCCCCTGGAAATCACGGTTCTCACCATTGCAGACTTGGATCCGCTATGGAAGCTTTGACGGGCAACCTCCAACCTTATCGCTGGCTTCAGCTGGGAGTGTCTGTGACGAGCCTGTGCACACTTTGGTTCCGTGACTGAAACGCTGTGGGTTGCTTGCCTCTGAATCCGCTGCTGAAGGGTTTCGAGTTGGAGTTGAGAATCGTATCACTTGCTACTGTTCGAGTCACACATCGCACGCCAAAGCAATGAGCATCGAGCTCGGTAAATGACAGATGGACCGCTCTAATACATGTACCGAGATGATTGCAACTATAGAAGCTGTACAACAGTCGTGCTGTAGTAAAAAAACGAAAAAAGAAACTCCCATTTACCCAAACTACCCAGCGAAAGCAAAACGAATCGACCATCTCACTTCTCACCTACCCGCTCCTCCACCGCCGACTTCGCCGGCCACTTGGTCCTCCTGACTGGACTCGCATAAAAGTTCAGCGGCCTCGTAACAAGAAACTCGGGATCATACACGACGGGCTCGGGCGACGCGTCTTCAAAATGATAGCGATACACCAACTCGACCAGCACCATCTTCACCTCCAACAACGCCAAATTAAAGCCCACGCAGCCGCGCGCCCCCGCCGCAAACGGGGTGTACAGCCCCTTCCTCGCCGCCTCGGCCGCGACGCCGTCGCCCATCCACCTGTCGGGATCGAAGCGGGCGGGGTTGTCCCAGAAGCGCGGGTTCTTGTGCATGCTCGGGAAACACGCGATGACGACGCCGCCCTTGGGCACGAGGTAGCCGCCGGGCAGCACGACGTCGGTCTTGGCGTTGCGGGCCGTCTGGAAGCTCGGGCTGTGCAGGCGCTGCGTCTCCTTGACGAAGGCGTCGAGGAAGCGGAGGCGGTGCACCTGCTCGTACGACCAGGGGCGGGCGGCGTTGGCGTTGGCGTCGGCGTCGGCGTCGGCGTCCAGGCCGTGGTCGACGATCTCCTGCAGGAGGCGCTCCTGGTTGCCCGGGTAGGTGACGAGGGCGTACAGGGACCAGGAGAGCAGGGAGGCGCTGGTGACGAAGCCGGCGCCGAGCAGGACGGTGACGTTGCCGAGGAGGACGTCGCGGGGGAGGGCGGCGCCGGCGTCGTCGCGGGCGCGGGCGAGGAAGTCGGCGACGCAGGCGGCGCGCTGCTGCGAGAGCGGGTCGCGCAGCGGGAGGGTGTCGGCGCCGGGCGTGACGGCGGCGTCCATGGCGCGCTCGACGGTGGCGAAGAGCTCGTTGCGCACGGCGCGGAGGCGCGCGGGCGAGCCGAAGGGCAGCGCGCCGAACCAGGAGGGCCGCAATGACATCTTCTTCATGAGGCCGAGGTACTCGCCGAAGAGGCGGATGGCGGGCGTGGGCGGCGAGTCGACGGCGGCGAAGTGGGCGACGTCTTGGCCGACGACGACGCGCCAGATGACTTGGCCGCCCATTTTGAACATGTATTGGTAGACATTGAAGGCGCGGTCGGCGCGGTCGAGCTCGTCGAGCACCGGGAATATAGACCGCGCGGCCTGTTGCACGAGCGGCGTGTGGTGGGCGACGGCGCGCGGCGAGAGGGCGGGCGGCACGAATTTGTGGGCGAGCGGGTAGGCTGGGGAGGCGCTATCGCAGGTGAACAGGGCCGTCTGCTCTTGCATGTAGAAGAGCGGATGGGCGGGGTCCGATGTTGTCTTGGTGAAGAAGTCGCCCTCGCGAAGGACGAAGCGCGCAATCTCCGGGTCGTTGGTGTGGTAGATGGTCGTGCCCATGTTGACGGTCTTGAACATGCGTCCGTACCGCGCGAAGAGCCGGTCGTAGTTCCCTAAGGCGTCTGGGTAGACTTCGTAGTGGTTGCCCACCACGGGCAGGGGTCGCGGCCCTGCTGGCGTGATGACTGGGCCATCGGCGTTGACACGCAGCTCGAGCGGGCTGATGTGAGATTGGATCTTCTCCAGCGATGTGAGCTCGCCATGTTCGCTGCTGTAGATGCGAGCAGCTGCAGCCGAAAAAACGTCAGCTTATTCCTGGCAACGGACGGACACGACTTGGACTCACCGTCCGGATCCGCAAACGAAAAAGACCGTCCAAGAGCAGACCTCAGCTGCTGCACAGTTGCATACACAGAGGTATCAATCTTCAAGCGATGATACTCGCTGCCAGCCTGGCCCAGGAAGAATTCTTGATGCATAGTGAAGAATACAGGCACCACGCGCGCGAGCCTGACGTCTGCTGGAGCTCGAATCGAACTTCAACTGCACCTTAGACCCTCGCCGCCATCGTCTCGGCCGAGAAGACGGCCGTTGGAGATCGGATCGGGCCAGGGCTGTTCGTGGTCACGGCGCGAGGCCGAATCGGGCAATTCAGACTTCCCCATTCGGCACGCTCGGCTTTTGATCGAATCGGGACGGGCCGGAAGCTCCAACCCAACCTTTTCGCAACCTCCCGTATAAGCCACATAAGCCACATATACTGAAAAATCTCCGTGATCCATCCTACACGGGTCCCGATCATACGCGAGCCAGTCATCCACCTAAGCATTCGTCCAGAACAGGACCACAGCGCGCAGCTGGCAACATGGCCGCCGTCATCACCAACGCCCAGCTCCGCGAGCACAGCACGCGAGAGAGCCTGTGGCTGGCCGTGCACGGCCAAGGTACGTACTGACTCAGCCACGATTCCTTTCCCGCCTCTCCCCCACACTTGCATCACAGCAGCCAAAAAAAACCCCCCACGTAAGCCCGCAAATAAAAATAAAGAGCAAAAATAACAACCCCACCACCAGTCTACGACCTCACCGCCTTCGCCGTCGACCACCCCGGCGGCATCGACGTGCTCGTCGAGACGGCCGGCACCGACGCGACCGAGACGTACGACTACGCCGGCCACAGCGACGGCGCCATGCAGACGATGCAGGCCTTCGCCGTCGGGCCGCTGGAGGGAGCAGGCGGCCATCTGAATCGTCAGCCAGCTGGAGACAGCAAGACGAGTAAATCATCGCTGCTGCCGTCATTTTCCGTGTCGATGGCGACGAAACCCGGCGCGGTGCGGACGGCGCGGGCGGGATTCTTCTCGCCGCGGTGGGCGGGGATCGCGTTGCCGCTGCTGGGGGTGGCCGTGTTGTTGGTCGGGGCGTGCAAGGTGGGGGTGTGGAAAGGGCGGGGGGAGGAAGAGGAGGAGGAGGCGACTGGCGGCGGGTTTGGCGCGGTTCCGGCGTTCGTGGCTGGGCTGGGTCTGGCGTCTTCTGTGAGCTGCGCCGGCCTGGCGGTCGCGTATTCGTGGTTTAGCGAGACGCTGAAGATGGAGAAGGAGGTGTTTGCGTATCCCCCGACGATTCCGAGGAGGGTGCTGAGGTCGATGATCGATGTGTAGGGCGGATGGATGGTGAATGTTGATATCCAATTTCCTTGCCATGTGGTGGTTGCTTATCGTGAGCCTTGGGCAAGGACACCCGTTGACTATCATAGTATTGATTTCTTCTTTTGTAAAGCAGTGCACTTATCTGATCACTTTTCATAATTCTATCCTTCTGCTACGCCATCAGCCGTTTTGCTGCAACACATCTCATCGCATAGCCAAACATTCAGCTGCAGCGGAACCTCCCCAAGTCAAGAGAACGGAGTTATTCGTTTTAATGCCATCACACTACTCAGCTTTTTCTCCCTCCTCACGTGTCCAAATGATCTGAGTTATCAAGTAACGTGGTAGAATGTACATTGAAACGAAAATTGCACCTACTCCACTCAACACCCCGTAATATTCTCAAGAACGCAAATTCAAGTGAAATCGAATCCCAAATATGCCGCTCTACTAAAGCTCCAAACCTCATCATTTCCAAAACACACCGTATGACCAGAAACAACAACAGTACTCAAACAGCAAAAAAGTACGAAATAGCAAGAAACTCAAATGAACAAAAGAATAAATTCTACCAATTCCGCAGCAATGCCAAAATATCTATCTACCAAAATCTACGCGGCGACACGTGTGAAAAAGAGAAAAGAAAATCGATCAATCTGATCTATCCAACGCACCGGCATATATACTCGCAGCCCGAACTCAAGCATCTTCTTTACTGGCGGTAACCAGCCCGCTCCTCGTCGCAATCTTCGCCGCCAACTCGGCCAACGGCGTCGAACTCAGCAGCTCAAAGACGGAGATGTCGCTCTTCAGCTCCTTGAGCGACCTGTTCCGGATCTCGACAGCCTTGAGAGAATCCACTGTTTCACACCGTCAGTCACCAAATCCCAGCACAAGGGGGACCACAAACGGGGTAGGAAAGAAAAACTCACCGCCAAAGTCGAACAACGGCCTCTGGGCATCGACCTCATCGACGGCCACGCCCACCGCCGCCGCAATCTGCGCCTTGATGTCCTCCTCGACAGCCGCCGTCGCCTCCGCCAGCGTCGCCGCCTTGGCCAACAGCTCCGCCGTCCCAGCCTTCCTCGCGCCGCCGTCCTCGCCCTCGCCACCAGCACCAGCCCCACCGCGCGCGACGCGCAGGTCGAACTTGCGATCGTTCTGGAAGCCGCCGGCGTCGGGCCTGCGGACGAGCGCGTCGCCCAAGCCGAGGACCACCTGAGCGGGCGCCGCGGGGTCTCGCATCAGCGCGGCGGCGAGGACGAGCAGCTCCTCGACGGTGGTCTTGAGCCCCTTCCAGCCGTGGCTGTAGCGGTTGATGTAGCCGTCGAGCTCGCCGAACTCGCCGGCGGCGGTGAAGTGCGACGAGTCGGTGACGAGGCCGACGTCGACGCTGGTGGCGGCGACGCCGAGCCGGCGGCGCGCGTGGCGGGCGAGGGCGTCTTCGAACGTGTTGCCGGCGGCGTAGTTGGCCTGGGCGGTGTTGCCGATGACGCCGGTGATGGAGGAGAGGAGGATGAAGAAGGGGGGCGGGGTGCTGCTGCTGCTGCCGTTGGTGATCGTCTGCTTCTTCGTCTTGGATGTCGCGGCGCTGAGGCCGTCGAGCAGGTTCCACGACCCCCGCGTCTTCGGCTCGAAGGCGCCCATCCACTTCTCCCACCCCATGTTGTCGAAGATGCTGTCCTGCAGCACCATGGCGCACTGCACGACGCCGCCGACTGTGCCCTGCACGCCGTCGAACACGGCCTTCACCTTGGAACCGTCGTTGACGTCGCACGCGATGGCCTCGACGTGCACGCCGCGTGCTCGCATTGCTGCGAGGTCGGCTTCGTTCTTGCGCCCGCCGCTGCGGGACAGGAAGGTGAGGTGCTTGGCGCCGTGGGCGATCATCATGTCGGCGATGCGGAGACCCAGGGCGCCGAGGCCGCCGGCGAGGATGTACGTGGCGTGGGCGTCGAGGGAGAGTTGGGGCGGGGGAGGGGGGAGGGTGAGGACGGATGAGGAGGGGGTGAAGGTGAGGACGGTGGAGGAAAGGGGGTCGGCGAGCTTGGAGCCGGCGGCGGAGATGGGGGTGGTGGTGGTTGGGGGGATGGGCTTGAGACCGGTGCTGAGGAGGTCGAAGGTGCGTTGGAAGAGGGCGGTCATGGTGGCGGGCTTGGCGCGGTGGACGGCGGACATGTCGATGCGGACGAGGGAGGCGTTGCGCTTGGATGCGGGAAGGGCCAGGTTCCTGCTCGTGCTGTCGAGGTCGACGAAGAAGCCGAACTCGGCGAGGATGTCGAGGGACGGCTCCACGGCGGGGGACGGCGCGCTGCTGAAGATGACGTCGACGGGCGCGGTGGCCAAGGTGGTGACGAATGTCTGCAGTGCCGAGTCGAAGATGTGGAACGCTGGGATGCCGTAGCGCTGGATCAGAAGGTCTCGTTCTTCCCTCGAACTCACCAAGGCGACGACATCGGCGCCAGCCAGCTGCGCCACCTGAACGGCAGCTTGTCCCAGCGCGCTGGCCGCCGTGTGTACGAGAACAGTCTGCCCCTTGGCCAGTCTGGCAACCTCCAGCAGCGCGTACTGCGCCGCAACGAGGACGCCAGGCAAGGCCGCGGCATCCTCAGCGCTCACGCCATCCGGCAGCGCTGCAACAAGCGACTCTTTCTGGCGGACATGCGTCCTCAGACACCCGCCGTTCTGGGCGACAGCAACGCGCTGTCCGACCGCCACCTTGGTCACCTGCTCTCCAAGTCTCGCCACCACGCCGGCAGCCTCCTTGGCCAGCGCCGGCAGGTCCTTCTTCTCCGCCTCCTCCCCACCAAGCGGGGAGAGCGCCGCCGCCTCGACGAGAACCTCGACCTCGTCAGGCGCCAACGGCGAGCCGGCCTCATCGTCCGCAACCCAGAGGAAGTCACCACCGGGCAGGACCTCCTTCAGCCTCGTCGGCCCCGACGCACTCAACGCCGCCGGGATGGGCTCCACGACACCCTCAGCACGCCTCAACTCGGCGTCGAAGGCAGCACTGCCAATCGCACGCGGCACGTACACGGCGCCGTCGCGCTCGGCGTACTCCATCTCGGCGCCCGACTCCCGCAACGACTTGAGCCACACGTCGGCGACGAGGCGCGCGCCGGCGTCGGTCGCGGCGTCGAAGCCGGGCGAGACGTCGAGGTGCGGCAGGGTGACGAGCGGGTACTCGTTGCGCAGCACGCGCAGCAGGCCCTGGGCGGGCGCGAACTCGACGCCGCCGGACCACTCGTCGATGACGCCGCCGGCGGTGAGCCAGAGGACGTGCGTCGCGGTGGAGATGAGCTGCTTGAAGGCGTCGAAGTCGGCGGCGGGCCAGGCGTAGATGAGGGGCGAGTGCAGTTCGAGGAGGGAGATGACGTGTTTGCCGGCGAGGAGGGCGACGGCGGACGCGGTGAGGGTGGTTTGGTGGACGGTCGTGGTGGGGGAGAGGACGGTGGTGAGGGCGGCGGCGGCGGCGGCGGCGGCGGCGGCGGCGGAGGGGGTGGAGGGGAGGAGGAGGTAGACCTCGGTAGGGGTGGAGGACTGGGTGGCGGTGGTGAGGGAGGCGGTCGGGGCGATGCTGATCAGTGACTTCGCTCCCTGCACCTTGACGATGTAGCCGCGCAGAGACGCATCCGCGTGCAGCTTGTCGAGGGCAGAGGGTTCGCTGCCGACGGCGATGACGAGGTCGTACGCGTCTTGGGGAGGCGGCAATGACTCGCCGGCGGCAACGTCCCACAGGCGCGGTGCCGGAGCAGACGCCGGTAGCTGCAAGCTGAGAGTGTCGACGGCGTTGGCAGAAGTAGCCACCGCAGACACGGTCTCGGCGAACCTGGCGGCATCGCGGACGGCGTCCGAGACGGCAGCCGGGGTCGCGTCGTTGAGAACAGCAAGCAGGACCTCACGCACAGCCGTCTTGTGGGTGAGACGGGCCAGCCAGCGTGGCAGCGGCTCTTCGCTGTCGGTGGCGTTGGAAAAGTCGACGTCCTGCTCCCACACCAGCTCGGCGCACTTGGTCGCCTCGTCGGCCGCGGCATCGCCACTGGCGGCGTCGCCCGAAGTGACCTGGCGCAGAGCAAAGCCCTTGACCGTCAGCTTGGGGGCGGACCACGCCTCATCCGACACGACCAAGTCGCCGACGAGCTCGTGGCCATCGCCGCTCTTGGACACGAGCTTTCCGTAGCCGGTGAAGATGTCGCCGGGGGTGTGCGGCTGTTGGGCGGCAACGAACATGTCGTCGATGCTGTAGGGCACGGCGGCCTCCTGCACGGGGCGGCCCTCGTCCAGGGCGGCCAGCAGCATGTGGAAGATGGAGTCCATGGTGGCCGGGTGCATGACGTGGGGGAACTCGAAGCCGTCGGCGGGCATGGTCTGCTTGGTGTCGGGCAGGACGACGCGGGCGTGGGCGGCGTGCTGGGCGGGAATGGCGGACAGGGTGACGACGTTGCGGAACGTGTCGCCGTACTCCATGCCGATGCGGTCGAGGTGGGCGTAGAAGTCATCGACGTCGACGTCCTCGCTGGTGGCGCCGTGCAGCTGCTTGTACGTGGCCGACTGGGCAGCCCATGCTGGGTCGGCGGACGAGGCATCTTCGACGGCGCTGGCAGCGGCCGGGGCGAGCTCGAGGGCGACGGTGCCGCTGCAGTGCTTGGTCCACGAGGTGCCGGTGGTGGTGGAGAAGACGACGAAGCGGAAGTGACCAGGGGGCTTGCCGTCGAGCGGCAGCAGGCTCAGCCGAGTCTCGACGGCCGAATCGTCGCCCGACGGCACCACCAGGCCACGCTCGAAGCCGACATTGCGGAAACGGAACCCGCGCACCTTCTCCTTGTCGGCTGCGTCGGTGACGGTCTGCAGGGCGCCCTCCAGGGCCATGACCAGCATGCCGGCGGCCGGGTACAGGATGGTGCCCGTGATCTTGTGGTCTTCGATCCAGGGGTTCTCCGACACGCGCAGGTGGTTCCTCCACCGCGGCTCGAGCGGGTTCTGCAGCGGCTCGGGCACGCCCAGGAGATCAGTCCGTGGGCCCAGCGGGTAGCGCGTGGCGCGCATGAGGTACGACTCGTGCCAGTAGCCCTTGGAATGGCTCCATGGGTACGTAGGAAGGTCAGCCAGGGCCTTGGGAGGCGCCCCCAGCAGCGAGCCTTGCGATGAAGGCACGCCGTTGACGATAGCGAGGTCGACGCGCTGGCCCAGGGCCCACAGCTGGCCGGCGGCTGCGAGCGCCGTGTCGATGCCGTCCTTGCCGCGCGAGACCAGCGACGTGTAGACGGCCTCGCGTGCGGCCTTGTTTGCACTGGCGGCCACGATCTGCTGCACTGGGCCCTGGAGGGCGGCGTGCGGGCCAACCTCGACGAAGCCGCCGTAGTTGGTGCGGCGGCGGGCGAGCAGAGCAGACACGGCAGCCGAGAACTCGACCGGGTTGCACATGTTGGCGGACCAGTAGCGGGCGTCGAGCTGGGCGGCCGACGACACGGGTTCGCCAGTGAGGGACGAGAACATGACCGTGTTGGCGCCGTCGACGTCGGACTGGGGCGGCGGCGAGAGCGTTCCCAGCCGGGCGACGTAGGCGTCCGACACTTCGCGCATGTGGGGCGAGTGGTAGGCCGTCGTGACCTTGAGCTTGCGTGCGAACTTGCCGTCGCTAGAAATGAGGCCCTCGAGCGTGTTGATGGCGTCGACGTCGCCTGAGAGCGTCACGCTCGACGGGCTGTTCACGCAAGCCACCACGGCCGAGTCGGCTGGCACCTTGGCCAGATACTCGCGCGCCTCGTCGCGAGAGAGGCCAGCCGCCAGCATGGCGCCCTTGCGCGTGACGCTGGCCGAGCTGAGGCCGCGAGTGTATGCAATCTTGACTGCGTTGGCGTGCGAGACGAGGCCGGCGGCGTAGGCGGCAGCTGTGGGCGGTAATTAGCAGGAGTCATCATCCCATGCTCACATCGTCACTTCAACATACCTATCTCACCACTCGAGTGGCCCACGGTCGCGCTCGGCGCCAGTTTCCACGACCGCAGCAGCTGCACCAGCGCCACCTGCAGCACGGTGCACAGCGTCTGGCTGAACTCGGGCAGGTGCACGCGCGAGCCCGTGTCGGCCGTCTTCTCCAGCTCCTCGATGGCATTCCACTCGCACCCCAGCGCCTTCAGGTATGCCTGCGACTCTTCGACACTGGCGCGGAACACGTCGTTGGCGAGCAGCTCGCGCCCCATGGCCGGCCACTGCGCACCCTGGCCGGTGAAGACGAAGACGAGGCTGCTGTCCTGGCGCAGCGCGCGCTTGAGCTTGGGCAGCCCGCCCGCCGTCGACAGCTTCGTGCGCAGTTCTGCAACCGACGACGCCACGGCGAAGCTGCGGAAGTCCAGCGCCGACCGCCGTGCCGCGAGCGTGTGGGCGAGGTTCTCCAGATAGTGCGGGTCCGTCTTGTCGGGGGCGCCGTCCAGCGCATCGGCGTAGGCGCTGGCCAGGCGCTGGATGCCGGCCTGGTCTTTTGTGCTGAAGACGAAGAGCCGCTTCTGCGGGGGCGTGTCCGGCGGCGTGCTCGAGCCAAGGCTGATGCCCGACTCGGACCCATCGCCGTCGTCCAAGACCTTCGTGTTGTGGTTGCCGATGAGCCCGCGCTCCGTCAGGTAGTGGTGGGCGTCGTCGAGGATGGCGTGGGCGTTGGCGCCGCCGAAGCCGAACGAGTTGACGCTGATGCGGCGCTGCCCGCGCGTTGGCCACTTCATCGTCTGCGACGGCAGTGACAGGTTCCACTCGGAGAGCTTCAGCTTGGGGTTGACCGTCTGCACGTCGTACGTCGGCGCCAGCATGCCGTTCTCCAGGCACGCCACCGCCTTGAGCACGCCCGCCAGACCCGAGCAGCCCTCTGTGTGTCCGACGTTGGGCTTGATGCTGCCGATGTACAGCGGGCCAAGGCCGGCCGCCGCTCTGCTCGCGCCCAGAGTCTTTGCGATGGCTTCGAGTTCAAGGGGATCGCCGACCGGTGTGCCGGTGCCGTGGCACTCAAAGTACTGCGTCGACGTCTGCTCGAGCCCCGCCGCCTCGTACGTCCGTCTGATCAGCTCCGCCTGAGCCTCGGCGCTGGGCGACGTGATGCTGGGCGTCTTGCCGTCCGCATTGGCCCCCGTGTTGCGGATGACGGCGCGGATCGTGTCGCCGTCGCGCAGCGCGTCCGACAGACGCTTGACCACGATGCATCCAATGCCCTCGCCGCGTCCGTAGCCGTTGGCCCGGTCATCGAAGGCGTGCGAGATACCCTCCGGGCTCAGCATGTGCATGGCCGAGAGCTGGTGCATGGTGTTTGGGTTCAGGATCAGGTTGACTCCGGCCACGAGTGACTGTTTCCACAAATCAGCAAAGCACATTCGCACCACCAGTCGGCGCTCTTACCATGTTCGTTTCGCCCAGCTTCAGCGACTGGCATGCCAGGTGCAGTGCGTACAAACTGGACGAGCAAGCCGTGTCGAGCGTCAAGCTGGGCCCCCGCAAGCCAAAGAACCAAGACACGCGATTTGCCGTCATGGCCTCGCTCGTGGCCGATGCCGCGTTGTGGCCGATGTCGTAGATGTCGTGCAGAGACATCATTTCGTAGTCGTTGGTCATGCACCCAACGTAGCACCCCGTTTGCGAGTTCATCAGCGATTCCACCGGAATGCCCGCTGCATTGCCCCAATCAGTTCCATTCACTCCTTTTTCTGAGATCAACTAACCATTCTCAATGCTCTCGTAGCTGACTTCAAGCAGTAACCTCTTCATGGGGTCCATTGCCGCAGCCTCCTTGGCCGTGGTCGAGAAGAAAGGCGCATCGAAGTGGCTGATGTCCTGCTGCAGAAAGTATCCATGCTTGACCGCGATCTGTCTCGCAGTCAGCAGTAGCTCTCGTTATTTCCTTCTCTGCACTATACTCACCCCGCCTTTCCTGTCGGGATCTGGGTGGTTCCAGATGTCTCCATCCCAGCGGTCCGCGGGAACTTTGCCGTGGCCAGTGCGGACATTGCTGATCATGTCCCACAGGCTGCCCAACGACGAGGCCTGGCCCGGCAGTCGACAGGCAGCACCGACAATGGCAATTGGCTCTTGCTTGTCGTCCATCTTTGAGCTCGTTGGTTGTCCTGTGCTGAAGTGTTGTGGAATCGTTGGGTGATGGACGTGAGGAAGTGAAAGCGACGAATAGCTGACAGTCTACTTGCTGCTGCAAGAATTAAGTACTGGCAAGGCCTCTACAACATGTTGAAGCGGAATTGGTATGCTTCGAACGGCTGCCGAGTTGGGCCCTCCAGCCCTCGTTGCTCGAAGCTCCGTCGTGGCCCTGTTCGGTCATGTTGCATCCCGTTTGGTGACCATCCGCATTTGGCCGACCATTCACCACGGACGGCGTTTCCTGGCCCAGCATCGCCGTGGTCGCCTTCGGGACAAAACTGCGGCGGGCCGACCGCGACATGCCGAAACTTATTTCCACTTCTGGCCAAACGCCGCTTCGGCTCGTGCCAAATCGGGCCTGACGCGAGCGACACGGACGGAGTCCGCTGGATGCATACATCACTGCTGTACATGAATAAGGAAACGGCCGTCCGCCTCGTCCCATTCGTGATAGTTGCCACTCCAGCATTCACTCTTTGCTCTTTGCCCAGCATGAGGATCCTATGCCTTCACGGCGTCGGCAGCTCTGGCGCCATCCTTGAGAGCCAGCTGCGGCCATTCATGCGCGCCGTCGACCCGTCGTATGAATTCGTCTTCGTCGATGGGCCCGTACAGTCACCTCGCGGTCCGGGTAAGCATGCATGCCTGCCTCCATCCTTCACTCCCCTCCACTCCACACACACACCCCCTGACCCAAAGACTCAGGCATGGGCGCCTTCCACGACGGCCTCTTCTTCTCCCACACGAGTTCCTACTCGCCAACCGGCATGTCGGACGCGCTCTCGCACCTCAGCGACGTCATCAGCGACCTGGGCCCGTTCGACGGCGTTCTCGGCTTCAGCCAGGGCGCCGCGCTGGCGCTCTCGTACCTGCACCAGCAGCAGTCGCGGCGGGAGCCGGCGCCGTTCCGGTTCGCGCTGTGCTTCTCGTCGGTGATTCCGTGCTCGGCCGAGTCGGAGCACTGCCACGGCATCGTGCAGCGGCTGTGCGCGCTGCCCGAGGGCAGCCGCATCACGTCGGCGTACCCGGACGCCGCCGCAGAGGGCCTGGATGCTGACGAGGCGCTGTTCGTCGAGCTGCTGCGCCGCACCATCCTGCCCGCCAAGAAGCACAATGCCATGCTGCCCGACTACGACATCGGCGTGTATACCGACGGGGACGGCTTCGACGCGCCGCGACTGATGGCCGGCGGGCTGCTGGCCGAGAAGGTGGCGATCCCGACGGTGCATGTGACGGGGAAGCGGGATCACGACTTCATGCGGAACATGGCCGAGGTGGCGTACGGGATTTGTGACGCGAGGCTGAGCAGGAGGCTGGAGCATGCGGGCGGCCATCAGCCGCCACAGAAGGATTCCGAGGTGAAGGCGGCGGTGAGGGCAATGGACTGGGCCATCAGGCTGTCTGAGAGAACGGCGAATCTGCGTTTGTGATTTTTTTCTTTGCTCTGGTGATTTTTTTTTTTTGATCCGATCATGAAATCTCTTGTTTAGAATAGACGTAGAAATATGACCTTTCAACCTGATCCTGGAACTTTTTGTTAGTGTAGACGTAAAAATGTGACCTTTCAACCTAATCCTGGATATTCTTGTTAGTGTAGACGTAAAAATGTGGTTTTTTCGTACCAGGTGTTTTGATTCGGTTTTTGCGCAGCTTAAAAATCTTTCAGTAAGCGCTTGAATGCTTTATGACGAGCTGGTGAAGCGGCCACCATCGCCGGGTAAGTAGGAAATCTACCAAACCCACCATTGCCATCTATCCAGAAGCCCGTGAGAAGAAAAAAACAACAACAACAAGAAATATCAATCAATCAATCACCCCACTGCGACCCCAAAAGACCCTCCCTCTAGTCCTGGGCGCCCCTCGACACCGGCCTGTCCAGCGACGACTGCCCCCCCACCCCCATCATCGCCCTCACAGCCTTGATCTTCTGATCCGCCTCCCTCAGCAACACCAGATGCCCCAGCCGCCCGCCCGCCCTCGCCTTGAGCCTTTTCAACAACCGCAAATACTCGCCCAGCTGCACCGACACCAACCCCTGCACGACCGCAACCCGCTCCCCCCCATTCTCGACGCAGTAGCTCGAAAACCACATATGATGCTCCGCCGCACCACCAGTCCCAGCAGCCCCACCACCCCCCCACAGCGCCGCCCCCGCCCCCTCCCCCTCCTCGCCCCCTCCATCCATCTCCCCATCCTCCAGCTGATCCCCTCCGGCCCCAGCCGGCGCCACCCCCACCTCCCCCCGCCTACTACTACTACTTCCCGGATCCAACCCCACCCCCCACCCCCACCGCTGCTCCCCCCGCTGCTCCCCCCGATCCCGCCCCCTTCGCTCCCGCCGCGTCCCCAGCGCGTCCCACGCGCGCACCATGGCCTCGAAGACGTCGGCCATGTACCCGGCGGCCATGGCGAGCAGCATGTTGGTCTCGCTGGCGGCGGCGGCGCAGCGCTCGCAGTCGAGGATGGCGGCGGCGCGGTCGAGGGCGCGGCGGGAGAAGGCGAGGAGGACGTCGATGGGGATGGGGGGGGGACCGGTGGGGGAGGAGATGGAATGGGAGGGGGCGGTGGTGGTGGACAGGGAGGGGAGGGAGGGCGATGTGGAAGGGAGGGAGGAGGTGGGGAGGGAAGAGGTGGTGGTGCTGGTGGTGGTCGGGGCGGAGGCGGGGGCGGAGGCGGGGCAGGAGAGCGTGGCGCCGGCGCCTTTTTCGCTGAGGTCTTGGAGGAGGGAGGCGGCGAGGTGGAGGCAGTGGCATTGGGGTTGGAGGTGGGGTTGGGGCTGGGGTTTTGACGGCAGGGAGGATGAGGAGGGTGGGGCGTAGGACTGGCGGCGTTGTTGTTGGTGGTGTTGGGTGGTGGTGGTGGAGGACGACGACGACGAAAGGGCCGGAGTCGGGGCATATGAGCTCTGGCGGCGCTGGTCGTGGGTCGACGAGGGCGCTGGGGTCAGGGGGAGCTGGTGGTGGTCGACGAACCAGCGGCTGAGGTCGGGAGCGCTGCGCCAGCGCTCGTTGGGGTCGTGGTTGGTTGCATCGCTCAGGGACTTTTGTTGTAGGAGTGGTGAGATGCTGGAGAAGTTGCTGGAGAGGGTGTCTTCGACGCTGGTGCCGGCGCTGGATTCTGCATGCCCTGTCAGCGTCTTTTTCGCCATGGGAGCGGTAGGTTGTTCGCTGACATACCGATGAGGCGGTTGGCTTCCTGAGCGAAGTTGTCCCATGTTGCATCATCCATTCCGATGTCTAGGCTCGAAGGCTCGAGCAGTGCCATAGAGAGCGCATCTGGTATGTCGGTGTCTATGTTCAACCACTGTTGGACATCTTCAGAGATGCCGTCATTGGCTGCACGTGGCGATGGGCAACTGCTCGGGTTGCGGCTCGAGTCGGCGGTTGTACTGGCAGCAACATGTATCCCTCTCGGGCTCCGCTGCTGCGGCGGTGCAGCAGAGGAGGAGTTGGTACTGCTCTTCCGCCCGCGGCCCTCGCCGGCCGGATATCGACACTCGGCAAAAACTGCGGCGCATCGATCGCAGCCCGACGGCTGGCCGCTGCACCGGACCTGCAGTGGGGTAAGTACATCAGTGATGGAAAGAAAAAAAAAAAGGGTGGAGCAGACTCACCTTTCGTGCTCGACAGGCCACGCACGAGATGTGGATCTTTTCGCGGCGACTGCGGCTGAGGGCCGATGCTTGATCTGTGTTCTCGACAAAAACGAGGGCTTCTTTGCGCTGCACGTCGGAAACAAGGGTTCCAAACATTGTCTTTGTATTATCCTTCCTGCAGATGCATCGCCCGGACAGGCTGGTGCTACATATACGGCGGTTGCTGTAAGACCGGAGTGCATGATGGACAGCTCCCGGATTACTTAGTTCGTTTGCGTGCTTTTCAGCAGCCTAATGGTGCGATTAAAGAGGCGATTCGGATCACGCACCGCGTAATCGGGGACCGACCGGGGTGGGTAGGGTTGAAGGGGTCTAGGCAGTCGTCTGGGGGTGCAAGCAGTGGGGGTTCGTGAGCAAATCATGCTCCACATGCGGTCACTCCTCGGCCGTGAAGATTGTTCGGTCCGGGTTTAGCGTGCGGGCCAGCCGTTGGTTGCGCGCGCTCATATGCAGGTCAGCCCGGAGTACGTAGTGCTGCAGCCGGCAAGCAGGGGGTATTGCGAAGGAGCTCGTATCATCCTGTATCCCGTCAGCAAGGCGGGCCGTGATCGGCTAGACCAGGGTGATCTAATCTATGTGCTATTTCCAAGATAACACCGCATAGGAACGTTTGGTCGGTGCTTGGGCGTGCGTCCAGCTACCATCTACCGCACAGTTGCTGCAGGCTTACTCACCCACATAGATGCTGTGTGCGCCCCACGTAGTACACCACGACGGCGCCATCTTGCTCGCTTGCTCCGTCTAGGCACAGTGGGTATAAGCTCGCCAGTTCCATCTGTGCGCCGCCCGCCGGCCCGTCCCGCCACTGACCATGCGGCGCCACCAACGTAAGCCAACCGCGCTAGTCCCGCGTTCTGGCCAAGGCAGCTGAATCGCCAGCAGAATCAGGCCATGCTCCTTCTGTGCGGATCCGCCTCGCTCGAGCCGACTTCACTTCTTATCGGCACCAACGCCACAGCCAAGCATGTCAGGCTGTCGGTGGAAAGGACTGTCAGACCTCGGCTTACTTACCGTCGAGGCCAGCCTGCTATCTCCATCGGTCCAGGCGAGCTTATTCTCCGAGTGATTTTTTCCAGGAGCCATGGCCAATACAAACGCACGGTAAAGACGAAGATGGTCAGGAAAGCCGATTTTCTTACATTTGTGGTTAGCCGCGTCCCGATTTACACCGTCTCCCGGGTCTTTGCGGAATAGGACAGTTAAGTGACAGGCGTTGAGCCAAGGCTGCCTGCCAACGACTTCAGAGGACACTACAGTCGTCAATAGTTGAACCCTGAACGGAACGCCTGGGCCTGTTCAGGTGGCGGTTGTGCATGTCGCGGGTGAGAAAGGCGTTTTTAGAATGACTGCAGTGTGGGGGGCCCGTACTCCGGTCCCGCGCGAGGCTGATGTATTTATTCACAATTCTTCCAGCGGGCTTTGAATCTTACCACATGTACATCCATCAATCATGCCGCGTACTACATTACGCAACTCGTGCGACCGCTGCCACAAGTCCAAAGTCAAGTGTGTGTATGACTTTTCCGAAGGATTCGGCTGCACGCGGTGCCGCACTCGGTGCCTGGAGTGCGTGCGCAGCCCCTGCAAGCCTTACGGCCGACGACCAGGCTCCAGGAACCAGCAAAACAAGCAAACCAAAGACGAGCCGAGCGCATTGGACAACCGAGCGGCGGGGCCCACGTCCGCATCGCTCCCACCAACCGCATGGTCCGGAGGAACGACGACCAGGGCAACGGCGGCAACGACACCGCCGCCGCCGCCGACGACGACGACGACGATGACAACGTCCCCACCGAGCCCCGACCGTACATTCAGAGGAGGCCTTGAAACCGCTACTGCAGAGGGTCCATTCCCCGAAACGCACCAATGGCAGGCGCACCCGCACACCACCACTACCAAGCTAAGCGTCGCCGTCGCCGACACCGTCGACACCGACCAATTGATCATCCCGCCGACCGACTGGCCGCTCACCATCGCGTGCAGCAGCCTCAGCAGCAGCACCGGCTTCCTGCTGCTCCACCCCGCTTCCCCCGCCACGTCCGCAGCCTCCTCCTCCACCCTCGAATCGCGCCAAGGCGTCGACGGCACCACCGCCCCCTCCTCCCCCTCTTCTGCCTCCTCCTCCCCTCCGACGGCCTCGACCCCCTCCTCCGATACCCCCATCTCCGATACCCCCACCGACCCATTTAAACGCCTCGGGCACGCCGCGTCCCCGCCCCTCCGCAGCAGCGGCTGCGGCTGCCCGTGCGCGCCCAGCCTCGCCACCGCCATCGACCGCCTCTCACGATGCAGCGGCGGCGGCGACGGTGGCCAGCTTGCCGCCGGCGCGGCTGAAGACGGCACGGCGTGTCTGGCACGGTTCGTCGAGTGCAGCCGCCGCCGGCACCGTCACCGGATGCGTGACGGCGAGGGCGACGGCGACGATGGCAGCAGCAGTTCAGCCGGGATGCTCATGTTGCTGCTGGCGGCGGCGTTTCTGGCGCAGAACGTCCTGGATGTCGTCTGCGGCGAGGTGGTGAGGGTGAGGAGGGAGACGTACGGCGGCGGCGCGCTGCGGCGGCGGCGGGAGGTGCATGTGCGGATTGGCGGGTTCGACGACGACGACGACGACGACGACGACGGTGGTGCTGGGGATGGGCGGTGGCGGTGGCGGGGTGTTTTGCTGGCGCTGGGGCGGCTGGAGCCGGTTGTGGAGGCGTTGGGTGGCTGTGTTGCGGAGGAGGAGGAGGAGGAGAAGGTGGACGAGGATGAGGACGAGGTGCAGCAGCGGGACGAACGGGCGGGCCGGGGCGTGTGTGGGGTGGTGGTGAAGGCGGTGCGCAGGCGGTTCGGGGCCGTGCGTGAGGCGGCTGCAGAGGAGCTGCTGAGGGGGCGGCGCTGATGGGGGTTGCGGATGGTGGTGGTGTGGAGACTGGTGTGGGTAGAGTTCAACGTGTAGTAGGTTAATGGATAGGAAAGGGTTCAAGAGTGTGTGGCCGGAGATGCGGAGCGGAGTGGGTCGCGTTGCCCCTCTGGGCAAGTGCAAGAGTGGATGGGCGGGTCTTCGGGTCTCGCCTCGCGTGGTTCATCCATACGGGTATCATTCCGTGAAAATCACTCCCGTCCGCCGGGCCAGCAAAGGGCGCAGAAGGCAATCTTTGCCTGTGGGTGCATGGGAGGCTCATTGACCCTCTGATTTAGCGTTTGCGTATCGCACCCTTGCTGTTGGATCAACCGCTCCTGCTTTCAATCCGGCAGTCGATAACTCAAGGCGAATCGCATCATCCCCGAAGATAAGAGGTCATGCATGTCGGGACTGCTTGTTGGCCGTTGAGCTGTAGGCGTCCCATGCACGGCGACTTTTCTCCGCTGCTGGTTGGACGCCACACACCCGGCCTGCCATTCACCAACATGCTGCCCCACCACCGGCACCCGCGAAGATCTTTCATGTGGCAAACCGTCTCAGCCAAGTCGCTCTGATCTTCACGTAGAATTGCCGACAAGTGGGTAAGTCGGATCTGAGCAACGTTGCTCCCCTTTCCTTAGTCAGAGGGATCGTGCAAAGTTAAAGCGCAGCTCCCACCGCACCTTGTTGCGAGTCAGATGGAGGTCATCATGCTGTTGCACGGATCTAGTCCCATTCAGGGAATCGGAGTCATGAGATAAGACGGGACGAGTTTGATATAAAAGCACACTTGAAGACATAGTCCGCCCCCAACACACACGCTGTGTTGCAACATGTCAAAGGTTGCAAAACGATGGACGCCAGAAGAAGACCAGATGTTGCTACGCCAGGTGTCCTGCTCGAGTTCGTGAATCCCAATGCCATATCTACCGCATCTTTTCGAGCAAACCGACTGATTCTGCGAAGCAACCCAAGGTAAAGCCAGGGATTGGACCGCCATTGCGGCCGGGGTGCCCGGGCGCAGCAATAAAGATTGCCGTAAGCGGTGGTGCAACCACCTGGTTGGAGGTCTTCGCAAAGGCTCGTGGGAGACAAGCGAGGACCGCATACTGGCAGCCAGTGTGGAGCAGTACGGCTTTCAGTATGTCCACGACCCCACCATCCAGATCAAGATTAACATTGATGTGCAGGTGGGCCCTCGTGGCAGAGGAGGTCGGCACTCGGAGTGCAGATCGTGAGTGCTGTGCCGTTTCCACACTGATCAACCATGCCATGACCGAAGCTGACTAATCTGCAGAATGTGCGAAGCGTTGGCAGCACTCATTGGACCCATCCCTCGACCATAGCAAATGGACCACGCAGGAAGTGAGTTGCATCGTGCCGGCCCCGATGACGTGGAACCAACGTTGACGCCAAGAGCAAGGAGAAGGAGCTTTTGGAAGCAGTAGAAAAGCACGGCCGCGCGTGGAAGCAGATTCAGACCCAGTATTTCCCCAACAGAGCAACAAACAACGTAAAGAACAGGTTGGTCGGTCTTTATATCCCGGCAGACGTGTGAACTGAGAGAATGAGCAGATATGTAACGCTCGCGCGGAAGAGAGAAGCAGGAGCGGACGGGAGAGACACTCCAATGACCGACAGTGAAAGCGCGACAGCCGCCTCGCCGAGCTGTGCAACGGTCGTGGCATCCGTGGAAGAGACTTCTTCGCTGTATAGAAGTGACGCCGCTTCCACGACCAGCGAGGACCGAAAGGACCGAGGCGAGATGTTCGACCTTGGCATGCTCACCAACATGCGACGCACGACACCTTTCATGAGCTTGGGAATGCCGGATGAGGACGGCTTCACCAACGACATGTCGTTGGACTTTGGAGAAGACTACAACCCAATGGCCGATTCATCCCCGTCTCGAAGTCTACACAATCAGACCCGCTCCCATGGATCCGCCAGCCAATCATCATCAAACACGCGCTTCGACTCGGCAGCTGACAAACTCTCTGCGCTGATGAACATGGATTTTCTCCCTACTCGTTCGGCCCAGTTTGTACTGACAATAGACAACCCGTCTCCGGAAACAATCACGAAAATCATAGGCATACTCATACAATCGGACATCAAATTCAGAACAGAGATGAAGTGATTTACATACAGCCATCGAAGGGAGCTACCTTTGCCTGCTATGTGTTCTGTGTTTGGAATTGGCTATCTTCTCGGGTGTAGAGACGGAATCGAGTTTTGAATGAATTTGTCTCATCTGCGGCCCAAGGGACGGCCTCTAGATAATAGAAGAAAGACTTCGACAGCGGAAGTTCCACGCACATTCATCCAGAATAGTCAAACAACCCACATTAACACCCGACCATGAGATCCCTATAGGCAGCACGCACCGATGCTTGTCAATTGCGCCACACGCCGGAGCTCAACTCGGCGACGCTCGGCTGAAACTGCCAGAAGCGCACGCGCAATTCGTCCGGCTGACAAATTCAGCATGCCCAGGGACAGGAAGTCAATCCGATCCGAGACCAAAACCGCCCCGCCCACTCCCCTTCGACGCTACTCCCAAGACCCAAGCCCCCATACCAAGCCCTCCACCAAGCCACCAGCCACCACCACCACCACCACCACCACCAACAATGCCTCTAAACGTCCTCGTCATCGGCGCCAACGGCTACCTCGGATCGGCCATCAGCCGCGCCTTCCTCCGCAGCCGCCCCCCACCAGTACCACCACCAGCACCAGCACCACCATCCCCTCACCAAACCACCACCACCACCCAACCAACATCATCACCACCCCCACAAACATTCCGCGTCTACGGCCTCATCCGCCGCGCCTCGGCCGCCCCCGCCCTCGCGGCGCAGGAAATCATCCCCCTCGTCGGCACGCTGTCCGGCCCCGCGAGCTCCCCCGCCGCGCTGCGCGACAGCATCGTCCGCGCCCGACTCGCCCCGCGCCGCTGGGACGTCATCGCCGTGTGCACGGAGCCGGCGGACCGCACGGCGCAGGCGCGGCACTGGGTCGATGTGCTGGAGTTTGTTGGGCTGTTGTCGACGACGAATGGTGATGGTGGTGGTGGTGACGAGGATGCAGGGCGGCAGCAGCAGCACCACCGGCCGCTGGTGCTGTTCTCGTCCGGGTGCAAGGACTACGGGACGACGGGGCGGGAGGGGGAGGCCGGGCTGGCGCCGCATACCGAGGGGAGCGGGTTGGCGCCGTTTGAGATGGTGAGGGGGCGGACGGAGGCGGCGGTGAGGGCGTTGGCGGTGGGGGGTGGTGATGACCGGGCGTTTGACGTCGTGGTGTTGAGGGCGACGCCGATTTGCGGGTACAGTGGGAGTTACTATGGGGCGATGATGGAGTATGTGGAGGGGTGTGCAGGTGCGGCTGCGGCTGCGGCTGCTGCCGGTGGTGGTGGAAAGGGGGACGGCGTGTTGAAGTTTGCGGCGCATCCGGGGACGATTTTGCACGGGATGCATGTTGATGACTGTGCGGATGCGTATGTCGCGCTCGCGAGGCTGGCGCTGTTTGGAGGGGCGGAGGGACGCCGCGCGGTGGCGGGGCAGGTGTTCAACATCTCGGGTAGGCGGTACGAGACGCTGCGGGAGGTCGGGACGGTGCTCGCGAGAGAGTACGGCTTCGAGAATGGGGCACGGTTTGGGGTGGCGACGGCAGAGATACCGTCGACGGTGGATGCTCAGGGGGCGGATATGGTCTTCGGCTGGAGTCAATGGGTCGACAGCACGAAGATCCGAGAGCTGACTGGATGGAGCGATTGGAGACCGCTGTTTTCAGAGAACTTGCACGTCTATCGCTTGTCTTATGAGGCTGCAAGGGACTACAAGGATGACAACGTACAAAAGATCAGGAATAGGATGAAGGGGGATTGGGGAAGCGGAGATTAGGACTTGAAGCGCACATGTGGGCGATATACATGAGTTGGCGTCAGTGGAGGAACATCCAGCCGCTCTAACGAATGACATGTCAATATTACGTGAAGCTTATGTCAACCACTAGACCCACTTGAAATACTAAATTCGCCTTTGTTGACCGTCATGAACATCAAAAGCGAAAGTCACATGTCGCATATAACGACTTTGTAATACGAGCCCTTCAATTCAGCGGTAATCCACACGCCATGCGTATCAAAGAACGGAGGTGCCCCCTTCGTCCGTAGACAGCATAAGAAAACCAGCGGTTCCAAACACCAGCGTTGTGAAGAAATGCCCATAGCTCGCCTGCCTTAATCCGTGCTTCCAAGTGATTATCGTGTCCACAAAACCCGTGATCGTCCCACATACCAGCACCGTACCGACTGCCCTCCAATCCTGCCTGTATCCAAACGCAATTACAGATAGGCCGGTGGAAACATTGCGGGCGCCCGTGGCACCTATGAAGTGGTACCAGGAAGACTGCTCGGGCAGTCCAAACCGTCGGGCGAATCCTGGTCCGGTGAATTTGGTAAGGGCGGTGCAGCCAGTTGTGATGCCTAGGGCGCCGATGGCAAGGCTGAAGGCTAGTGGGGGGGATAGATTGGGCGGCATGGGCGATTTGAGGGATAAGACGTATGTTTCGCTTTGTGGTCTTGAGCTGTGGTGAAATTTGATGCTTCCGGGTGGAGAGTGGTGATTCTTTTGACGTATAAATAGGCGTTTTTCCCCTCTTCTCCGAGGGTGAGGGATGGATCGCCAGCTTACTTTCCGCATGCGGGAAGCGGCAAGCCACAGATCCTCCAAGGTACTAACCTCATTCATAGGTCGTAGATTCTTGCTGAAACCAAAGATGGGAGATGAGAAAAAACTATGTGGACAGAAGTCACCACGACGACAGAGCTTTTCCACCGTTAGATAAGGTGAAGACGCCGGGATCAATTGATCTCCGCGGGGGTGGCCTCCTAAGTGTCATAAACATAACTGTAGTATAGGTACGGAGAGACTCGAGGCTGAATATTTTATCCTTTAGTCTTGTGACTTAGAATGTGGAAGAGTTATAAGCATTTATAGAAACTTACACAGACCTCTTTCTCTTGCGGGTTGGAGACAAAAAAAACTCAACTCAAGTAATTGGGCATTCGCGCATCTTTGAAGTTTATGTTGCGGTTACCGTCGGATGAGATTTCTCGGCTCATTCACATGCTGTAGGTACGCCTGGTCGCCCACGAACGCCTCCACGACAACAGTAGCGTATTTCCACTCGGTTGAAATTCAATCCACACACCAAAGTGATTTGTCTACACTGTGTCCACACACATTCACGTGCATGTCGGGCGAAGTTTCTTTTGGGAGGGCGAGTGATGGAAGGTGTCCCGATAAAGGGAATGCATTGCGAGGAAAGTGGTGGCGTCCGCTCATGGCTGAAACGCAGCCAATACTTATCATAGGCGTGGCAGTTACCGTCATCATTGGGAGCTTTATCCCAGCTTACGAAGTGACCAGTCAAAGAGCGACACATGCAAAGTAGCACTGGAGAGGTTTCTCGAGCAAATCTATAATACGCAGGCTGACCCCGCCCACTTCCCGGGCCGCCAACTCCTCCAAACCTGCCGTTCATATCTGGACCAACTTCTCTCTGTGCCCCTCATGGCTCTCACTCCAAGCAGCCGAGGTGGAGCGAATGACGCCTTTGCAGCAGTGGCCGGCCAACAGTCCACTAACCGCGCAGCCTTGTTGTTCTACGAGTTCGACTCTTCCGCCCATGTATTCGAGGCGATCAAAAATAACGCAACGTTGAGGGAGGAGACGTCGTGGCAGGAACATGACCCTAGTGTTGTCCGAACGGTAGGTTGAATAGAAGTTTCCGACGTCAACAAAGAAAAATGCTAATGTTCACAAACCACCAGCCCGTCGTCGAGAGCCCCGGCACAGGGGAAGTCCAACCGGGGATCAATCCGAAACCCAGTGCCACATGGGAATGGGATGACAAGGAAAAGCTGTGGTACATGATGTGGGCTTTCGCCGGAGATACCTGGTGTGTATATCAGAACGGTTGCAAATACAAGTTGGATAAGGCCAACGTCTGGAAATCGGAATAACGGTCATAGCCTTTGACTCAGTTCCTTCGCCAAAGGCTCGACCGAGGGACATGCCGATTCCGTAGCAGGTATTCTGGGAATGAAAACGATGAGCCTCTCGGTTTATGTAGCAGAAGCATCCTTGTACTGGGTGAGTGTTGTGTTTGTGCTGACACACACATGCATACGAGTGATGTGAGGAGAACCGAGAAACACAAAGTGCAAAGCGGTTGTGATACTACTGGATCCACGCTAACTCCCAGCCTTCTCGGGAATCAATACCAAGGCTGCGCCTCACCTGCAAGGCTACGAGGCTCGGAACCAATCTGGCTTTGGCTGCTGCCTAAAATCACTTTCAGCCTTGCTACCAGAGTTTCCTGAGCGCACACCTGCCGAGTTGTATATGTTTGTCGCGGAGTGAAATTCGAGCTGGGGTACTAAAGCCAGCCCGGGCTCGCCACCCTTTCGCTCTCTTTGAAGCTATTCAGTACGATCTATTTCCATCTCTATTGCAATGAAGGTCTCTATTCTGTACCGCAAATACATCGATGGCCCTTGTAAAGACGCCTGCAGAACAAGAGGACACGGCAACAGCGATGACGCCATAGTGGTCACAAAACCAGGCTCACCAAGTACATGACGAAGTTGCGCCCAACCTGAAGCGCGGTATATCAGTGGCGACTATTTTCGGACAACTCGGGGTGGCATTGCAGGCGAACTCGGTGACGCTTCGTTTCGAGCAAGGGAGGGGTGGTCGGGCTTGATGCCAGCTGTCGGCCACGACATTCCAGCTCAGCATCGGTGTAAGCAGTAGAGAAAAGTATGCAAATATTTACTGCGGTTTGCTGAGAAAACAACCTCCTCACGAGTCCATCTTCATACTGACAACTCTCCCAAACAAAAAAAAAAAAAAGTCTGTCTTCCCCCCCCCTCTCCCTCCTTCCACCAACCCCTCCCCCAACACACACCTCATACCGCGGGCACAACCTCACTCCCATCATACCTCCTCGCGCCCGCCAGCTTCAACAACCGATCGTTCAGCACGGGCTTCTCCCTCGGCTCTGTCCTATTCCGCGGATCCTCGCTGCCGTCCTCCAGCACCGCCCGCCCCTCGCGATACACGATGTTGTCGTGCGGCCAATGCGTGGTGCCGGCCCACTTTGAAAAAATCTTGGCCTTCTCCGCCAGCTGGCGCTCGCTCGCCCACGCCGCGGGCGCGTAGCTCGCGTACACGACGGTGCGGACCGTGTCGCTGCCGGGCTGCGGCTCGGCGCCCCAGTGCACGGTGCGGCTGTCCCACAGGAGCAGGTCGCCGGGGGCGGCGTCGACCTTGCGCGGCGCGCAGCCGCGGGCGGCGAACCACTCGAGCTGGCGCTGCGAAAACATGTACAGGTCGCGTTTGGACCAGTCGGCGGGGTTGGTCTGGGTGGCGAAGAATTCTTCCATGAGGGCGTGCGAGCCGGGGTAGACGACGAGGCCGCCGTCGCGCGGGCCGCTGGGGGCGAGGTTGACGACGCCCTGGACGCAGCAGGCGCCGGAGCGGTGGGGGCTCTGGTCGACGTGGGGCCAGGCGGCTTTGGCGGGGTGGGCGGCGGCGTCGGCGCGGAGGTGGGGCGGGAGCGTGATGTTGAGGGCGTCGAAGGAGACGAGCAGGTCTTTGGTGCCCCAGAGGAGCTCGAAGGCGCCGAGCACGCCGGGCTCGAGGCGGACGTCCCACATGAAGGCTTCGTGCGAGACGCAGTAGGCGGAGAAGGTGTTGATTTTGGATTGGACGGGGAGGTTGGCGGCGGTCCAGGTGCGCGGGTCGTTGAGGGAGAGGGGCGTGTCGAACGAGGTCAGCCAGGAGTGGGCGCGGTCGCGGTATTGCGAGGCTTTATCGGCCGGGATGGCGGATTTGACGATGGCGTAGCCGTCGCGGAGGAGGTCGTCGCGCCAGTCGTTGTAGGTGGCGGTGACGGGTCTGGTGGCGGTTGAGCGGGGGGCAGTTTGGGAGAGGATCATCCATTGGGGGAATCTGTCTTACTTGAGCACTTTGGCTTCATTGTCGATGGTCGTCTGGGTCGTGGTCGTGGTTGAAGTCATGGTGGTGGTGTATCAGGAAGTGGGGTACGTGCTCCGTCTGGCCGTGGGTGGAGGGCTGAGAAAAGGGATGAAGAAGCCTACATGGGCCATTGCGGCGGTTGTGTATATGTAGTGGTCCTTGGAGTGCATCACATGAGCTTCTGTCCAGGGCGGTACGTCGGCGTTGGAGCGACAGGCTGCGATACCTGTTTCGTTGGTGGGGGGGATGCAGTAGCACGCAAGATAGCACATTTCTCACCCAATCGATGCCACCCGTCGGCTCATCCATGGCTGATCTCCGGCCGTTGATTCATCAATTCGCCGTCTCTGCCTCTGTTCTGCCGTGAACAGCGAAGGTTGAAGCGAGAGTGCCAGGTTGGCGCCGTATCCGACTGGTCTGGTGGTTTTCCCGGGCGCGTCCCGCGTGTCGAGCTGCAGTCCGAGTTGATTACTCATTCAATCGACGCCTGCATCATCGGTTCGTCCGTTTGTTGTCGGCCCTTCCGACAATAATGTATCGCGTGGCCAACGTCTTCCATCACCGACAGACCGATATAGCGCCCGCGTCAAGACAGCGAACTGTGGGAGTGTCAAAGTATTAGAAAGAAAATGCAAACCCTTGATTGGATTGCAGTCGCCCGGAGTCTGCGGTGAAGGCTGAGCAATACAGAAGTAGAAAACTCCGTCTGGAAAAGCGCGCCCTGGGTATTCCAATGCTTCCCTGTAAACAAACCAATGACATAGCCCGAAACTCCCAAGCAATTTCGTAGCCAAAAGACCCTGATTTCCGCAATCTTGGACGTTGCGACAAGCGAAAGGAAAGGACAAAGGAAAACACACAAGCCTCGAATGAGCATCCTAGCGACGCTTGCCGTTGCCTGCTGGGTTGCCCTTGGCATCGATATGGAGAATCGCCCTGCACTCTGGACAATACCACGTCTCACCGTCCTTGATGCCGTTGGGCAAACCGACACATTCGAGATGGAACCACTCCTTCTCACACTATGTACGGCAAAGTCAGTACAGCTTCCAGCAAAAGAAATATGATTATACACCGCTTACGTTGTCATTATCACAAGCGACCATGGCCCCATAGCTCACGTCCCCACAGAGGCAATACCTGGGCTCGTTCGGGTCAATGTCCTCAATCGCCTCGTGCTGCATCATATCCGCCTTGTCTTCCGTCTTCCGAACCTTCTTCCGCGGAGCCGTCGAGCGTCTGCCAATGACAACCTTCTTGTCCTTGGTCATTGTCCCAGGCGCCGGTCGTTTGCTACGTCGCACCGAAAGACGTGGCCCGGACCCGGGCGTCCCCGCCGACGCCGTCCCAGAGCTCGGTTGATCCGTGGGAAGCGGGATGCTGACGTTGCTGCCGCGACGCAGCTCGCGCAACTCACGGGGCTCGCGCTTGATCGGAGGCTCGGCCGAAGCGGCCTTTATGGCTGACCCGGCCCGGGATCGTGGACGAGCGTGATTTTCTGCAGGAGTAATGCCGCCTTCCAAGGGTGTCGACGCTTTGGGTGCCACTGACGTGCGGCGGGAGCGAGTTCCGGCTGCGGTCGTCGAAGGAACGGTTGGATTCGGGGCTTCGACTGGAGAGGTGAGGATCGGAGTCTGGGTTCGGGTCGGGGGCGCGCTCGGGGCGTGAGGGGAGCTTGGCCCTTCTGGCGCAAGAGGAACCTGCATGGTCGACGCCTCGGCCGTCGGCGAGCTCTGCGGTCGGGTGGCTGTCGGAGAAGGGGTTCCGGCATTGTCGGGCCTGGGCGGTGCCGGAGGGCCCAACTTCAGCTTCTTGGGACCCGACGGACGGGGTGCGGTGTCTGGAGGCTGGGAGGAGCCCTCGTTCGGTTCGGGCTTGGTGGGGTCGGGAGTCGAGTCTCGCTTCCGCTTCTTGGCCGACTTGGACTTGTCTTTGACAAGGGAAATGGGGGTCGGGGCAGGGCCGTCGAAAACGTTTTTGATGACGGCGCTGGCCTCGGCCATTCGACGGCTGGCGTCTTCGATTTCCTGAGCGTCGCGGGCTGCTTGCTCACGCATGGAAGCCTCTCTCTTGAGCTTCTTCATCTCATTGAGCTTCATGCCCCGGTTGATCAGATTGTTGTCTTCCTTGCCGAGGGGTTTGAAGCTCGTCTCACCCGGGTCGAGGACCTCCTTGTTGGGGTCCATGGGCGACTCGTCAAGGAACGGCTCGCCCGTCTCCTCGGCCATCTCGCGGGCCTTTTTGTAATTCTCCCACCCCCGTCCCTTGCTGGACAATTCGCGTCGGATCATGGTGTCGCTGGGCTGCCAGATGGCGTTCTTCTTCATCGTCTTGCGCAGCACGGCCATTTCGTACTCGGTCAGCTTGTGCCACGGGGCATACTTGCTGCCGGGCTTGGCGTCGGCGGGCGGGGGCGTCAGCTGGGCCAGGGCGTTGCTGGTCGAGATGCCGGCGACGGAGCTGTGGACGTTTGTGCCCATGCCGGGGGTGCGCGGGGCGCGGCCGGCCTTGTTGCCCTTTTGCTTCGGGCCCTTGATCTTTGGGATCTTGACGCCCGACACTGTGTCGATGTCAATGTCGCCATCAAGATCAGACGCACCGTCATCCCAATCAGAGCTCGGCTGCGGCGACTCCAGGTTGCGCTCGACCGACTGGCCCGGGGCAATGCCTCTGGCCGCCTCCTGGGCGCGCTTCCGCTTCCGTTCGCGATGCTTTTGCACGCGGGCGGTCGACGTGGGCCGCGGGCGCGTCGTGGCCTCGCCGTAGTTGAAGGTTATGCGCGGCGTCCGCTCCAGCTCGATCTTGCGGCTGCGGGTGGCTTGCGGGGTGGCCTGCGGAACGGGGGTGGGGTCGCGCGAAGGCGGCTCGGGCAAGGCCTGCAGCTTCTTCTTGATGGTGACGAGGCGGGTGGCATGGCGCTCGGTGTTGTCGCAAAGACGGGCAGCCTCGGCGTAAGCAGACTCGCGGAAGCGCTCGGCGTCGATGAGGGCCTTGGATATGTCCTTGCGCAGCTGCTGGGCGTCGGGGCGCTCGGCCTGGGGGAGCTTGGGGAGATGGCCGTAGATGACGGTGAGCTTGTGGACGCGGTCGGTGGCATCGCAGTACAGCTTGTCCAGCTTCTCGATCAGGGTCAGGGAGCGGGCCAGATCGGAAGGGTAGAACTCGGTGTAGTCGAGGAAGTCGGTGACGGTGGCCTGGGCGTCGGGATGGGCGTGCGCCTGGGTGGTGGGCATGTCGGGCGGCGCGTCGTCCATAGCAGGCGCGTTACATGCTCCAGGGCGCGGGTGGGCGAGTGGCAAGGCTGCGCAACAGACGGCGGAGGCAATTCAAGGGAAAACAAAAGAGTGAGAGTGTGGCGCGGAAGCGGGCGCAGGGCAGTTGGGGGGAGATGAGGTGTTGTTGGCGAAGCGGTACCCAGGGCGGCAGCGCGGCAGGGCGGCGTGTCGCGGGAACGGTCGTGCGGCCTTCCCGATGCGTCAGGTCCGTGCGCGGCCAGGTCAGGTGCGCACGCGTCGCCTCTCGTTTTCGCTCGACGCGCATCGCCCCGCAGCCAGTCTCTCTCTCTCTCTTTGCCCAATGCGCCGCGTGAGGTCCTTCTCCCAGCATTCGCGTGGAACGAGGCGGCTGTGAGCGTCCGGGCTGCGCATCTCTGAGGTCCGGTATCAGAATTGCCTGACTGCCCTCTGTCTCTTTTCCTTCTCCAGCTCGTCTTCAGCTGATGTCGATGTGCTCGAATTGACGCTGCATGCAGCTGTTCTTGTAGAGTTTGAATCGATGGGTGACTGTATGTTTCCACCGCTCACTGTGAGTTGCGTCCGCCTACCTACCCCTTCGGCCTGCCTGTCCAGCTCTGTCCTCGTGCGGCAATGCCGACCGCATGCACCACCACAGCACCTCCCTAAACATCACCATCGCCGAACACAACACATCGCTCAACGTCAACTTCTTCCATTCGATCCCTGCCGGTGCAGCGTCAAAGCGCCTCGCAATGCCTTTGTCCCGCGCAGACAGGCTATTGGGCCTGCTCAGCCATGACATCCTCGCCCTACCCAAGGCTCCCTCACCGCCCGTCGACTCTGAACCTCACTTTGCCAACCAGGAAGCACAGCCGTCCACCGAGTGCCAAGCCCAAGCCTCACCCGAGCCCAGCTCGTTCGCCGACACCAAAGCCCCTGCTGAGAACATCTCGGCTTTGGCAGACGCCCTCTCTCTCGACGACCGCTCGCCCTCGCCCGACGGTTCCGACAGCTCCCACGAGCCGGACCCCTACGACGACTCGCCGGCTACGAACCTGTACCGCGGCGACCTTGCGCCTTGGGGCGAGGCCTACGTCTCCATCCTGGTGGCCAGCAAGTTTCCCTACAAGTTCTTGAACCGCGCCTACTCCGATCCCGTCGCCAAGAAGTTCTTCGACCGCAATCAGTTTTGGGAAAGACACTGGGAGCTGTGAGTTTTATGCCGTGGCCAGACCCTGCGTCGGATGCCTTCACTGACCCGTGTCTGCTGACAGGTACTACGTCTGGCCTCCTGCCGACGTTGCGAGCAAGCCACTCATTCTCATCACCCTCACACAGTTTCAGCTTCTGATCCACGAGATCAACCAGTACAAGCGAAACCTCGACTTCAAGCTAACTGACTACCATCGTGACTGCGGTCTTATCCTCGACATCCCCCACCCGGCCTTCACTCCGCGTTTCCTTGGTTACTCTTACTCTCGTGACGATTTCAACGACATGGAGCAGCGCAGGGTGCCCCCCGCCACCTACAAGGCTCCGGGTGAGCCCGCCCGCCTTCCCGTAGCCGACAAGCCCACTCTCGAGGCCTACAAGGCCATGATCGAAGACGCCATCCAGCTCAACAAAGCCAAGAGCAAGGCCGCCAGGGCAAAGCGCAAAGAACAGCGCATCACTCTGCAGCAGAACTGGGGCCGCTCGCTCAAGAGAACTCAGCGCTACCTGGGCCTCCGTCCTGACAGGACCGACAGCTCCAGTGAGTTCGAGTCATGTTTCACACCCGGCCGGGTACGAGGTGCTGACTGTTGTGCAACCTAGAGCGTCTTGAGGATCCGTCGCTCAACTGGGCTGAGCTTCAAGCTGCGGAAGCCGCCCACTACAAGATACCGCCTATCGAGTGCGAGAAGCCCGCTCCGTTCAACTTCGACAAGAATGTCATCTTCATTAGCGTTGACATTGAGGCGTTTGAGTTCGACAATAACAAGATTACCGAGGTTGGCGTTGCTATCCTTGACGTGCTGGACATCGTGGACATTCCTCCCGGCAGAAACGGCGAAAATTGGTTTAGCAAGATCAGGGCTCGGCATTTCCGTATCCACGAGCATGCTCACTTGGAAAACCGCCGCCACGTCGCCGGCTGCGCCGATGGCTTCGAGTTTGGCAAGAGTGAATTCGTGCGCCTGGCCGAAGCTCCGTCGGTCGTTGCGTCATGCTTCAGGCCCCCGTACTCTGCCAAGCTGACACCGGCAGAGGCTCAACGACTGTGGTCCACCGACGGCTCCTCGGACCCGCTGCTTGATCCGTCCATTGTCAACGCCGATGGGAAGCGCAACCTCATCCTGATCGGCCACGATCCCAACCAGGACATCAAGTACCTCCAGAAGCTCGGTTACAACCCACTGAACCTCTCCAACCTAGTCGAGGTCCTCGACACCAAGTTGTTACACCAGCATTGGAAGCGTGATCCCAACGGCACCTCCCTCGGCAGAATCCTGGCCGACCTCGACATCATCGGCTGGAAGCTCCACAACGGCGGCAACGACGCCGTCTACACGCTACAAGCCCTGCTCGCTCTCGGCTTGCGCGAGGCCACGTCCCGCGGCAGCCAGCAGGTCGAAGAACAGCGCAAACAAGACCACGAAAAGCGCATGGCCGACGCCCTCGCCGAAACCACCTCCCGCATCAACGACGAAGCCGACGGCTGGAGCAGCCCCGGCGAAAGCGAAGCCGACGCCGACGCCGACGGCGGTGGAGCCGGCAGCAACGGCAACGGCAGCAGCAGCGGCAGCCCCTCCGTCGCACCCACCGGCAGCAGCCACACCGACAACCCCCTCGACGCCAGCAGCGACCGCATCTTCGTCGGCAACCTGCCCTACCGCGCCACGCCCGACGACGTCGCCGCCTTCTTCGCCAAGCACGGCGCCGTCGCGGACGTGCACCTGCCCGTCAACCACGTCACGGGCGCCGCAAAGGGCTTCGGCTACGTCAGCTTCCGCTCGCCGGCCGAGGCCCGGCACGCGCTCCAGAAGAGCAAAGGCGTCGAGTTCTGGAGCCGCGCCATCCGCGTGGACATGGCGCCGCCGCGCGAGAAGAAGAAGGGCGACGGCCGCGGCAGCAACGCCGGCGGTAGCAACAGCAACGGCAACAGCAACAACAGCAGCGATGGTGCTGGCGCTGGGGCTGCTGCTCGTCGCAGCCAGAGGTCTAGCCGCGGCGGCACGCCGCCTGTTTCGCGCCCTGGAGGCACACCCGTCCGCATCACGGATCCTGCGGCCCGGGCGGCGTCGTCGTCGCTGCAGAATAATACTAGGCGTCAGGGCGGTGGCAAGGCTCCTTCTTCTGAGGGTGCTGGGCGTCGTGATGGTGACGGCGGTGGCGGTGGCAGCGGCGGTGCTGGTGTTGGTGGTGGTGGCGGTGCTGGTGTTGGTGGTGGTGGCGGTGCTGGTGTTGGTGGTGGTGGCGGTGCTGGTGTCGTGGATCACCTCACCGGCGCGACGAAGAATTATACGAAGCAGGATCTGCCGAATGATTGGTGGTGAATGAAGGGAGGATTGCGGACGTGGTGGGAGTGATGGGTCTGGATGGAGTTTTGCTTTTTTTTTTCTCAATCAGGAGCAATGATGTTATGGCACCAGGGGGGATATGATGGAAAGGAATTTCGGGGTCCACGATTGAGTTTGTGGCCTTGTTGAGGAACAGGCGTGGTGGGTGAGTGGTGCGGTGGCTGCATCTTGCTTAGACAGAGAGAGGGGGGGATAACAACTTTGCATTATAGCATCTGCGGCCAACATCAGCGGAGTCGATGGGGTGCCTTTCGGTTGCGTATGTATGTGGATATTGGAGTCGTTTCAGTAGTTTTGAAAATGGAGAAGCTGCTGAATACTCCCACTCCCTACCTCTCCCCAGCTCATCGTACCCGAACAAACTTTACAGCAGAACCTAAGCCCCTCGCTCACAATCCTCCTCACTCGCCCACTCCCGCATGTGAAAGGGGTGAGGGTGTTGAGATACCGCCGCTTTTGGACGTCGACGAACGGCGAACGCCTACACGCCGTGCATGATCTTCCCTTTCCCCTTCCCCTCCACCCTCCAGAACCGAGCCCATGCGGCTCGAAATGCGTGCTCACCCGTCGACATCGCGAGGCACCCCGTCGCTCGTTTCGAAAACGTCTATAACAAGCACAACGGTAGCAACCAGTCTAATTGATTTGAAAGGGGAGAAAAAAACAACAACAATGAGAACCGGGTAACATTCGCTAACCAACGTCTGCTCCCGACAAAAGTCGCCCAACACCTTGCGCCTCAGGAACGCGCAAAGAAAAAGCGAGAAAAAGAAAGAAAAAAAACACACACACACACACACACACACACACACACACACACACACACACACACAACCCCCCCTCCCTCAGACAAACATCAGCCATCACACGTCGGCACCTCCAACAAGTCCCGATACTCCACCTCCACCCCCTCACGGAGCAACAGCCTCCTCTTCGACAGCCGCCTCCCAGCATGCAGACACCTCACCTCCGCCAGCCGCTCCATCTCCCGCAGGTCCAGCGTCCCCCTCACCGGCCCGCCCAGCTCGTCCCCAGGCAGTCCCCTCCTCTTCCCGCCGACGTACAGCTCGAGCCGCTCGAGGGCGTCGCGCTGCTCCCGCAACGCGGCGGCCAGGCCCTCGGCGCTCCACGCGAACAGATTGACGCCGTCCGGGTAAGTGTCGGACGACGACGCGGCATCCGGGGCGGGGGGGTCGACGGTGAGGGCGAAGTCGGCGAGGGCGCGGGGGCACTCGAGGATGCGGCGGAGCGAGGGTTCGTGGAGGCGGCAGTTGGCGAGGCGGAGGGCGCGCAGGGCGGTGGAGCGGCGGTGGCGGCGGTCGAGGTGGAGGTAGCCGCCGTTGCCCCAGGTGGTGCAGTGGCTGATGTCGTGGTTGGCGATGGAGAGGGTGCGCAGGGTGGGGATGAAGAAGACGGTGAGGCCGGGGAGGGGGGCGCGGTGGCGGTCGGGGCCGAGCAGCTGCGCCGAGAGGGTCAGGGTGGTGAGGCGGGGGAGGATGCGGCGCTCGGCGTCGGGGGCGGGGTGGAAGATGTGGGTGGCGCGCTCGAAGGTGCGTTCGAGCTTCTGCTCGTGGCGGCGCCACTGGTCGTCCGAGTCGGGGTCTTCGTCGTAGAAGTCGCCGTACTCGGGGAAGTAGGCGGTGGTCAGGTGCAGGGACTCGAGGTTGTCCATGTACTCGAGGGCGTGGCAGATCTTGGACGGCTTCCACAGGTGCGGCGGGGCAAACGGGGGGTCATGGTTGAAATGCCATAGCATGTGAGTGGTTGCGTCGACGGTTAGGCTCGTGACGCGTTTGGCCATGGCGGGGTTTTTCTTGCAGCATCGCTTGAATTTCCCCGTGCGCCGCCGGCGGGAGAGGGTTATGTCTTTGTACATGATGGGCTCCACGATGCGCCTGAAGCGGCGAGAGACGCGCATGAGGGCGGCCTGATCGTGTTGCCAAAGGCAGTCGACTATCTGCCGGAAGAGGCTGTCCGGGAGCGCGGACATTGGTGAGGGTGAGGATGCCATCTCGTTCATCATCGGCCAGGAAACGCGACGTGACGCGTCTGAACGCGGTCCGAACTGTCTCCCGCACGGAACGCGGGAAGAGTCAATGTAGTGCACGCGTTCCGGCGTCTTTCGAGGCTTTAACGGGGATAAGTCGCGCTAAATTTGGATTTTGGAGGTTGAATGGCGTGTAACCCGAGCGCAGAGTACGGACTACCTGGTAGACATTTGTGCCGGATCAACTCCGGGCCATCGCCGGTTCCGTGGGTAGGCAGCTATCGTTAGGGTGGAACAATTATCAAGCTGGCTCGTTCCCTAGGCGACCGCTAGCGTGGGGTTTCATATATCCATCAGAGGCCTGTCTTACGCAAATCTATATCAGATTGAGCGTATCGACACAGCCATCGTCTGTTGTGAAGCCCTCCTTTTACTTATGCGTGTATCATGGCTTCGTGCTACGCCGAGTTCCGTGATCTACAGCGCATAGATAAAAGTCCAAGTAGTATCATGCGGGGAGACTTTCTTCCCCGCACGCCCTCGATCCGAGGACCCAGATCGTCCTCCACGTCGAATGGGAAGTTTATCCGTGCTTACGCACAGCTTGTCTGTGTGCTTGTTGAACTGTGCTCGACACGAGACCATCTCACAGAAATGTCTTCTCGTTACCCTGCATGTGACGACGGGGGTATATAGTGGCTTGTTTGTTCCCGGGGAGTCTGCTCTGGAAATACTGCACGTCTGACCGGGAGGATCCGTTTTCCGCTACGATGTTTTCTGCCACATGGTCTCTGGGCCGTATAGGCCACCCGATTGCCAGGCGCTGCGGCAAATTACTCCATCCGGATTTCTGCTCGCTGCAGACGCGCCGCAGCGTCGCTACCAAGACCTACACCTTGAACAGCGGCGCCAAGATGCCAGCCATCGGCTTCGGTACGTTCCAGGACCCCGACGCCCAGGAGGCAGCCGTCTGCACTGCATTGAAGACGGGATACCGCCACGTCGACACCGCAAGAGTGTAAGCCCGTGCCTCGCAATGTCGCAAGCTCACCGTTCATGATTCATCCAGCTACGACACGGAAATCCAAGTCGGCAAAGGCATCAAGCGCAGCGGCGTTCCCCGCGAAGAGATCTTCCTCACCACAAAGATCTGGTGCAACAGCCACCATCCGGATGACGTGGAACCCGCCCTTGATGCCTCGCTCAGGGATTTGGATACCCCGTATGTCGATCTCTTCCTGATCCACTACCCATGCACCTTTGCGCGCGGAGAAGACCGCTTCCCAAGGGATCAAGTGACCGGCAAGATGAGCATGGGCGAAACGACGTACGTAGATACGTGGAAGGCCATGGAGCGGTTGCTCGGAACAGGAAAGGCGAGAGCTATCGGCGTATCCAATTTCAGCAAAGGGGAGATAGAGACGTTGCTCCGGGAGGGGAGCGTGGTAAGTTGCCCCATCTCCAGCCTAGCTTCAAAAGGATCGCCTTCTTACTTGGTCGTTGCTACACAACAGACTCCGGCTGTTCATCAGATGGAAGGGCATCCTTACCTCCAGCAAAAGGCGTTCAACGCTTGGCTCAGGTCGAAAGGGATCCTCGTAACGCAGTTCAGCCCGCTGGGGAATCTGAATTCTTTCTACAGGGAGGCTTCGTGGAGTAAGCCCGAGTCACACATGGACCGCATCATAGACCATCCTGTCCTCCAGGAGCTTGCCACAAAGTATCGGAAGAGCCCCGTGCAGATGGCGCTGGCGTGGGGTGTGAACTGCGGCCGCTCCGTCATTCCGAAGAGCGTGATCGAGTGGCAGATCAAGCAGAACCTGGAGTCGGATTTTGAGATTGAAGATGAAGATATGCATAGGATTGCTGACATGGACATCAAGGTAAGGTTCAACGACCCGAGCGAGGATTATCAGTGGCGACTCTACAGCGATCTTGAAGGCGTGTGAATGGGATGTGGCCAGGTGCAGCGAGTTGTGTCGTAATCTTAGCGCCTTCTTCCTTGGATTCCGTAAAAGTGATGATAGTCAACTAGCAAGAAAGCGTCCGTTGTGTTCGTCTATGGAGCGTCGGTGGTGCTGTTTCGGTGTTGATCATCACCGTCTTGGAATTTTCCATCACTCAGTGTCGCAACGCTCATAATAGCCGGCGGTGTTGGGCTCGGTGCTGACTGGGATTTTCATGGTCAATTGATTGGTCGTCAGTGTAACCCAGCATGCATGGTCGCATAAGCCAATCACGGATTGGTAGATAGTTCGACCGCATTCGTGCCGACGAACGTATCAAGGGACAGAGCCTTAGCAACCGAAGACTTAGAGCGCCCCCGAGTGGGACCCGAGCGGCGAGCGGCGAGCGGCGGAAGGCTTCGGCGGCCAGGCCTGGTTTCGCATCGTGGTCCTAGCTAACGCAAAGCGTGGACTTTGTAAGACGATGGGAGTCGGCCTGTCGCTGCGGTCGTTAACCTCGGTGGGTGGTGAGCGGCCCGCGCACCGTCGGGCGGCGTCTGCAATTATTAATACCCCCTCCGGCGCATCCGCCACTTGGGTCAGACTCGCTCGCCCTCAACGCCCTCCGCCTCGACATCCTGTTCCATTTCGACATGCGACTTCTTCGCTATACCGGAGCTCCCTGGCGAGTTTCATGGCTCGCATCGCAATCCTGACTTGTCGCTAAACCATCATGGTCGCCGCATCCGCCTCCTTCCCACGTGGCCCGGCTGTCGCTCACGCTGCCCAGGGATCCCGCCCGACACTGTGCACGCCGAGCCCCACGGCGAGTGCACTTGCACCGCAACACACGACATCCGTTTCCTGAGTCGACCGCGAGCGATGCGACGGCTTTTTGGTACTCTGCGCATGCGTGACGCCCCGTGCAGATCACATGCAAGGCGATGATGCTCCAAGAAAGCCATACGACAAGGCGTCCACGGATCGCCGTAAGAGCGTGTCTCAGGCCGGGCCAGCAGCAGCATTTACCAACGCCGCCAGCAAGAGTGGTCGCTCGGCAAACGAACACGCGTCTTGTTTCGCCTATCGATGACGAGCTGATCGACCCTTGACACAGACCGGCTGGCTTTCCTCAGGGTCCTGACGGTAAGCTCCACGAAGAGTCCGAGCACCAGAAAAAGGGAGGAGGGATGAGACACAGCAGGCCCTGGGTCCTCACTGCAGACATCATTCGCTGTCTTCGCCTCGATGGCCTCTGTTGCGAGCGGTGAGTGGACCAAATGGCCGGGGCGTCATCGCAGCCAGTCAGGCCGGCCGGGAAAGCAATGACGCACCGTTTCGAAAAGAGCTGTAGTGTGTCTGCCTTGCTCGCCGCTCTCCACCACGCCGCTCCACCACCACCCCGCCAAAAGTAGTCAGGCCGGCTCCGTGCGAAGTTCCTTGCTGCAGGCAGCGTAGATCCAAATGTAAGAGCCAGGAGAGAAGCTATCACGCCGCTGCATCGTGTTGGTGGAGATTCAGAGTGCGCTGAGGCGCGCTCATTGCGTGCTGGCCAAGATGGAAGGACAACACAGCTCCGCCGCATACGGCACCATGTCCGCCGCCGCCGCCGCCCCGCCTCGCATGTCGCCGTGCTGTCGTCGTCGCCGCCGCCGCCGCCGTTTCTGCCCGCCGTCCGCTCACCCGACGCCAATGCCCGCCCCGTGGCATCACCTACGCCGCAAGCAAGGCCCTGCCCCAGCTCGTCTCACCGTCACTCTCTCTGTCTCTCTCCCCCTCCACCGGCACCGACGCTGAAATGCCATCAGCCCGGCCCCTCAACCGTTGCCGCCATCCTTTTCGCCACCACCACCGCCGTCAGTCACAATGCCAGTTGTACGCCCATGTTGTCCATCGTCGAGGAACTTCTCAAAAGAAGATGGCGACGGCGGACGGACAGTGGCAGCCCGGCCGGGCAGGTGGCGGACGGACGGACGGGGTGCGGGCGCACTACCGGCCGGAAGTTGGGTGCATGGGCGGGTGCATGGGCTGGTCTGGCTGGTAGCGCGCGGGGGCTTGGCGGGCGGCGCGTCGAGGTCCGCGCGCGCTGTGGGGCAACGGTGCGCTCGAACTGTGTGTGGGAGAGGAGGAGTGTCGGGACGAGAACGGGGCAGGGTGCTGGTCAAGGGGCCAGGCGGGCTGGTGCGGCGCAGGCTGAGAATATTATTATCGTTGGAGCGACGGGCTAAGCGAGCAGGGCCACGGCACGTGACTCGTGCGCGTCGCGTATTCGACGGGCATGCGTGGCGTGGGCGTATTCCTGGCCGGGCCATTGGCCGCCGGCAGTTGCTGTGGCACGCAGCTTGGCCAGACGCAGCGCGCACAACGTATGCCAGATTGCGCGGGTTGTGCCGCCGCCGCCGCCGCCGCCCCTAGGCGCGTCTACACGCTCTTGACGCGGCATAGGGGCGCAGTTTCAGCTCTACAAGCTCGGTCGACATATTGGCGCTTGGCACACTGGGCGAAAGGGGAGCGAAGAGTCGGGCGATCAGGCCAGTCCAGGCGATCAGGGTCTAGCAGCTATATAGCCATGGCGGAGGGCGTGTCCGACGCTGGAACGCCGCCGCCCTTTCTGCCAGCCTGCCAGCCTGCCAGCCAGATCTGTTTTCTCGCTGCTGCGCCCTCCTCGCACAAACAACCCCCAACGCTCCCGCCATGGACCGCCACCGCCTCGTCTCGCCGCGCGAGGTCGAGCGCCTCGTCGCCGACGGCCAGCTCATCGTCATCCACGAGGGCTACGCCCTGAAGCTGGACAGCTGGATCGACCGCCACCCCGGCGGCCGCCTGGCCATCCTGCACATGGTCGGCAGAGACGCGACGGACGAAATCAACGTGTAACTGCCACCTCCCCCCTCCCATCTCGCCTCCCATGCACCTCTTGGGCGAAGTGAGCAGCTGCGTGTTGCTGCGTGCGGAGTGTGCGAGCCCGGCCAAGTCGCAGACGTTGACTCGAGAGACGCATGCAGGTACCACTTCCAGAAGACCCTGGCGATCATGAAGGCCTATCGCATCGGCCGCGTCAACCAGCCGTGGACGAATCTCGAGCCGCCCATTCGGGCCGCCCAGGCCCCAGCAGCCCCTCACCGCAACGCCCCTGACACGACGACCACCACCACCCCCACCATCACCGTTGCCGACGCCGACGACACCACATCCGAGTCGAACGACGACGCCGCCTCCATATTCAGCCACAAGCTCGACCCGCTGAGCTCCAGCAACTCTAGCGTCGGCCTCTCCGACGCCGAGCCCGACTCCTGCACGCCCAGCAAACCCTGCGGAGACGTTTCCGACGCCCCCAAGACTGCCCCGGCCGGAGATTGCAGGCGCAGAAACGTCGCCACCGCCAAGCCGCAACAAGCTCTCTTCCCCACGGAGAACCTGTCGCGCACCACGTACACGGCTGCTCTCGAGCAAAAGGAGATCGCCGATGGCATCCGCAACTACCCCTCGCTCGATCCCGCCACCCAGCAGTCCATTCGCGCCGAGTATGACGCTCTGCATCGCCTCGTCCAAGAAAAGGGCCTGTACAAGTGCCGCTACTCGCAATATGGCAAGGAGATGATCCGCTACTCGGCCCTGTTCAGCCTGTTTGCGTATTTTCTGGCCAAGGAGTGGTACTTGACGTCGGCCGTCTTCCTGGGCCTGTTCTGGCAGCAAATCATGTTCTCCGCGCACGACGCCGGCCACCGCGGCATCACGGGCAACTTTGTCGTCGACACGGTCATTGGCGCCTTCGTCGCCGACTTTTGCTGTGGGCTGTCCATCGGCTGGTGGAAGAGCTCGCACAACGTGCACCACCTGATCACCAACATGCCCGAGCACGACCCGGACATCCAGAACATCCCGCTCTTCTCGACCTCGCCCACGTACTTCAAGTCGATTCGCAGCACCTTCTACAACTTTACCTTTTACTGGGACAAGGCCGCCGACCTGGTCGTGCCCTTCCAGAAGTACACGTACTACCCCGTCATGGCCCTCGCCCGCTTCAACCTGTACCTGCTCTCGTGGCTGCACCTGGTGTCGCCTCGCGCCGCCCAGCTGGGGTCGGCGTGGTGGACACGGTGGTTGGAGGTTGCCTTCATGGGCTGCTACTGGGCGCTGTTCGGGTACGCGCTGGTCTGGCGCACGCTGCCCGACTGGCCCACGCGCGTCGCGTTTGTGCTGACGTCGCACATGATCACGATGCTGCTGCACGTGCAGATCACCCTGTCTCACTGGGGCATGCCGACGGCGGACCTGGGCCCGACCGAGTCGTTTGCCCAGCGACAGCTGCGCACCACCATGGACGTCGACTGCCCCGAGTGGCTGGACTTTTTGCACGGCGGCCTGCAGTTCCAGGCGGTGCACCATCTCTTCCCGCGCATGCCCCGGCACAACCTGCGCGCCGCTCAGGTGCTGGTGCGCGAGTTCTGCGCCAAGACTGGCATCAAGTATCAGTGCCAGGGTTTCGTCGAGGGGAACAAGGTGGTGCTGACCAGGCTGGAGGAGGTGGCCAAGATGGTCGAGACGCTGGTCCAGTGCCAGATGCACATGGCCGAGACGGGCGAGAGCGGGCTGCATTAGAAGCGGTTGACTGACCTTGGAACGAACTTGCATGCATTATTATTGGTCTGGCGTTCATTATTTTTATCATTCGGGCCGAGCGGCGGATAGGTGCCCTCCGTCTGCCTGCTGCATCATCTTTTGGTGCCGTCATCCTTCCTCTTGAAGTAGAGAAAAGCGTTCAATCAAGAAGTGGCCTTGGGTCCACATTCCGAAGAATGTTGTCACCATCCATGCTGTTGCTCTCACTCGGTTATCCGTCGTGTGAATCCATCGGGTCCGCCTTCGGCTCCACCGCGGACGCGTCACCCGACGCGGGGAAGACAGGGCTACCCCGGATTTTTCCCCCAGATCCGCCCGCTCATTTTAACTGCTTCAAGCAGTCCCCTCATAGCCCCCGCGTGCCGCTATACTCGTCTCGTTACCCAGCCAATATGCAGCCGCGGCGCATTTACAGGAACAGGTATGAATGACGATTCAACCCATTTGCTATCACGCTTGGCGGCATCCGCGTTTCCCCTCAGCTTTCGGCTGCCCTGTGGACAGAACAGCAAGCTGGAAACCCAATTTCAAAAGTGGAGAGACGTGTGTATAAAGAGATGGTGACTTGGCGAAGCGGTGGCGAATGCTGTACAGCTTGGATGAGCTAGAGCTTGCCGGGAACCACCGACGCAGACCATCTGGCAGCCAATCGACAATTTTTTTTCTCCCCCGTCGGGCAACTTTAGCTATCCTGCACCATGCTTCTCCCCGCGGCATACCTCCTCTCCTTCTCGTCGAGCGTAGCACTCGCCGCCGTATCGGTCTCCGACCCCGGCGACTCCGCCGACCTCGCGGCGGACGCCTCTGACAACGCCATCAAAGCCGTCTACGACATCGAAGCGATCCTCTACCAGACCAACGACATCGTCGGCCCATACGAATACGCCAACGGCAACGACACCACCCTCGACCACACGACCCTCGGCGTCGCCGCCAACGACACCTCCGTCATCGTCGCGACCGAAGGCACGCACCTCAACCTCTCCCACGTCGACATCACCAAGCACGGCTACTCCAGCAACCTCTACCAAGCCTCCTTCTACGGCCTCAACGCCGCCATCAACATCGCCAACGCCTCCACCGCCCACATCGCCCACACAACCATCACCACCCACAACGGCGCCGCCAACCTCTTCGCCTACGGCGCCGACACCGTCGCCCACATCACCGCCTCCACCCTCTACTCCTCCGGCCCCGTCGCCCACGGCCTCTACGCCGCCGGCAACGCCACCATCCTCGCGTCCGGCATCGCCCACGCCAGCGGCGGCAACCGCTGTTCGTCCTTCGCCGGCGACAACCCCGCCGGCACCGTCAACGTCTCGTCCAGCGTCGCGCACACGTCGGGCGTCGGCTCCGCCCTCTTCTACGCCCTCGGCGCCGTCGCCGGCGTCGACGTCGTCGGCGTCGCCGAGAAGGCGCCCGCCCTCTTCGCTGATGGCCCGCAGACGGCGTATTTCGAGCGCGTGGCGTTCACGGCGGGGTTGTTGGCCGGGACGGTCGTGTTTTCGAGCGCGGAGAGGGGGGCGGAGGCGGCGCGCGTGGCGTTTGTCGATTCGACGCTCAACGTGACGCATCCGGACGCGCCGGGGTTGTGGTTCGGGAACGTTGTCGCGGTCGCGTCGCTGCGCGGGACGGAGGTGAAGACGGCGTCCGGGGTGCTGGTGGTGGCGAACAGTTCGCAGGTGACGCAGGAGTTTTCGTATTTTGCGGGGGCGGAGGAGAACAGCGCGATCTTGCCGGCGGTGGTGGAGGTCGGGGTGGCGGAGAGCGGGTTGGTGGGGGATGTCGTCGTGTATAATGGGAGTAGGGTGGGGTGGGGGTTGAGCGAGCATTCGACGTGGACGGGGAAGGTGGTGCTGGCGGGGGAGGGGGTGGATGGGAGCGTGGATGTGGCGCTGGATGCGACGAGCAGGTGGGTTGTGACGGGGGATTCGGTCGTGGGCAATTTCACGGATGAGGACGAGGGGCTGGCGAATGTGGTGAGTGCCGGGTTTGCGGTGAGGTACGATGCTTCTGCCGAGGGGAACGCGTGGCTAAATGGGAGCACGTTTGCCCTGGAGGGTGGAGGGTCGTTGATGCCGGTCTGAGTGAGGAGCGAGGGTCGGGTCGGGGCGGGGCGGGGCGCGTGGAACTGTATATAGTTCCGTCTCTCCCCCCAAATATCGATACATCGAAATCCCCATCGTCGCTGTGAGTGAATATACGAGCGAAAGAAGTGATGGCGGATTTCTTTCCACCCATCGTAATCGGCAGTCTGTGGCTCCATAACGCCCACGCTTTGATCTCGACTACATCTCCCGGTCAACCGCACACCGACTGCTCCTCTTGCCCAGTCCCCTCAAAACCAGTTCCCGACCACCGCAACACCATTTCCAAAGCGAGCCTACCCCAGCCCGATCCACACCAAACCCAAACATCCTACTACCACCCCATCCCGTGCACCCCCCAACATCAATGCGCCCGTCCCATATGCCTATACGTCTCCTCGCCGCTCCCAAACACCTCCATACAAAACCAACAAATATGAACCCCACACCCGCCGCTGCACCGCATATGATTGCACCCATACGCCTTCTCGATGACGATGCCGCACCGCGGACACGGCCGCGCGTCGTTGGCCCGCCTCCACTCGTCGAACGCGCGCGCGCCCTCGCTCCCCAGATACCGCGCCTCCGCGCACGACACGCCGCCGTGCCCAACGCCGCCGCACGCCGTGCACACGTCTGCGAAGCACTCGTCGCATAGCAGCACCGCTGCCGCGCGCCCGTCGTTATCGTTTTCGTTTTCGTGTTCGTTGTCGTTGTCGTCCCCCCGGCTCACGCATCGATACACGCGATCGCAGTCGGGCGTCGGACAGAACCTGAACGCGTCGGGGCGCGCGCGGACGTGCGCGTCGAAAGATCTGCGGAGGAGGGCGTCGAAGGCCGCGGCGGGGAGGGCGCGCGAGAGGTCGTGCAGCGAGATGGGCGCGTTGCAGGTCATGTTGTTGTTTTCGACGGAACCGGCGTCGCCGTCTGGCGGGTCGTCGTCGCTGCTGGTGTTGCTGTTGCTGCCGAGGCAGCGGATGGGGATGTCGCCGGCGGCGCATTGGCTGGTGAGGCAGTCGCGGCAGTAGGCGTGGGTCGTGCAGGGGGGGGAGGGCCGGCGGATGGGGTCGGTCGGGGGGGTCCAGCATATGGCGCAGAGGTCGTTGGTGGTGGTGGTGCTGGTGCTGGGGGAGGGCGCTGCGAGAGGGTCCTTTTCTGGGCGGTGATGGTCCTCCTGGTCGGTGAGGATGGCGCGGGCTTTTTCGAAGTCGGGGGCGGAGCCGTGAAAGGTGACGGTTTTGGGGGTGCTGGCGATGTCGATCTTCACGGCGTGCTTGCCGAATGTCTCGACGAGTCGCTTGAAGCGGCCCCCACGGAGGGCGGAGCCGAGCGAGTGCGGCGTGAGGGTGATGGTGCGGGCCGTGGTTGGGGAGTCGTCGTCTGGTGTCCGGTTCCTGAGCGCGGCGGCTGCGGCGGTTGTGGAAGCGGGAGGGCCGTATATCCGCAACAGAGACTTCTTCGTGTCGCGTTGGATGAAGACGGAGTGTTCTTCCATCACCTCTTGGAGGAACGTCGCCCCCTCGGGCTTGAAGAAGAAGGCGTCTTTGATGCAGTGGCCCTCGCCGTCCGTGGCGACCGTGCCGGCCAGCATCCTTTCCACCGACCCTTTCGCCTTGGCCACCGCTTCCCGATTGTCGCCGTATATCCGCAGCGTCGTCATGTGGGGCTTGTGAGCAGCCGGCGTGACGTCGTAGGCTTTGATGCGGACGTGGTGCGTTCCCCACACCTGAGCCTTCAGCTCGTCCATGTCCGCCTGTACCGCCCGCAGTATCGAGACCTGCACCGACAGCTTGACCGACGTGATTGCCGAGACGTGGATTCTGCCGTTGCCCAGCTCGGCCACCTTGGACCCGTCGAGCTGGCTTGCCGCTGTTCGCGCGTCTTCGGCGTTGACGAAGCGAGCCGTGGCCCTCTTGAGGACGTTGGAGAAGGAGTCGTCGTTGATGACTTCCCAGTCCGAGAGTGGTCCGAACTCTTCCAGGCGAAGCCGCATTGCTCTTTCCACTGTGTGATTGGGAGTGTTGTAAGATGCTGGTCCCCACTTGATGTTCTTGAGCTTGGTCCCAGAGAGCGGTTGCCGCAGGCCTTCTGTCGTCGTGTCCACGTGAAGATTACCGAGTTGGACGGAATGGATGACTTTGTTGCCACTCCTGTAGACGTGCTCAGGAGGCTTCTGATAGGCTACTTGCAGCTTTCGCCCGTGAACCGTCTGCCTGCCGAGAGTTCTGATGGAAGAAAGAGCCTCGCTTTCTGTGTCGAAATGAAGCCAAGCAACCTTGGACGGCTTGTACCATGAGCAGCTCACGGTGCTCAGCTGCAACCTTTTCGAGCCGACCTCGGCACCTGCATGTTGCATCCGGGTCGCCGCCAGCACCTTGCCGCCCATTCTCGGCGCGTGGCCAGCCCGGCGTAGAAAACTCTCGGCGAACGACGGGTCCTCCACTTTGACTTCAGCGAGCTGTTCTGAGCCATCTGGCATCCATCGCATCCGGACACAGGCGCTGGAGGCTTTCTCAAACCCGAAAGAAGCGACGAAATCGACCACTTGGTTTGAGTCGATGCCGAGCGGGACATGCGAGAGTTGGATTGCGGAGAAGTCGGAGCGGAACGATATGCTCCGTACAACGGCGCCATCGCCGAAGATTACAGTTGCGCCGCTAATGTTCCTGGAAACCCCTTCACCATCACTGTGTGCCGACTCGGATGCTGTCCGTGACGTCGGGGCTTCTTGTTGTTGCTTATGAAGCGTGGCAGGGGTGGGGGAGGGAAGGGAGACGTCCATTGCTGCGAGTGTTCCTTTTGCATGACTTGTTTGGTGACTAAATCGGCAATCCAATCCCCTCCGGCACACTCCACGGAGGAAGAATGCACATGTTGGTGCGTCGCTGCTTTCTGGCTTTGGCGCAGCCCGAGTGGACGGCTTATCACCATGCCTGAACTTGCATGAGAATCCGTATTTGCATGCTCCCCGAGAGAAGAACGAGCAGATGGCAGGCTCTCCTTTACTGTGCGGTCTTGAAGTAGGGTCACTTTGCATGCTGCGCGAAGGCTGGAAGCTCTGTGCAGCAGCCTTGACACGTCCAGGCTCTTGCGGGGGCCATGCGGGTTCCACTTTGACATGTTCAAACATGCAAGTGTCCCCTCTGTTGCAGCGGCCCTGCTCAAAATAACGACAGGTGACCATTGGTTGTGAAAGGTGTTGTGGTGAAACCGATGGATTGTGATGAGGATTGGGCGGATGTTGTGGCGGGGTTGGATCACAGCCAAGCCCTTCAGGGGTCACAAGTGACCTGGCCCCCTGCAATACTTGTTGCTATCGAGCCCCCTTGCGTTGTAGCCAAATTACATATTTGGATGTTCTCATCGCGTGGCTGCCATGTTCAGATACTTGCTTCAGCTATTCATGAACGACAATAGTACCATCATCTATATTGCGACACAGGAAGAATCAAGCATTATGTAATCTACGTGGCGGCTGCATATGGCCCCCACCCTGTGGGGAAATCTGGCTCGAACATCAGCTGAACACTTGGCCCAACTTTGCATGTCACAATTTGCGCTCACTCGCCTTATATTGCTGCATTACTCATAAGAGGTGCATACACATCACTCACTTCCCAACACCATGTGCCCTTGTGCTTCTTAGCTCACCATGTCTGAGCGTTCGAAAGTCCTGACGTACCGTGTTCGCCAACTTCCTCTGGAGATCGACAAGGCTGGGGTTTCCACGCTATTGCAACGGTGCCTTCAGGCAGGTGGTAGTCTGCCAGAAGTCCATGTATATTCGCTCGCCAGGAGTCTGGCCTCCCTATATACCTCGCGCACCAAAACTGCGACGGTCACAATAAAGCCTTTGCCGCCACACCTCCAAGGGCGTGAGGGATGGAGTTTCTGGACAGATTACCAAGGGGCACGATACAACATCATTATCGACCTTGATTTTCTGGACTTTACAGTCCTCAATGACGTGCGGGACGAAGAGCATGCCTTTGAGTATGTGTGCTGTCAACTGAGGTGTTTACTTTGTACTAACGCACGCAGCTGTATTTCAATCAGTGGCCTCGGGAGTCATCCATTTGGCTCCTGGCAACACCGTGGCGAAACCCCATTCATGTGGTTAAGAGATGGGATTCCTGAAGATTTCCCTGGCAGCCGGTCAATCATTTATGGCTATGGATCCCAGGTTCCCGACAGCAGTTCGTTTCAACGTCCCCACGATATAGCGGCGCGATTAGTCAACCGCCTAAGATCCGTGGGATTCGGGTCCTCACAGTCAAGACCGGTGATTCTTCTCGCTCATAGTCTCGGGGGGATCATATTGAAGGAAGCCCTCATCATCCTTGCGGGCATCTCAGATCAGGAGTACTCTTTCCTCGGAAACCTCAAGCTGGTCATTTTCTTCGGCGTGCCACACAAGGGAATGTCAACATCGCGCCTCGTTACCATGGTGCAAGGCAACCCAAACGAGGATTTGATCCGCGACCTTTCCCCCAACTCATCGTATCTTCGCCACGTCGAGGAACGCTTCAACGGAGTCCATACCCGTAGGGGATTCAGAGTCGTCTCGTTCTATGAAACAAAGACCACCAAAACCGTTCAGGTATGTGCACGCTACATCTTCGCATGTCAAAAAAAAAACCCCCCCCGCTGAATGGTTCCAAAGCAACAAAATGACGGCAAGTGGTTGAGGACTGGTCCACCGACCCGCATGGTGGATCGTGAATCAGCCATACAACGGTGTTCTCGCGACCCCGAGGACATTTACAGTATTGATGAAGACCATTCAGCAATGGTCAAGTTCTTTCGGGATGATGTCAACTACAGATGCGTACGGGATTGCTTGGCCGGAGTCTCGTCAGTGGTTGGCGTAGACTTCGCCGAGAAATTGGTAAACAGTGCCGGCCTTTTGGCACAGAAGCGGACCCGACGAGGGCGTGACCACAGCACAAATGCTGCACCTTCGGCGGGATCTATGATGCGTAGGCTAGCAGAGAACATGAAGTTCAACTCTGAAGGTGGAGTTCCAAAGCTTTCTCAAACCTAGCCGAATGCTCATTCATCCTAGCTATTACATCATCGCTTCGGCTACAAATGCTCGATCGCAGGCTGGCCGAAATTACCCATCCCTACCAGTCAACTTTCGGCTGGATTTTTCGAGATGACGCCCTTGGATTTAGCGCCTGGCTGCTCAAAGGCCAAGGAGGGTACTGGATAAGAGGTAAACCGGGCTCGGGGAAGTCTACTCTCATGAAGCATATCGCGTATCATGAGAACACGCATCAGTTTCTCGACAAATGGACCTATCCTGCCCGACTCGTCAAAGCAGGATTCTTCTTTTATTACCGGGGTTCGAGAATCCAAAAGTCGTTTGATGGCCTGATCAGAAGCGTCCTGCTCCGGATTCTGGAAGAAGTCCCTGAGCTTTGCCAGTATATCCCATCAAAGTGTCTTCCACTGCCAGGGAAAACAAATTTTGATTGGAGCCCGGGGAACCTGTATGATGCATTACGGTCCGTTCTCGAACAGCGTCGCATGAGGCTCAAGATCTGTTTGTTCATCGACGCTCTGGATGAGTTTGATGGCCATCTCGAAATCTTGGCAGATTTCATCGAGACATTGATCGAAGGGGGCTGTAAAGTATGCTTTTCGAGTCGGCCCCGCGACATACTTCAGAAGCATTTTGGCAGCCTCCCTGGGATCGATATGCAGGACTACACGGAAGCGGACATTCAAAGCTATACTTGGGGGAGACTGACGAGCTTTGCAGACGTCTTGACCGGAGTGCGCGACACGGTCCACAGCGCAGTGGTAGCGATCACACGGAAGGCGAACGGAGTCTTCTTATGGGTAAAGCTAGTCTTGGATCGTATCGAGCAAGAAGGAATCTCGTCGGACAGGATTTCGACGCTGCTGCACCAAGTGCCAGAAGAGTTGGAAGACTTTTACGCAACAATCATCGAACGCATTCCCGACGAGTTCCGGTGGGAGATATATCTCACGCTGGACGTCATGCTTCGAGCCCGCGAAGAACCCTTCTTGCCGCAAATTTTCTGGATAGTCAAATGGGCTCAATGCTATACCTTGGGAGAATGTTTCGAGAAGCTCCAGGAAGAAGACGATTTCTTAGGGTTTTGCCATCGGCTTAAAGAGCGCTGCGGGGGTCTGATCGAAATTGCCGAGCCATTCAACACGAGAACGCGCATTCGGCTCATCCACGAGACGGTGCGAGAATTTGTCGGCGGGCCGGGGTTCCAAGAACTGATGGTTGGGCGAGCAGCCCTTTTCAGAGCTCAGAACGGATACACGGAGCTTGCCAAGTTGTACCTTGCAGCTCTGAGATTTCCCTCCAACGTCAAGATCGAGACGCATGCATACGGCCTCACAGAGATGTGCATGCTTTACTGTCATCTTGCAGAGTCGACGACGGGAGTTTGTCAATCTCAGCTGATAGATGCACTTCAGCCAGATGACTTTGCCAACGTGGCATCGACGGCTCGCTCTGTTGCGTGCGTCGATAATGATGGTACGCACATCAAGGATATCCCGGTGTGTCCAACTTCTGCGATCGGGTTTGCCGTATCATCCGGCCTCTTGATCTACATGCAACAAAAGCTAGGTCACGGCGACACTTCGGACACGATGATCGAAGAGGCACTCCACGCTGTGGTTCAAATCGTCAAAAACTTGCAGAGACACAAATGGCGGTTGTGGGACAAAGATGCACCTCCAGACCACCACCAGATGGCACGGCTACTGCTGGAAGCGCCAGGAAAGTCTCACTATCTCGGGGCAACGGCATTCGGATCGCTTTTTCTGAACCAGTCTGGCACCGACGGCTTTGCATACGCCAACCAGGCATTCCTCGCCATCGGTCAATACCACGATTCCAAGAGCATTCTCGACCTAGCTCGGCTCTTCCTCAGCAACGGCCAAGACGCAAACATGGAGTTGACGGAAGAGTCGAGATTTGCGGTCGGGAGATGTGGAAACCCAAGGGGCCCAAAGCCTCTCCATCTTGCAGTCAACAAGATGGCAGAGCTCCTTCTGAGCTACAATGCTGAAATCAACGCCACGGATAGGGAAGGAAGGACTCCGCTGGATGCTGCCATCAAGAGACTTGTGGTGGGATGGCTGTTTATCCCGGACAAAGTAACCACCACTGCGAGCGAAGAACACATCGACATGCTGATGGGTGAGGGGGCGTGTATCACGCAGGCTGGATTGAGGTTCTATCCGTTGTGCGTCGATATTTTTACAAACAGTGGCCGCGATATCCAGGGACTGCTTGAGCTGCCGCGAAGGTCAGTTCAAGAGGAGTTTCTTTCTCATTTTGACCTCATTGTTCTACCGAAGGTATCGAGGGTTGAGTTGGGGTTTCGCAGACTGGCAAGAATCCCATTTCGGAGTAGAGATGATTACTGTTGAAGACTGGACGCTTCGTTAGTGTGTTTCAGGTATGTAATGTTTTTTTTTCTAATTCAGCAAGTCTCGCACTGGATTTTGTGTAGTTTGGTAGCGCAAAAGCATACAGGGGCGGTAAGGTTGTTCCTGAAAGATCAAAGAGTATATTGCATGAGGTTCAGAGCGTCATGCATTAGTGAAGGATGCCGACGATGATGGCGCTTTGAAATAATAATGAATCTAGAACCACAACAATCTATATGATGATCGGACCTAATAGGTTGTCGTGGCGACCCGAATGGGTTCCGAAATGCCTTGCGCTTTGGTTTCCATTCGCTTCCGTCAGCAACCAAGGAACGCAGGCTGCAAGTTCGCTTGGCATGGATAGCTCGAGAGCTGCGACAGATGGAACTCGTGCATGTGAAGACGTTGGACGTCACTTTTGTCTTGGCACAACCGACACAACTGTGGCTCGACACACAAGGAGCCCATGACGGCGCCATGGGGGACAATCAGCAGCAATGAGATGTCTCGATTTGCTTATTGATAGCTTGATGCTGCGAGCAGCCGCATCTCGTTTCAAGGTTTGCAGCTGCCCCTGTCTCCTGCGGCCAGTCAAAGGGTCTGACGCAGGTTGGACTGGGGATCCCCGACGGGCGAAGCTGACACGACAAGGCTGAAGACTACTACTACTGCAGCTACCCCACCCGTTACCAAAGCCATGGCGTACGCATCTTGATCAGCTGCGAGACATTCATCAAGTCACAGGTGGTCAGAAGATGAGGACATGGCCATCGCCAGGTACTTGGCCGTGTACCTAGTGATGGAAGAGAGCGGCCGGCCTGTGCTTTCGGACCCCGCGTTGCTGTGGGCCCCTCGGCGGCGGTTTTCCTTCTCTGGGAGCGAAAAGTGGTCTTGGACCACGACACACGGCCCCCGTCTTTATCCAACGTATCGCTCTGAAGACCAACAAGGGCTGCGCAGCGGGTTCCACGCGCGTCAGCACTTTGATCGATATTAGTGCTGACGTGTCATCGGTTCCGCTGCAGGCGGCGGGGCTGCTGGGCTTACTATTTGACAGGCGTGAGGGCTGCAGGCTTCGGCAGGGAAGCGGTTAGGAGCAGCAGCAGCAGGCCGTAGCGCATGGCTTGGGACCATGGGCGGCGAATGCCAAACGTCAGGGCGCAGCGCAGCGACAGCAGCCATGGGCGGTAAGTGGCGGTGCCGCTTCCCGCGCGGCGCAGACCACCGTGACCTGCTGCCATCTCGACCTGCATGTCGGTTGCCCCGCGCCATCGATGCGAAAACGCTGCACCGAGTCGCCACGCGGCCCGGCGTGAAGAGCAGCGAGCAGCGAGCAGCGAGCAGCGAGCAGAGCTCAGTGACGATCGGACCGGGCTGCGGGACGGCTCGGCTTGCCAGACACACGCATTTGGCCTGTCGCAGATAGGTATGTATGTATGTACATCGGGATCGCGGCAACTTCCTCGTTCCTGCGCCTTTGTCGCAACCCGCGGTTGACCAGGTCTTGGCCACCACTTTTGACGGAAGCCCCTATCCATGGCCGACCAGCTCTGTACCACGTCGCATCGCAAGACACCGACAGCTCTTCGCTCGAGCCGCTCGGGATCTGCAACCTTAAATTATTGGACTCGGAGGGAAGGTGGAAATTGGGACACAGATCCCGCTCGGCAGCGCGGCCGGCCTTCCGCGGTCCAAGAACGGCAGCAGTAGATCGTATTCGCCAAATCCATCGGCGCGCCTGAGGAAGACGAATGTTTCCGCGGATAAAACCTCCCCAGAAACGGCCGCGGGCGTTGGACGGTTTGACAAGGATGGAAAAAACCAAAAGAAACACAAGAGACGGGATGCAAATTGCATCAAAAGCTGGTGGACTTGATGAGGCTGAGACGTTTGCCAGGCCACGCGCGCGCGGCTCTCCCGATTGCGTCACACTGCCAGCTTCTGCCCGTGTCACCTCATGCGTCGTCTCCTTTTTATCTTGTCGCTGGCCGGCGCTGGCCCTGCTGGTTGGTGGAGCCTGGGGCGGGCGCCGCTTCCGCGCATTACTGCTTACCGGGACAAGGCCCTGATGCTGGACTGGAAGCGTAAGCGTGGGAAGGATTGTGCAGGCGTCGAGCAGAGTTTGGGAAGGGATGTGCATCGGGCGGGCCGGGGCTGAGCTGGCCGCCCCTCAGGAGTGACCAATGATGCCGATTGGAACCTCAACCGAACCTGCATCCCATCACCGCCACGTGCATGGCGCCCACGACCTCTGTCCCTTTGGTCCAACTCAGACCTCCCAATCGACACGCCCGGCCATGGCAAAATCCTCCGCTTGCGCCCCATGCAGCCCTCCTGACTGCGTTACTCCGTCCGTCCATGCAGCAACACAATGCTGACCCGGCTGAGCAGGCGCCGGGAAAACGAAGACAATAACAATGCTCTTCACCGACCTGCTGAGCTTCCTCGGCCACGGCTGCCCGGGATCATCGCTGGCGAGCCGATGTTTCAAGCACATCGAACACGCGGGACGCCAACCCATGCACAGTAATAAACCAAGCCGCATTGCTAATTCCAGAAGCCTGAATATGCGGGGCCTTTAACCTTCTTGTGCATGGCCTGCCCACTGCTCCCATGCACCCCTCGCAGCCCCCGGCTCTTCCTTTCCTCTTATAAGACCGGGTCCCGGCGCCCACCCACGATCGATACTTGCTCAAACGGCCTCGGGGACAGCCAAGTAAGGTCAGTTGCGCGGGAAAACAGAAAGAAAAAAAGAAGCCACGATGCTCCTCCCGCTCGCCCTCAGCCTTGCCGCCACGGCGCTGGCCAAGACGGTGACGGTCGACTGGGAAATCAACTGGGTCAACGCCGCTCCCGATGGCTACTCGCGCCCCGTCATCGCCGTCAACGGCCAGTGGCCGCCCCCGGTCCTGGAGGCCAATGTCAACGACACCATCGTCGCCACCGTCACCAACTCGCTCGGCAACGAGACGACGTCGGTCCACTGGCACGGCATGTGGCAGCGCGGCACCCCCGAGATGGACGGCGGCTCCGGCATCACCCAGTGCGCCATCCCGCCCGGCGAGACGTTCAAGTACGAGTTCACCGCCTACCCGGCCGGCACCTTCTGGTACCACTCGCACGACATGGGCCAGTACCCGGACGGCCTGCGCGCCCCCATGATCGTCTACGACCCGGACTCGGACACCCAGCCCGACCCGGACGACCAGGTCGTGCTGACCGTCTCCGACTGGTACCGCGACCAGATGCCCGGCCTGATCCACTCCTATCTGACCACCCCCAACTTCGACGGCCGCATGCCCAACCCCAACTCGAGCCTGGTCGACAACCAGCAGTCGACCACCATCAACATCAAGCCCGGCGAGCGCAAGTACGTGCGCCTGATCAACATGTCCGCCCTCGCCACCTACTATCTGCAGTTCGGTAGGCTCCCGCTCCTGCACATGCCCCCCATCACTTGACTGACACGGCCCTCAGACTCGCACAACGTCACCGTCGTTGCGATCGACAGCGTTGACGGTAAGTCTTCTGCACCCTGCCGTGTCCCGGCTGCGCCAAGTGGCACCAACCGCGGCCACCTGCATATCCGTCCCACTTCATGTGCTGACAACCGCCATCAGTCGAGCCGCAGAGCTGGGAGGCCATTGAGATCGTGCCCGGCCAGCGCTACGACTTTTTCATCGACGGGCTGGAGGACCCGGACCGCAACTACGCATTCATCAACCAGATGGCGGTGCTGGGCCTGCAGAACCTCAACCAGCTCGTGTACGACGACGACTTCGGCACCCCGCCACCGTTCACCCTGTCGACCGCCAGCCTCGGCTCCGACTTCAACCTGGTGCCCGTCGACGAGGAGCCGCTCCTCAGCCCCGTCGACCACACCATCACCATGGAGGTCAACAACCTCAACATCGACGGCGTCGGCTACCGGTAACGCATCCCCCCCACTTCTTCCCCTCCTCTTCCTCCGTCCCTCCCTAACACAACAGCCACAGCATCACCCAAGGCCCGGACCCGTACATCTCGCCGCGCACCCCCTCCCTCTACACGGCCCTCACCACCGGCTTCAACGCCACGGACCCGGCCATCTACGGCCAGACCAACGCCTTTGTCGTCTCGGCCGGCGACGTGGTGCAGCTCGTCGTCAACAGCAACGACCTCGTCACCACCAACAACTCGGGCCGCGGCCACCCCATGCATCTGCACGGCCACGTCTTCCAGGTCGCCGGCCAGCTCGCCGACCACTGGGACGGCGACGACTCGAGCTTCCCCGCCGTGCCCATGAAGCGCGACACCACCGTGCTGTTTGCGGGGGGCAGCTTGGTCGTGCGCTTCCGCGCGGACAACCCGGGCGTGTGGATGTGTGAGTTTTTTTCCCTTCTTCTTCTTCTTCTCTCTCTCTCTCTCTCTCTCTCTCTCTCTCTTGCCGTGATGGCTGTGGTGCTGACGCATGACCTCACAGTCCACTGCCACATCGAATGGCACCTCGACGCGGGCATGGCGTCCACCATCGTCGAAGCCCCGCTCGACCTGCAGCGCGAGGACATTGTCGTTCCGCAGAACCACCTGGATTCGTGCCGCGCCATGAACCTGTCGACCTCGGGCAACTGCGCCGGGAACACGGTCAACTTGGCCGACACGGCGAGTTGCCATGAGTATGATACCGATCCGTGGGGGTGAGTGATGACCACCTTTCTTTTTTTTCCCCTCTTTGGCAAAACGAACTGGTTGCTGACGGGCGTCGATAGTGCGCTTATTACTGGTCCTGGTACGCCTGGAAACGGCACGAACTCGACCATTACGTGCTATGGCGCCGCTTGTTAGAGGGCGTCTGTTAATTGTTTAATTTATAATGTTCTATTATACGTACCGCGGTGTGTGAATTTTTATATCCTTGAATGTGCTTGTCTCGTTGACTGTAAACTTTTATCCGAGGATCATGGTGAAGAATAGATAGTTTAGTAATCAGAGCAGGGTATAAAGCACCTACCCTCATCAAGTGAATCCAATACGATCAATCTCCATCATCTGTTGCAGCACCACGGGCGGCAAATATCGTCTACGCGTAAGCAATCGAGCGAAGCGGGATCTATGAATTTTGCCCTCCACCGGAGTCAAGTAGACTTCGGTAGATTGAGTATGGACCCAAATTCGTTGCGAAATGATTCTTAGATCCAAGTTGGTCCGAGACACTTTTTAGTAGAAAACATGGTCCAAATTCCGTGATCGAGCTTCTCTTACAGGTAGATCCATATACTCCATAGCACAGTACAGTCAATTTCTTCAAACAAGATCCGGTCACTCGGCAAAAGGGGACGTCCACTCAAACGCTATGCGTCCTCCGGTGCGTCAACCCGCCCTTCCCAGCGACAGCAACCTCCTCCCTCACCACCTCACCCCCCTTCCCCTCCGCCTCCTCCTCCCCCGAAATCTCCCGCCACAACTCCCCGGCCCGCACATCCGCCGCCTCCCCATCAAACACCCTCGCCACCTCCTCCAACGAACACCCCCTCGTCTCGGGATAAAAAAAATAACACGTCGCGCCGATCCCGACCAACAACACCACATAAACGACATAATACCGCCACCCGATCCGCTCCAACGCCACCGGGTTCACCAACGTATTAAACAACACCGCCACCTGCGTCGCCGCCACCGTCACCGCCACCCCGCGCGCGCGCAGCCCAAACGGCCACACCTCGCACGGATACGCGACCAGCAGCGGCGTCCACGCCGCGTCGTACGCCGCGTAGTACAAAAACAGCACGGGCACCACCGCCGTCCCCACCGCCACGTCCCTCTCCCCGCCGCTGCTGTACGCCCCCGTCAATCCCGCCACAGCCGCGTAGCACGCCCCCATCCCCGCCGTCGACCACAGGAACAGCGGGCGCCGCCCCACGCGGTCGACCAGGTACCCCGCGGCGAAGGTGGCGCAGAGGAGGTTCCAGGCCTGCAGGCAGCCGTTGAGGAGGGTCTGGTGCCGCGGCGAGGTGATGCCCGCGGTCGAGAGGACCGCGGGCAGGTAGTAGGATATGTTGCCGACGCCGTTCCACTGGGCGAAGACGCCGAGGGTGAGGGAGATGAGGAGGCGGTGGCGGTTGCCGGGGGTGTGGAGCATGGATGCGTAAGAGGTGGTGGAGAGGGTGGGGGTGGGGGTGGGGTTGGTGGGGGTGGATGGGGGGGAGGGGGATTCGAGGGAGAGGGCGCGTTGGACTTCGGCGAGCTCGAAGGCGGCGAGGGGGGAGGTGGGGGTGCTGGTGGTGCTGGTGCTGGCGGGGAGGCCGGCGTGGTGGGTGGCGAAGAAGGCGTGGGCTTCGCTGGTGCGGCCGCGGGATGCTAGCCATCGGGGTGATTCGGGGCAGAGGAGGTAGCCGGGGAGGGCGATGAAGGGGAGGGCGACTTGTAGGAGGGAAGGGATGCGCCAGGACCAGGAGCCTGGGATGGATTGCGTGCCGAAGGTGACCCAGGCGGCGAGCATCGAACCTGGATCGACTCAGAAAATGGAGACCGACAAACAAAGAAGAAACTCACCTATATACCAGCCGCAGTTGAACATGGCCGTCAGCACGCCGCGGTGGGTGGGAAACGCGTTTTCGGTGATCAACAGCGGCGCCGTCACCATGAACCACGCGCTGACACAACCGACGAAGAAGCGGCCCAGCACAAACATGGCCACGTTCCGCGCCCCCGTCTGCAGCGCGACGCCGAGCACCAGGAACCCGTAGCCGATCACGACGCCCGGCTTGCGCCCGAAGCGATTGCCCGCCCACGCGGCGACGGGGTACTGGAAGATGGACCCGATGGACGACGCGGCGCTGATGAAGCCCAGCCATGCGCCCGTGGGGGTGTGCATGAACGAGTTCCACTGCGGCAGGGCTTGCAGCCCGTTCATCAACGAGCCGTCGTAGCCGTTGGCCGACGAGAAGAGGATCAGCGAGATGAGGCAGAAGTTGAGGCGCACCAGGTGCGGTTGCCGGTACCATGGCCCTTGGTCTTGCGGCAAGACGGCGGCGAGCTCGGCGCCCACCACCCTCGTGGCCTTTTTGCTGTCGTTGCTCTTTTGCGGAGCCATGGTGTTGGTTTCTGTGTTGGTGGTCGAGGTGGCGAGAAGTTCGAGTTAGGGGATGGCTCCTTCCGGTCGGATCCGGGGCGGGATGAGCATCAGCAGCAGCAGCAGCAGCAGCAGCGACGCTGGCGGGGGGCTATGGGATGATTGACTCCTGGTGTCAAGAGAGGCTTAAAGTCTAACTGAAGAGAGTTGTGGCAGTGATGTGACTCGTCGGGCCACCAGGTGGTCGTCAGATGAAACCCCACGGGGAAGCCTGTGCATGATTGGCCGAACCAGATGTTGGTCCGCCCTTGATAAGCTTCAGCACGCCGTCTTCGTGCTATATCCTCGCCGCTACGGGGCATTGCGCCGACTATCTGCCGAACGGTTCGCGGCGCGCCCATGAGCTCCACTTCGCCATGGCGTGCGGGCATTGATGCCGCTGGGGGCGGCGAGTGGGATCCAGAAGCGGGCCGCTGCGCCTGGCTGTGTTCGTTGCCATCCGCCGCCCCGATCCTGGCGGCGCTTCATGCGGCGAATCGGGAGAGAAACTTTCACTTCTCATCCCGCAGCCTGTTGAAACAAGCCACACAGAGCATCTGTTCGCTTCGGGAATGTATCGGCATTCCAGATCATCCTCTCGCTGAGAGTGGGCATGAGCGACTGAATAAGCTGAAGAAATTACGGAAGACGAAGCAAAGCTCAGACTCGAAATGAGAAAGCCAAATGAAACAAGATGCCGCAACTGACTCCGCCGGCCGATAAAAGTGAAGCCTCAGAGAGTGTCGTGTCTGCGTTGCATCCCCAGTGGCCATCGTTCGAAAGGCGAGACTGGAAGGATTAAGGTTGGAGGCTGAGCGGGGTCGGCCGGCCCCTCTCCTTGAATGGCCTACATCCTTCAGCTCTTCTGCAATTCTGACGCAATAAGTCAGACCGACGGGTTCCTCTGCAGTCTTGCGAAAGTAGAGACTAGAGTACGCTGTGCACTTTTCGATTTTGTTCACCCCTTCAGATTCAATCATGAAAATACTGTGCGTTTGCGAGGAGATACGAGATACTTTCATCGCAGACATCGGTAAACCAACTTCATTTCGGAGGCAATAATAGCGATGGAAACAGCAGCAGGTCGGCGAATACGATAGTTACTTTCAAAATAGCTAAGGATATGAGAAAACCGAATGAAAGACGATCCAGGCAAACTGGAACGCAATTGAGTATCGAATCTACTACAAAGGAGAAACAATTAGATATGCTCCTGGTAAAGAGGTTTGTGAATCAGCTGGATCTGCTCCCCAACTCTGTCACTCAACCTTTCCAAGTCAAAGCGCTCGACAGACCGTCCCAGAGGATTTGCGACCGCCAGCACTTTCATTACACATTTTGACAGCCTCATCGTATCCGCCAATAGTTCAAGAATCCTGTTCGATTGGGGACCCCAGCACAGATCAATCCGATCGAGCACCACATACACCGTCTCTCCACGATCAAACAGCCCAAGAATCTCAACACATACTTCTTGCAACGCCTTAATATATTTATCTTGGTTGTGGTCCGTTGTCGGAAGGTCCTTGAATCTTTGGACGGCAGCACGAAGTTGTGCATCATGCTTGTCATCTGCGAGTTGAACGAGCCTGGAACTCAGGAGCTGGAAGAGGACGATTGAGATGGTTTCGTACAGCGACCGTTTCTGTCCATTTTCTTCATTCGGGCTCAGCGCATGGAAGGCATGCATCGCTCCCCTGTCTCGTAAGCGGGTCCAAGCCTCCCACGCCAAGGGGGATATCCAACAATGCATTTTGCGTGCCTTGATGGCTTCATTGTTGAGGCCCACCAGGACTATCATAGCTGACTGATTCGACGCAGTCCAGTGATGATAGGCGCCGGCCTTCCTAATCAACACTTCGAAATCGTTCCCACTCACTTGTTGGTAAGTGTGCTTTTCCCCCAAATTCAACTCACGATGGAAAGATGTTTTATACTCGCTCAAACACTGTTTTTCGTGGTCCAAAGACCAGCTCTCCAGCCCGAGTAGTCGCTGAAACTGTGTGAGACGATTGTAGACGTTATTGTTTCGCAGCTCTGAGATTCGACGTCAGCACATCAACGATGGTTAACAAAACATTGGGGAACCTCGTACTGTCCAAACCGTCCTGGAGGTTCTTGTTTTTACGAAGAAGTTCTGGGACTTGTCAATTTTCTCGTTTCTCTTTTGGTAATACGGGTTTCACCTTTTTGAGATTCCGTGAGCTCGGCCACATTTCGATGGAGCAACGCCTCACTCGCCTTCTTCACTCTGAGTACATGAGTTTTCAAATCGTCGGACTCTTTTTGGAACTCGCCCGATTTGAATGTGGCGATAGTCCATCGATCTGTCAGTTCGTCAGCGAGGAGAGAATGTTGGAACTTTGTGTGCAAGGCTCACAAAACCCCGATCGCAAATAGAACTTGGCTGCTTTGATGGCAAAGTCAATGAACGCGATGTAGGTGTCCAGTATGTTTCTCTGAAGCTCTTTCGTAAGATGATGCTTGACCACTTTCCCATCATAGATCTGTTGGAACAGTCTGAAGCTGGAAAGTTTGTCCTGAAAACTCCCCAGGATGGTCGAGATGCGAGCATCCAGATCATTCCTGCGCGTTGCGACCTATTCAAAGACGTTTAGCCCCGTAACCCTACATCATTTGATTTCAAGCGGACTCACCCCTAATAGTATGAAGACCGTTCCTATCGCTATGTCGCCGTAAGGGGGCGCAGAAGCCCTCACTACGTCCAAGACTGGTGAGACGCCCTCCATGAATTCTTTGGCTTCAACCGCAAAACTCTGACTTCGTTTTGCCCACTTCAAGCACCCTCTTCTTGCTTTCTCATCGCGCTCTTTGGTAATGTTTTCACAGAGATCACTCAGATGAAGGATGAATTCAGAGGGCTTGTTGAACTCGTATCCTGCAAGATACGCAGACCCCACCTTTTTCTTTACCCATTCTCGAAACTTCTTCTGACGTTCCTCTACATCCTCCAGATATTTCCTGCAACGGCCTGTGAGCTTACGAAATTCTTCAGCGGTTTATATCGAACGACTCACCGCTGTTCCGCTGTAAGCGGCTGTGCTTGAGATGCCTCCTCCTCACAGCCGTCAGCGGCTGCCGACATTGGGCGTGGATCTAATGATTGAATAGTGTTGGGAGATGTTGAAATAATTTCTTCCTTGACTTGCAACAACATGGACGAATTTGTCGTTGAGTAAGGAGCGGTAGTGGCTTTTAAGTCCTCCAAAGGCTGTCAGTAAGAAAATCCGTCAAAGTGGTACCAACACTGCGATTGAGAGCATGACTGAGTGTCATCCCAAGGCTGTAGTATGGCGTCGAGATTACGACGACTGAATGCATGTCATCTTCGGGGCGTTGATGGCGTTCTTTGGCTTGCATACCAATATTGCGGTTGAGAGCATGAATGGGTGTGGTTTAATGCTGTAATATGACGTGGAGACTACGACGACTATATGCATGTCATCTGCGGGGTATTGATAGCAATTCTGCTCGGGGTCTTTGCATTCTTTGACATCTTCTACAGCTATTGGATCGGATATAGGAATGGCCTGACTTTTAGATGAGGAACGTGCATTACACGTATGAGCAGTCTATCCCTGGCCAATTAGTCCGTTCTGATCTCCTCCTCTTCTTTTTTTTTTTTTGAATCTAGATCTGCTTTCGTTTTCCTTTATCATTTGCTATTGGATCGAATATAACAAGGGTTTGACTTTTCAATAAGCAACGTGCATTGCATGCATGTATAAGCCATTCAGCCCTAACCAATCATAGCCCGCTTAATGTACTTCTTTTGGCATCTGCATGCGATTTTACTTTCCTTTTGCCCTCTGATGTAACCACATTAGCAGTCAAGAAAGTCCCTACCAACGATCTTCGTCAGAGAGAGATAGAGCGAGCTCGCTTGCACATGTGTTTTGATTTTAAGTGGTACTGAGTACTACGGCATGTGATTATTAGATGCATGAGAGTTATTTTGCCACCAGCCTGGCCAATTTCCACCATGCAGCCACTCTACTCACTAAGCACAAGGGGGCTTGTTCATTCAGCTACGCCAAATCCCGTTTTGCAGCCACCGCGTAAACGATGGAGTGACGATCGGGTTGGACTATGTGGATCTCATCGGTGGGTGGGGTGCCCGAGAAGAATCTATGCAGTTGTTTGCTATATCAGCTTCAACGATTGATCTGCAGAACGGTTCCCCAAACTCCGAAGTAGGCCTAAATTGGAACTTTGCAGAATACCGGTGGCAATGGCTGAGAAAAAGTAGTGTATTGGTCAGAACATGCATTTTCCTCTTTCGTTCTTCGGAGCTCCTTGTTTCTGGTCCGCTCGACGTTGCTTATAAAAGCACCATCTACCACGGTTTCGATCCGTCTCATGCTTCATCATCGAGAGCCATCTTTTGCAGAGGGTGACCCAGACCATGGATACCCCAATCGAGGTAAGCTCCGAACTCCTACGCACTTGCTGGTCGTCGTGTTCATTCACCGCTTCCAGGGCCATCTCGATGGAAGGCTTGCTTCACTCGAAGAAAGGTTTGCAGCCTTGGAAGCCAAGTACAAAGAACTTCGGGGAAGTACAGAGAAGGAGTTGCCATCGAGTGCTTCAATCTCCAAGGCTGAGGAAGATTCCAAGGTGCGTAGAAAGTAAACAGTTCATTTCTATCTTCTTTCGCTGCTGTCTCACATTTTGCTACATCCTAGAGCGAGAAGGCGGGGAAGGAGCCACAGCAAGAGGATGACAAGGTAATTATTGACCTATGGAATATCAGAACAACTTCAGAAGCTGACACTAGATAGCAGTCGACAGGAGAGAAGGCAGACAAACCCCCTCCCCGACGAGGAAGAGTCGTGGTCATGCGATTCGATACCGATAAAGGTGGCTACGTCGAACATCCGTTGGAGCCGCAAGACTCGGAGGACGAAGCTGCGTATGCCTACGTTCTGAGGAAATTCCCGAGCCAAGCTAGGGACGACTCCATGCGGGATTATGTGAGTGAGCTTTCAATCAACGGTCCAGAGCTTCTCAAACTGTTGAGGGAAAGACTTCGGCACTATCCGAACCATTACTTTCTGGGCGATGTTGCCGCTCTCGCAGCGCCGTATCAGCCAATCATCTTGAACTGGGACAAGCTGAAAGCTGCTTCAGTTGAAGAGTCAGGCGACGAGGAGGGCAGACTCGCTCGCTCAGATTTGAGGCTCTTGCTCGATGATCTTTCTCGAGGATCTGGGGATGAGAGACTTGACAAATACCTCCAGTCTCGCGATGCATTGAAGAAGCAGAGAAGTATCACTTTCGACAACCTGTGGACCATCTTCCCCCCAGGTACTGTTGTGTGCGGCCGCTCGTTTTGTTTCCAGCAGGACCAGCTGTTCATTGTTGAGAGCAACAGAAGACCATGGCCGCAGGATGTGAGACACAGAGGCAATCCTGCTGTCTTTGTGTTGTTGGTCTGGATATACGACTGGGATGGCAAGGCTTTCAACAGAAGGTCCTTGGAGCTACCAATTACGGCATTCGGAGGCCAAAAGCCAATCGTTTCGCTCTCCTACTATCCTCTGGAAGCCAACGAGGAGCAGCGGGCTACGATCGAAAGAGAGCTTCTCGAGCGCGGCAAGAAATTTCGCCAATGTTGTGTTGCGCCGCCAGACGAAAGGCTTTTCCAATACAAAGGACAAGCGACACTCGATCGGAAAGGTTTTCGATGGGGTTTCAGAGATCCAAGTGTAGTAGGTTTCTTAGTATACCTTCATCTGCAATGGATGGCTGACCAATACAACAGGACAGACGGGCCAGTTGGCGGTATGACGGCTACGACTCGGATGACGAGGTAGATATCCGGCCAGTACCGGAAAGGAAGACTCTGGTAATCTACCACTTGGAAAGATCAGAAAAAAAACAAGGCTAATACTCCTCCCCGTAGGTGGACAGCAAAGTCATGGTGGATTTCGAGTCTTATTACAAGTATGGTCCAGCCACTTCGCAAGTTGGTACTGTACCGGTAGGCGGCGGAAGTGAAGAGTGTGACTGCACCCCATGCCAGGACAACTCTGCTTTGAAAGAGAAGTTCAAGTCATCATTCGATGGATCTGACGGGCGAGGTGATTGGGAAGATTTGCAGTACCAGCTATGCCCTCCACGGTTGCTGGGATATGCGCTTCACGACAAGCACTGGGCCCAATTGGACGTGACCAAGATCGAAGAGATAGAGAAAGTGGGTCCAGACAATGCTTACACATCTGAACTTCACCTGGCCGGTAAAGAGGGAGGTAAAAAAGTCAAAGACTTACTGTTCCGACTGGTCAAGCAACATGGCATGGACGAAGCCGGCCAGAGCTCGGGAGGCTACAACGTGGATGATATTGTGGAGAACAAGGGGAAAGGCCTCGTCATCCTTCTCCATGGTAAGTGGTTCGAGCTAGCATGGCGTTACTTGGCTAATGGTTCACAACTTCACAGGTCCACCAGGTGTCGGAAAAACGTTGACTGGTGAGTGCTTAGTTCTTCTTGAGTAGTCAGCTCTCACAACTGATCTCTCTCTTAGCTGAAACGGTTGCGATTGCTGCCAGAAAGCCACTCCTCTTCATTGGAGTAGCTGATGTGGGCACAGATGCCTCCCGCGTCGAGGAAAACCTACAGAACATCTTTGACCTGGCCAGTACCTGGAGGGCCATCATTCTGATGTAAGACAAAAGAGAGATCCCGGAATTCCAAGAACGCTTGACCGTGCTAACAGATCAAAGTGACGAAGCCGACGTTTTCGTCCAAAGTCGGGTGGTCATTCCGGGGCCGAGCACGGGGAGCAGTGCTCTTGTCTCTGGTTTGTCATCCTAGCCTTGAGGTACGACTGAAAAGCTGACAAAAGAAGTGTTTCTTCGCGTTCTCGAGTACTACAAAGGTGAGATCTAGGGATTCGGCCATAATAACGTAGATATTGCTGCTTACATGCTGTTTATAGGCATCCTCATCCTCACAACGAATCAAATTGCTCAATTCGACATCGCGGTTCCATCCCGTATCCATCTCGCGGTCAAGTACGGAAAGCTCGACGAGACGCAGACCATCAACATATTCAAGGGCTTTCTCGATAAGTATGTCAAACTTGGTGTGGTTGCTGAGAGATCCGAAATCGAGTCGTATGTCAAGGACGATCTTAGTTCTCCCGGATTCGATTCCTTTGACGGCAGACAGATCCGTAACGTTGTGACGTCCGCTGTTGGTTTGGCTCGTGCAAATGGAGAATACCTAAGGCTGCATCATGTCAAGGATGTGGTTGCAAAGGTCAAGGCATTCAAGTACGATCTTGGTGGAAACATGATGTCTTATGAGGATACGCTGAAAAGAGCAGGGGCAGGTCGAGGTTATTGAGGTTAGTTGCCAGACACCTCCGACGATCAGCCGCAGAGTAACAGACTGAAGAAGCGCACTGATCCTGATGAACGAAGACTTTCCTTATTCAGGTAGCCCAGAAATTGCATAGCTTCCATACTCGTTGAATCACTCCATGTCTGTAGCATACCATATCCGGATGACGGTCAAACGGTTAGCAGAACCTGTTGAAGACCACTCAAGGCCGTCAAACATATCCCACAACAAGGCTCGGAGCGCACGTAGCGGCAAGTGCGCGTGCGACATGATTGGCAGTTCTACTCCTCCGGAGACAAGTCCGGTTCGGAAGGACAAGCTGGCAGTGATACGTATGCATCATTCGCCAGCCAGCCTAACGGCCCCGAAAAAAAAGCACGTGTCTCACACAGCATGAATAATTGGAGACGAAAAACTGGAGAAGAAGCATGCAAAATGGAGAGGAGGCGAACGTGTGCAGAGAGGCCGTGGCGGATGAGAAGAGGAAAAAAAAAAGAAAAAAATTGCAGCTCGGGCCAGCCTGCCGTGGCGACTCACCGACCGGTCAATAATCTGCGGTGCTGGCCAGCTGCAGATTTTGACTGTTCTATGAGCCAGCGGGCGGGCGGGGGAAGGCGGAACTTACTGGCTGGTTACTGGCGAAGAGTCGTCGTCGTCGTGCATTTCGATAGCGTTGGTGGTGGTGGTAGAATGGAGGCGCAGCAGCGCTGCTGCATGCGAAGGATGTTGACCGGTCTGTGATACGTGTCCCTGCGCAGTGAGCATTGAGCATTGATCGTCGTTTTTCAGCCCTCCATGCGATGATTGCTTTTTCTTCTTCTTTTCTCTCGCGCCCAAGAAAAGAGCGTTTGGGCAGAGAGCAAAGTCGAGGTGGAAAGCGGTGAGGGTTGAAACCGACGGATGAAGTGTTGTCGTAAGCAATGGCGAGCACACCGGTATAGAGGTGTGTCGGTCAAGAAAGGAGATGTACACCGCAACGACTACGCAGCAAATTAGTATTTGGTTCGGCGGTTGGGCAGCTGTGCATCGTGAACGAGAGAGACGTACAAGTTGAGACGAGAGTGGGGCTGTTTCAAGCTGAAGGAGAAGAAAGAGGGACGCGCGTGCGAAGATCCGGGGGGTCCTGCGTTGACCGGCCTGACAGGGCATTGACAAAGCAGCATGGGCAGTGGTCAGGAGGACGGCGATGGTGATGCGGACATGTCGTGCGACATGGGCGCTTGAGCGGGATCTCGGAAGGGTCTGAGCCAAGTCATCACCGCCCTCGCAGAAGTGATGTCACCCTCTCCAGGCGTGACATGTTTGTTCTTCACGCCCTTCTCAGATGATGCTGCATTAGCGCCACCGTGCTGGGGAGACGAGTTTCTGCAGGAACAGTGTTTCTCGAGGGGTGTCCCCTGAAGCGGACAGCCGCCCATCGGACCGAACCGAAACATGGTGGAAGAATCAGCGAAGGCGCGGCGAAAGCGCTGGAAAAATCCGCGACGTCCAAGGCTGGTCGCAGGTCTCGTGGGCGTTTCCAAAGTCCAGGGTCCTGATTGGCACGGCGCCCGGGTTCCCGCCTGTAGGCGCCGCCAAGTGGACTCAACCCCTCCCCGAGATCCTCCGACTGGAGGCCCACGCCGGCTCCGAGCGTCTCGCTTGCGTTGCAGTTGGAGGTAAGGAGCTGACGGACAACGCATACCAAGCCCGCGGCTTGCCGGGGCCAAACGCTGTTTGATCGGACGACGATCCAGTGACTCAGACTCACTTGCCCCTGGATGATCTGCAGAGGTGAAGGCCTGAGGGTGAGCAATCTGGAAAAATTGCAAAAGAGGTTAGAGGCTGGCTGCACAGCGCAGTGTGCGTCTCACGGGGCGCGGAGATGCAGATGAGGTTTCATTCTGTAGAACTAGTTCTGTTGAACCGAAAGAAAATATGGAGCTGGCCGTAGAGGAAATCCAAAATCTCTAAGCAATCTGAGGATGTCCAAATGGTATCATGGGAAGCGTCATGGGACCGAGACGTCGCACATCAATCGGTCGTGTGAGTAGCGAGTGGTGGAGGATGGCAATTACACCATCTTTCCCCGTATTAATAGAATTCGTCGGCTTTGGGCTGGAGCGCTTGCGCATCCAGGCGTCAAGCCGGTCTGGTCGTGGCGTCGTAGCACTCTTTCGAGGCATCATTCATCCCGCATCGGCGTCTCATCGAGCTGAAAATTGTCGAGTTACCGACTCCGATTTGCCGACGACAGTAGAGGAGATGAGAGTTTGAATCTCTCTGAAATAACTCCGGTCTGGGGTCGCGTCGGCGGTGGCGGGGAATTCGTCATGGTAGCAGGGCGCCGGGCCTTGCAGGGAGGAGAGGTTGGTGCAGACATCGAGTCCAGCATCAATTCAGCGGAAACGACGGGTAGGGCGAGCCTTGGGCGAGAGGTAGATGGCGCCGGCCTCCTCGGCAACGACCTCGAAGGTGATGTCGCCGGTCTTGCTGCTCTTGCCGGTGAGCGGCCTGGAATGGATGGTGCCAGCGCAGGAAGTGCCGGAAGTCGAGGAGACGGTTGAGTCGGGGCGCTTGGGGGCGGCCTTTTTGGCGGCGCGCATCTTGAAGACTTCGTAATCGCCAAGGGTGCACGAGTCGGGGCGGTTGGAGTTGCATTCGAGGGCGGCGTCGGTCAGGTCGGTCATGACGGTCGAAGCAGAGTCGACGGACCAAGAGGTGGCGTGGGTTGCGTTGGAGGCAGACGAACTGGGGCGTTCGGACCAAAGAGAGGAGGCGGAGCCCTTGGAGGAGAGGGTCGAGGAGCTCTTGGAAGAGGGTGCAGTGCTCTTCAGCGAAGAGACGGAGCTCTTGGCCGAGGGAGCAGTGGCCGGCGTCTTGGAGGGAACGGTCAGATGGGTGGAGGCGGGCGAGGTCGAGGGCTTCTTCGGCGAGGAAGCGGGCTTGGGTGAGGTGTGACGGCCAGACTGCTGCTGGGCCTTTCCGTAGAGGTTCTCCTCCTCGGCAATGCGGCGGAGGTCGTGCTGGTCGTCGGACTCGGGAGGGAAATGCAGGGTGGCAACGACGTGGGTGGTGGCTTTGGTGAAGGGCTTCGTCCATTGGCGCTCGTCCCATTGGTGGTCGGAGAAGCTGGGCCTGCGGTCTGCAGATGCAGGTGCAGGTCTGGAAGGTTTCGAGGGTCTGGACGGGGTGGTGGCCTTGGAGGCGGCTGCAGCAGCAGGCTTATGCATGGCGGTAGCCGTCATCTTGTCGGACTGGGGTTTGGTATTGGAGCGGAGTTTGGTGAACATTGTGAAATCTGGAGAAGAAAGTCGGGCTCCGGGCCATGGTGATTTATCTGGCAGGAGCGAGGACTCGTGATGTCCCAAGAGAGAACGCGGTGAAAGTCGCAAAGTGCGGCTGCTCCCCCACTGCCGCTCGGCGCAGCACAGACGTTTGGTGGCTTTCACCGCTACCTTTGGCACGACCCACGAGCTATCGATAGGACGCCGACTGTTTCGGGCAGCCTGTCGCGCGCTACGCCGCCAAAACCTGTCATCTCGCTCGGGAGCACGTGACTGCGGGTGTCTGTTTCTGCTCTGTTTCTGACGTGGCCTGGCACCCACGATCAGCTGGAGAGTCAGCCTGCGAGTTGGGCCGGTTTGGGAAGAGTCAAGCTGCGGTGCCAGCGCAACGCAGGGTCGTCATGTCGTCGCAACACTGGCTGCCCCGTCGGCAGCCCCATTGGTGCGCTGCGGCGCAGTCGACTGTTGAGGACACGTTCGACCACGTAGCAGCGCGGCGCTGGAGTCGGTTGCCCAGCGAAACGCCAGAGGAGTTGCACACCCTCACAGCCTCCCTCGCTGTCGCCAATGAGTCTTGCGAGTTGCTGCGCTGGCGCCGCACGTGAGCGGATCAACCACGGCCCGCCGGCTCAGAGGCTCCGTCCGAGATTCAAGTTCTGCGGGCGGCAGTCGCGCCCGAGGCCTCGCGCCCGAGTCCTCGCGCCGTCGCAGCGCTTGCCGCGGTTTCCTCCCAACCCGCGCGATCCGGTGCATCACATAATCTCCCGTCCCCGCTCCACGCCCACTGCAGTCCCGTCAGTCCCACTCGGTGGCCTTCCATTCTTTCCGCAAGCGCTGCCGCGGCTGTGTCCGCTCTAGCCGCTGCCGCTTTGCTTCCTGTCGCGACCACTCATCAGCACTGCTGGCCTCGACCCAAGCGCTATGCTCTTCGCAGTCGGGCCCCGCTGCGCCTTTGCATCCCACGTCGATGCCCGAGCCACGAGCCTTGCTCCGCAATAATATCCGACTCTCTTTTGTCTCCGGCTCACGCGCCAGCCTCTCGCTAACTCGGTCTCACCATGAGTTGGCTCCTCCGTTCCAAGGCATTGCGAGATTCCGATACAGCTCAACAGATCGAGCGTTTGCGCCCATCTGTGACTGGAGCCGGCATCATCCTGGCCAACCACCACAATCGACAGGCTTTCATCCGCCGCCGCATTGACAACATCCGTACCATCTCTACAATCCCCTCACTTGTTCTTGCCTTTGCTGTCGTGTGACGCTGCTTCAATGCTGCAGGGACCGAAGGCCAGTGCACACCCGACTGCACACACGCCCAGGCCCCTCACCCCTCGCACGCATTGCAACATTCCCAAAGTGGTTGCGGGGAGCTCAAACGCAACGTCATCCATGCCCGATTCAGCAGCCGCTCCACCCGGAAGCTGTTGAGCCTCGGATGGCTCCAAACAAGCTAGCAATTCTCAAACACCCTGATGGCTGTTGCCGACCTGACTCCACTGCTTGGTAAAACGGAAGAAGCGCCGACGCTTGCCAAGCGCCTTCCGGTCTCGTCCGATCCAACTTGATCCCTTCCGATCTATGGTCTTCGCGCTGTCGTGTCCCAAGCCCTTCCAGAAACTAGCCATGGAACCCTTCGACGCTACTATCACTTGGCCGTAGCCTCGCTCCTTTGCTGTTTCAAACAACCCCCGAGGTCATGCGAGCACCAACCAGACGCTCGTTATCAGTAGCCTCGCCATGTTTCCATCCAAAGCGACTTCACCCCAAGGGTCACCCCTGAGGCGAGAAGCGCAAACGCTTCAATCTTGTCGGATAGTGCCGTTGCTCCACTGCTTTTACCACCCGTTTGTATTCTGCCGCAGCCAACATCCCCGGATCGTCCGTCCACCCGGCGCGTAGGTAGCGATGGCGCACTAACTCGATTCATCCTTTACTCTTTCTACCCGCCGGCCCTTTCTCTTCTCCGACCGGTAGACGTCCCACCCGTAGCCGGCCTTGGGCTCTGCAAAAGTCTGCCGTTTTTCTTGCCTGCTTATTCCCGACCGTGACGCCCTCGTCCCCGGCCCCCGTCCCGCAAGGCGCTCATGCATCAGACCCCCCCGGTTGTGCTGACCTTGTGAGCTGCCGAATGACATGACCGGGGATTTGGGTACTTGGGTATTCAGGCATTTTGCTACCTCTTCTTCTTTTTTCCAATACGTTGTGACAGCGAGAAGAGCACCAGCCGATGGCCATCGGTAATAGCCCAAGGGGCGAGCGAGCACCGGCAACTACAAAAGGACGAAGGCGAGCGCGGGGCCAGAAGTACACAGGCTCAAATGACCACAGGCCGCTTGCGACTGCGAGAGCACTGGCGATAGCGCGAGCCCGAGACGGCGGCCCCGGCCAAAGGTCACCAGAGAAAGCCCGAGGCCCGGTGAATGAGGCTGATTGACGCCCACCAGCCGTGCGTGACTGCGAGAGCGACAGGCCGAGAAAGCGACCTCGACTGACCGTCACCAACGAAAGCGCGAGCATGAGGCCCGGCGACAGCGAGAACACAGTGAGAAGACCAGCGATGTGCCTTATCATTAAAGTTGTCGCGCAGTCGCAGTCGTCGGTGACTATCACTCAGGCATCCCGGCACTCAGGTTGTACCCAGGCTTCCAGGCGGCACCCAGGCTCCCAGGCACTCTGGCTGTACTCAAGCACTCTGGCGGTACTCAGGAACTCAGAAACAACTCAAACCAGTCTGTGGACGGGTAACATCCTGAAAATGTTAGGATCATACGAAAAAAAAAAAAACATGCGTAGATGAAAAATGTCACGACGGAATTCTCGTCATACACAACTAAATCCGACACTGACTTTGCCCCTCCTGCCTTCAGCTTCACCCATCAGCCGACTCCCTCGCGCACCAAACAAGACACCGAACCTCGTGTCCAATTTTACCAATTGACTGAGCTCGCCGAGGCCGCGGACGCATCTCACCAGCCGGGTTCACGAAGCCTTCCAATGACCCGGAAGACAGCGCTTACCACAGCGGAAGGTGGGACACCATCTGGCGGTCCAATGATGCAAAGGCAAGTGCAGAGTGGTGGCAGCTTCCCTTTGTGCAGACGGCAAACGACGTCACCCTTTCGAACTCAACACTCCCCAACGTCATCGAGCCCTCGGGCTGGAAATCCGGGCTCAAGTAGGTAAACCATTCTCGAACGGCCGACGTGTAGCGGAGTTGGTTGAAGCGCGCGAACCCCCGCCTCGCCGAACCAGAACGGGCCGTCGTCCTCCCTGTGGTGGTGGCGAGATCAGCCTGCAGACAACGACGACGGGCCTCCGCTCGACAGCCTGTTGCCATCCCGCCGCCCGCTGCCTCCATGCCACCGGAGGCTATCGTGGCTTCCATCCTGCTCGTGGATAGGTGCACCCTCTTCAATTCATGGCATGGCGCCACCGGCCTGCCTTTTCGGGTAGTCGCAGCTGCCTCCCGCGAAGTCGTCGTGGTGGTTAGTAGGTAGCCGTGCGTGACTCCAACTTAACGATAAAGCATTAGATTCGAGAAAGCATCCAGAACCAAGTGCGTCCTCATGTGACCTTCTGCGATCATCATCAAACCAATAAATAATGTCTCAACCGCTGCTGGTAACTTTGCGATGAATAGCCAGTCTTTTCCCACCTGACCTGATTTCTACCTAAACACTACGTAGCTACTTGGAAAGAGGGCCAAATTTCACTTGCTCTGCACTGTCTCCGCTCCTTCATCAGCGGTGTAGAACTCGACATACCACAGCGATTACTCGTCCTATCCACCAAATAGCATCCATTCCCGCTGGACAATACCTTAGAGAGCATATCTAAAGTGCGGATTTTCCATCTGTAACAAAGTCAGCGCAAATGCAGGAAACTACACTCTCAAAACCTACATCAGTCAAGTCCGACAGCCCCTGCTCAATGCTTTCTCCACTCGCATCGCCACCGTATGGTAGACCATGAACCCTATCACGCTACAACAGCATCTGTCAGCATGACTGAACACAACTCACGTCAACATCACCACTCACCCTTGCATTCTCCCTCCTACACACCACCCAATACGCCCCCAAAACCCCCGCCTGCACCGCAAAACACACAATCATGGCCACAAACCCGGACCGATACCTCGGCGCCTCCTCCGCGAAAAACAGCTGCGGTCCCACCACATTCCCCACGCAATACGCGACAAACAACCCCGCCGTGACGACCCCCTTCTTCGTCCGCCCCGCCACATTCGCCTGTATCAGCCCCAAACTAAGCACGTACGTCGCGCTGAACCCCGGCAGCAAATAGTACCCGATCAACCGCCCATACTTGCTCTTCCCACCCTCTCCCCCTTCCGGAATCGCATACATCATGACCGTCCCCGCCAGCGCGACGCCGATCCCACCCAGCATGAGCGCGATGCGCGCACCACCACCAGCACCACCACTCCTCGACTTGGTGGTGGTGGTCGTATACCGCCCCGCCAGCCACCCGCTCACCAACAGCGCCACGATCTGCACCCCACCCGACGGCATCCCCAACAGCGTCGTCCCCAGCTTGTCGAACCCAAACCCTTCGACGATCAGCGGCCCGAACGCCACCACCCCGCCATTCGGCACGTTCGACGCGACCGTAAACGCGACGAGCAGCCACGACTTGACGTCGCGCGCGGCCTCGAGCGCCTGGTGGGGTCTGAACACGCGCGTGTCGAGCTGGCCGCCATCAGTGTTCGCCGCGACGACGAGGCGCGCGACGGCGATGCGCCGCTCGCGCGGGGTGAGGAAGCGGGATGCGGAGGCGGGGTTGGGGGCGGCGAGGAGGGTGAAGACGAGCGACCAGGTGACGGTGAGGGCGCCGAAGATGAGGAAGGGGAACTTCCAGGCGGGGAGGAGGGCGCGCGTGATGTGCCCGATGGCGTAGGCGATGGGGCCGCCGAGGATTTGGGCGGCGCCGTTCATGGAGAACCAGAGGGATGTGCGGAGGGGTTGTTCGGATCTGTGCGAGGGAGGGGGGGTTAGTGGGGTGGTGAGGGTGGTGGGGGTTGGATGGGTGGATGGATGGACGTACCGCTTGTAGAACATGCTTGTGAGGAGCACGAAACAGGGACTCACGCCGGCTTCCAGTGCGCCGAGGAGGAAGCGGGTTGTCATGAGACTGGCAAAGTCATCGGCAGCCGCCATGCACAAGAGGACGGTGCCCCAAAGACCACTGGGAGAGGTTAGTTTGGTGCTTCTTTGTAGCAGGTGAGCTTACATGATGACGCCGCAGACTCTGGTGATGTGGAACCGCTGGAAAAGGTAGTTTAGAGGGAACTCGGCAACGAGGTAGCCGATGTAGAAAATGGTTGTCAGCCAAGAATACTGGCTTCCGTATAGACCGACATCTTGCCGCATGCCCCACAACGCCGAGTATGAAATGCAAGACTTGTCGAGGAATTGGATGAGGTAGGTGATCATGAGCTTGGTTACTGTCAGTGGTGTGCGGTATTCGGGCAGGGAAAAAAAGACTGACCAGAGGCATGAGGTGGAGATCGATCTTCCGTCGCACTGCCCTCTCCTCTTCTTCAGTGTAGTTTTCGACTTCTCCCACTTGAATGTCATCGGGAAGATGCTTGCTATCTTGTTGTGTGGTAGGGTCTGAAGACTTTTCCGTCTTGGTCTCCATGTTTGCAGGAGGTTCAAGGATCACCAGTAACAGGCTGAGCGGACGAACAAGGCTGCGGGCACTGTGAGAATGATAGACTGGGAAAAAAGAGATTGCGACTCGACTATTAAGCATTGAGCCAGGAAACCGTCAACATATTGATGGTGCGGCCTTATCGCAGACATGCCGAGGACAGGTTGGGGGTGGATGGGGGGTGGATGGGATGGATGGTGTCTATTGGGTCGAGCGAACAGGGGTATCGGATGCGGCCCGGCCGATGTCCCTGTAGGTAGGCCGGCGACCACTTTACGACCAGGTATTACACGCACAAATTAGCCTTGACGTATAACAGGACGGCCACCCCTCATTTTTCTCCATCATCCAGACCTTCTCAAAAATGACCGAATCCAAGCTTCTCAGTGGCGAGTCCAAGCTTTCCCCCGAGGTAGCTGGGCTCATCTGCCAAGCCATTGACGATGCGAGCGACGAGCTGCGACGTCTCAATCTCGAGGTAAGTATTGTTCAGCAAGGGCGTGGACACGGCATTAATGGCGTCGAACAGATCTACAACAACCCGGAGACCAAATACGAAGAGTTCAAGGCATTCAAGCTACTGACGACCTGGTTCGAAAACCAAGGCTGGACGGTAAAGCGCTCGGTCTATGACATTGAAACAGCATTCGAGGCCCGCTTCAGCGTCGGCCAAGGCGGCCGGACCATAGCCTACAATGCCGAATACGGTAAGCCCATTTTTGGTTTTGAACAGTGGGCGACGAGATGATTCAGCTACCCAACATGGGTGTGGAGATTGTATAGTCATTATACTACTTGTGAAGAGAGATGATTTTAGCATGTACATGTTTCATCGCCTATGTATAACCCTTTTCTTACTCTTTCGTTACTCACTAGGCGTCGCACTCACCCACTCACACTTATTAACCCTTTCCTTACTCTCTTTGGTTACCCACTTACTTACTCACTATCCCGTTTTACTCTTTCGTCGCCCATATAACGCTTTTCTTACTCTGTCGTCAACCACTCACACTTACTAACCCTTTTCTTACTCTCCTTCGTCACCAACTCACTCACTAACCTTTTCTTACTCCTTTGTCACCTACTGGGCGTCGCACTCACTTAGCGTCTTTCGTCACCCACTCACTGACCATTCTCCCACTCAGACGCGCTCCCCAAAATCGGCCACGCCTGCGGCCACAACCTCATCGCCACCAGCACGCTCGCCTCGGCGCTCGGCACGGCGGCAGGGCTGCGCCACACGCAAACCGCCGGCACGGTCCTCGTGGTCGGCACGCCGGCCGAAGAGACGGGCGGCGGCAAGTACTACATGGCGCAACGGGGATGCTGGGCCGACGCGTCGGCGTGCCTGATGACGCACGCGATGCCCGACTTCTCGACGCCCGTGTGCGTGACCAAGGCGTCGTGGAAGTTCCGGGCCTTCTTCCGCGGGAAGGCGGCGCACGCGGCGGCGGCGCCGTGGGAGGGGCGCAACGCGTGCGACGCCATCGTGGGGGCGTACGAAGGGATCGCGCGGCTGCGGCAGCACCTGGACCGGCGGGCGGCGGAGAGCGTGCAGGGGGTGATTCTGTCGGCGGGGGAGGCGCCCAACGTGGTGCCCGAGTTCGCCGAGGGGACGTTCAGCATCCGGGCGCGCGACGCGGGCGGGCTGCGGGCGCTGCGGGAGCGCGTGGTGCCCGTGTTTGAGGGCGCGGCGGCGGCGGCGGGCTGCGCGGTCGAGCTGCGGTGGGACGCGCTGTACGAGGACGTCGTGACCAACGAGGCGCTGGCGGGCAGGTACCGCGAGCACATGGTGCGGCGGCTGGGCATGGCGCCCGCGGACATGGTGCCGGTCGACGAGGCGAGGGGCCGGTACGAGCAGGATGGCAGTTCGGACATGGGCAACGTCACGTACCTGTGTCCCGGCATCCAGCCCATGTTCCGCATCGACGCGGGCGGCCCGCCGCACACGCCTGCGTTCCGGGAGGCGGCGGGCACCGAGTTTGCGCACGGCGAGGCGCTGCGGGCAGGCAAGGCGAATGCGCTGGTCGGGTTCGAGGTCGTGAGCGATGGCGACTTTTATAGCGTGGTGCGCGACGAGTGGGAGGCGGCCATGGAGCGCGCGGGTAGGAGGTAGGTAGACAGACGGCCAGTGGGGTGCGGGTGCATGTAGGTACCTGGCTACTTGGCGGCGCTGATGGGGGCGCTGCACAAAGAGGCGGAAAGCGTGTGTGTGTTCTCTATCCGTAACTGGGCTCGGAAGAGAGGCAGGCATAGCAGGCATAGCTACACAATACTGCTAATGCCAAGGCGCTAGTGCACGGTCCGTGGGCCGGCTGCCATGATGATAAAACCGACCGCGTTTCCTCCACACTCTCTCTCCCCCCACTTGTCGTCGCCAGTGACGCCCGCCATGTCCGACGCGAATTTCCAGCGGTCAGTGCCACAAGCCCCGTCTCGAAAAACACGTCGCTGACAGCGGGGCCTTGTCCAGCTCTCTTGCCGCGTGCTTGAGGTGTCGCCGGTTGAAGTGCGTCCATCCAGCCTACTTCCGGGTCGGAGGATTGTGGCTGACCGCTAGGAACCAGAGTCAAATGTGCGGGGCCGGCCAGCATCCCGTGTCCGCGGTTCGTTGTAGATCGTCGTTGCTGGGCCAGCAGTTGGCTGACATGATTGGCACCAAGGTGCAAGAGTAATGGAGCAGACTGTCAGTTTGTGCAGCCGCGAGCCATCACCCGGCCCGCCACCGGCGCTCCCGATGCGCCGCTCCAACACCAGGACAGGAGTGATGATAATGATGATGACCACGACCGGTGCAGATCGGAGCGTCTGGATAGGCTTGAAGGTCAGCTTGCCCGCCTCACCGACGTTGTAGAGGGCATGCGAGGCGATCTCACGGCCGGCTTGACCGCGGCTCGCCCCACTGATCGCCCAAACACCAATCTCAATCCACCCGTCGCCCACGGCAATCTTGTTACTAGAGGAGTCATCACTGAAGAGGAATGCGTCCGGTCGTTTGAGACGTCAGCCTGCCTCGCTTCCCACACATGGGTGACCGCTGTTTCTGACCGCGACGTGGTTGCAGGTTCCTTTCCCAGTGCGAAGATACCATAGCCATCTTCGATGGCATTCCCCACAATCTGGATGCCGTCCGCCAGGAGCCCATCCTTCTGGCCGTCGTGTGCGCCGTTGGAGCCCGCGCATTGGATCCCGACTCGGACATGCATCAGAAATGTCTTGCTGAAACAAAATCCCTGACGTCGGCGATCGCATTCGGCCCGCCGCCTACCCTGTTTGCACTGAGGGGCATCATGCTGTTGTGCGCATGGTATCATCACGAGCGCCTGTGGGGTACCGTCATCACCACCGCCTACGGAATGGGCCTGCACCAAGACGCGCTGCGCCTGTCCAAGGAAGCAGAGACGATGAATCAGGATCAGATCGAGAGGGCCAGGACCTGGCTGTCCATTCTGACCTATGAGCTCATGTAACGTGCCCATTATTTTGGTCGGATTTGTTAGCATCTCTTCTGATGTCCAGCTCAGGGCCAATACAAGCCGTCCGTACCTGATCGGGGACAGTCAACGCTACATGGAGCTAGCCCAGGGCCTTGTCCAGTCGCACCATAGTAGACCCGTCGATCAACGCCTCATGGCGTACCTCGAGCTGTTCAAGATCGTAGGTAAGCAAGCTCCGATATCAACCACTCGGAAAGCAGCTGACACGCGGGCGGGCAGTCAAGTGCAAGAACAATGTGCTCGCCGACTTGTCGCCTGGCCAGCAGCAGCTCGATCTCATATCGCTCAACAGCTCGCTGGAATTCTGGTTCTACCGGGTGTTCAACGACTTGATCGACCCCCATTACCAGACCTTTTCGAAACCGCAGGACCGCAATAGGCTGGTGATACCTTATACATTTGCTCGAATGTGCGTCTGCGATCGTGAGACGATGGGTTGCTGACGAGTGCACAGGTGGGCCAACGGCCGTGTAGTCGATGCCGGCATTTTGACCGACGAGATAATCGGCACTCCCGGGCACTACTTGGTAGAAGCGGTCAACAATGCCGTCGAGTCCGCCTTTCTCTTGCTGGACACTGCATTCGATTCCCAGGCTCTGGCTCGCAGCCTGCGCTACACCATAGTAAGAGGGACATGTGCTTGGGCACGCATGCTGCTACTAACAAAAAGTGTCCAGGATTACTCGAGCATGACGCTGACTGCCGCGCTTTCGTTCCTGAGTCGGGTCGTGGCGTTGCGGCAAGCCACTGGATTCGCAGTTGACGTGCAACGCGTCGTCCGAGCTCTGGAAAGAGCGAGGGACGTGTTTGAGAAGGCGCGTGCGTTTTCTCACGCAGAGTGGACGCGGGGTCTGATTGGCGAGTGCATCTCGGCGTCTTAATGCTGCTAAGATATGGGTAGTTTCGTGGCGCCGGGTACCTACGCGTACAAGGTCGAATGCCAATTAAGCAACACGAGGTGCGATTCGGACATGATGGGTGCAGATTGCTCTTTTTCCCGTGTCACCGTCGAGTAGGTATGTTTTTGCTTTGGATCGCTTCCGACACGCAGCATGCAACACAGGCCGATGGTCGCGACAGGGGACAGTGCTTTCCAGATAGGCGACGATCGGAGGAGGTTCCGGCATACCGCGGTCCCGCGGTCAATTCTTCGTGGATCGGAAATTGAGTGGCGGCTAGGTGCGGGCGATGCTGGATCGGGAGAGCAGGAGATGGTGGAGGTTTCCCGGACCCACCGGTCGGCTTCTCTCATGGGAGGGCCTGCCACGTGAAATGGGGATGTGTGCGAGGCGGCGCCGCAAAGGAGGCCGGTCCCAGGGATTGTCGGGGGGACATGACTAAAAACCAATAAGTGGTCTTGCTAGATGTAGATTAACTCAGGGCGCAATCTGCATCTCGACAGGCGCTAGAAGCTTATCGGGCGCTGGCCCATGCCCCCCTTGGGACGAGTGTGGCCGCGGGGAAGCGGGAGGCCGAGCTGCGCGATCCTTTTCTCCTGGCCCGTTGCTTTTCGCATTGAAAAACATGTGCACTCCTTCTTCCTCTTCCTCTTCTTTCTCACTTTTCTGGTCGAATTAGAGCGCGCGCGCGAGAGAGAGGACAATCTCCACGGTCGCCGGAAACCAGCAGCAAAAAAACCAGGCAAGAGCATCGGCCGCATCTTCCTTCCCCCTTCGTCGACCGCACCGCACGAGCTCCTCCCAAGGCCACCAGCGCCCGGTGCAGCAGCAGCAACAACAACAGCAATGACTTCCCTCTTCTCCTGCTTCGGCCCGCGCAAGCCCGCGACGCCGGCCGTCGACGAGAACGGCAACGAAATCTCTCCCAACGAAAAGCCCGGGTCCTCGCACACCACTCCCAGCGCCCCCGCGGCGCCGCAACGGCCGGCATGGGAAGCGCTCCTGCCCAAGCCGGCGGCGGACGCGGCGCTCGGCGCGGCCATCTCGTCCGTGTTTGACAGCATCGACGCGTACGTCGAAAAATACTACCGCGACAAGACGTCCGAGGACCTGGACGCCACGCACGAGGCCTGCCTGATGCTGGTCGGCACGCCGCACCTGCCGTCGTCGCTCATCGACCTGCTGCAGAGCAACCGCCCCAACCCGCTCGTGTGCCGCCCGACGGCGCTGATCAAGCACAGCATCGCCTACATGGTCCAGCAGGCCATGACCATGGACGAGGGCGGCCGCAACTCGCTGCTGCCGCCGTGGATGACGAGCCTGCCGCAGGCCCTCAAGGGCGCCGAGCACGACGACGAGGCCGGTGAGTGAAAAGCTGACATCCCTTCTTCTTCTCCCCCACGGGCGTCCTCCGCTAAACAAACACTCGACACTCCCAGCCTTCTCCGAAGCCTTCGCCCACTGGCGCGTCCTCACCGCGCACCTGCAGCCCCCCAACGCGACGACGACGAACCCGCTGGCCAAGCAGTCGCGCACGCAGGCCACGCGCGCCATCGCCGACCGCATCACGGGCGCCTTCTCCCCCTGGGAATCCTTCCCCGGCAGCCCCGAGCAGCGCGCCGACCTCGTCGCCATCTGCGACGAGGCCGCCGCCGCGGGCGCCCTCGTCTTCGCCCAGCCCGCCGCCTTCGCCTTCGTCTGGACCCCGCAGAATTTGGGTTTGGATGAGGAGCCGCGCAAGGTGGCGGTGGTGAAGCCGGGCGTCGTCAAGACGTGTGTGGGTGGGGATGGCGCGATGGAGAGGAAGGGCGAGGAGGTGGTGGTGGTGCATGCGAGGCACGTTCCTTTGACGTTTCCGGAGGGGTTTGTGGCGCAGTGAGGTGGGTGGTGGTGAGTGAGTGAGTGAGTGGGTGAGTGTTGATGTTTTGATGTTTTGATTGGAGAGGAGGGATAATGGATGGATATGATTGGAGTTTACGGTTTTGAATTTTTCCTTTTCTTTTCCGGGACTATTATCTTTTTCCTGCGATAAGAGGGGGGGTTTCATGGCTTCTCTTGCTTGCCCCGACCCCCTTGGAAATTTGAGATACCATTGGGAAACTTTTTTTTCTTTTCTTTCTTCATGTTTTCCCTTTCTTTTCCCGCGTCGGCATGTTTTGGGATGATGTCGTGTCGCTGTCATTGTATATGCATGTATAAAATCAAGAACCGTCAAAATATGAAAAGGCATGTATTTACCACGTTCCAGCATTCGTCTCTTTGTCAGCTGAAGGATTTCTCGTCATGGCCTCTGCGGATCTCGGTGCTGTCTTCTCGACGAGCTTCCACGTTGCCGGTGCGGAAAACGCAAATCAGCCCGACATCCACCTCCACTGCGGACCAGATGCCACAATTACAAGACACCCGGGTTCTGTCCGTTTCATGCAAGATGGTCGAAACGCGAACGGTACGAATGACACTGGCGACGATGGTGATCGGTGTCGATGCACCTGGCGCCCGCCGCCCCCGCCGCCCACCCGCACCGTCTTGTCGTCGTCGTAGCCGCCGGCACGCACCGGCCGGCACTGCACTTGCGTCCATCGAGACCGTCCCACCTCGAGCGGGACGGGACGGTACGGTGAAGACGAACGACGAGCGAACGAAGCACACCGTACGGCCGCGCCACGCACAGCAGCGCGCGGTTTCCCAGCGGTCGTCGGTCGCCGAACACGCGGTCGCCGGTAGAATCAGATGCAGGCGCTGACTCGATTTGGTTTGGTGGGGCAGGCAGGCAGAGCGCGAGGTTGTATGTACGTACGTACAAGATCAGCGTCCGGTATACAGGCTAGCTGATATGCGGGCTCGGTTTGAGGTCCGGCTTTGGCCTTTGGGACGGCGGCGATGTGCTGGTCTGTGGCCTGTGTTGTAGTGGGTTTGTAGGTATCATGTCGTGGTGGTCAGAGCGAGCGATCGAGCGAGGTCAGCCGGGATAGGCAGAGCGTGGTGCATGGGTGTCGTCGTGGCCGGCCCCAGGCTTGCGGGCTGAGCCGTGACTTGCAGGACAGGATGCGGGCAACTGCGAAGATCGTGGCCAGGATCTGGGGGATGATGTTTGCCGACGAGGATGAGAGAGGCTCTGGACTCGGTGGGCGGGGTGGGGTTGGGTGATGGATGTTCTTCTACGAGGGACATGACGAGCCGAGGTGGCCAGTCATTGACGGTTGCCGTTTTTCGGCTTGCATCGATGTTTGCTGTGTGGATGGCCGAGAGGAAAAGGGTTTCGCGGGATCGGGTTGGCCAAGAAAGGCGATGTCAAGTTAAAGATGGAGGACAAAGGCATATGTCTGATTGCGCAGGTTCATAGCCTGAGGATCAGCATCAATGCTGCTGGAAATGGTTATACTGTGCCCACTTGAACTGTTGCACTTGGGGTTTGGAAACCGCATGCAGCTCGGGCTGTGGAGAAGTTGTGTTACCAAGTAAGACTCTCCAACCAAGCTAGCGAAAATAGCCCGGACAAGGGATCGTTCCGGAGGGAAGTAGCTGGGAGGGAGAAAGATGATTACGAGAAATCGAAGAGTTTTTCCGCATGTTGTTTCTTTCCTTTGTCCAGCGAAAAGGTGGTCTACTCCGCCCGTCTACAAGCCTCACGGGAGGCGGCTAACTCTAGCATATAAGTAGACGTGAACACAATCATCATCCTCCAAAGGGCCTACGGTATGAGTCTTTGAGTACATGCTATAGGTAGACTTAGCCTAATTTGGTCTTCTGTTCTGGGTATGTTCCATGTGCGGCTATCACAACGACTCCTTCGAGGAGCTGAGGTTGACCGACTACCCCGGTACTACCTCCAGTCAGACCGAGAAGGGTCAAGAAACGACCCTTATACTTAAGCTTACCAGACTGGCTCTAAGTAATTAGTTAGATCTCCCGTAACTTAGATATAGACGATCTACTAAATCGTATCGAAATCTCCTTTAGGGCCTAATACTATCATGGGGCCGTTATCGACGCCAAACATGTCTAACCTGCGCCATCTAAGATTATCCTACTATAAAGAGCCGTTCGTGCTTATAATAACGCTCGCAAACCACCGCGCCGTATTATAGTATAGCTATCTATGCCTTATTAGAAAACCGTTAGTGATAGGAATATCAGCAAGGTGGCGTACGCGGTGGTAGTCTATACAACACAAGGTTAGTATGTGCCGAATGTGCTCACATTGCGGAAACTAGGCGAGACAGGGCTTCGTTCTTCTCGCCTGAGTTGCCATCTGCTCGTTCTGCGGCACGGCTGCCGGCATGATCCGAATTCCGAAATTTTGCTTGTCTCAGTTCCTGCTGACCCTTGCTGTCTGCTGTTTCGCGTCGCATTTACGGCTCGAAGGGGGAAGGCTTTATAAGACTCGCCGGCCTTCACCAGCAGGTTGCTGGCCTTCTTTCTCATGTACCCACCGGACCCCTTGACCGGTCGCGCAAGTGTTCAAGCGCGATTTTCGACAAGTCTCAGCCCTTGGACGGGATGATGGTTCGCGAGGCCGCCCGGCAGTCCGTGGCGGCGTGCCTTGGGGTCGCCCTTGTAATAATATCGCACCGCCCCTATTCGCCGCCGCCTGCTGCTGCCCGCCTTGCTTATCATAATCAACCACGACACCACCCTCACGATACGCCCAGATCTGATCCTGCTACAGTAAGCGCGCGATCTACCTAGACAATTGTCGGGTGATTGACCTGGGTTTGGAAGACTTGGTCCTCGTCAAGAGTAATGTTTATCTCACAAGTTAGACGCAATGCTGATTCGGCGCGTAACAGTGCCAAAGGGTAGTTAAACTACTACCCACACCTTAGTATTTATGTTTAAGAATATAATTGTATAAGAGTAAAGAATACATCGAGGTGCTGTGGTCTGACCCCTGAGATAAAGCAAGTGAAGTTTCGAGATGAAGCGTGGTCAGGCCAAGGAGATGTGTGGGGATTTGGAGCAGCGGGGGATCAGCTTGGGGGTGGTAGGGTCTCACTCGACACAAGGTGTTTAGGTTTTCTTCAAACCCTCGTGTTAGGCTTTTCGCTTGGCTTTGACTTGGCAGCATCGCCGGGTCTGCAACAGGCGCGATCCACTGACGATCCTCAGCCGCCAAGCTCCGCCGAACAAGCCCACCACCTCTCCCTTGCACCATCACCTCCATCGCGCTGCATCGGTCAACGACTCGGCCTGGTGCCCCCTGAGTGCGCGGCCCCCACAGCCGCGTCGCACACGTCTGACGCGACGATTGGTGCGGGTGCCCGACCCTGCCCAAGGGCTTACCACGTGTCTATAACTGGACATGCAATGGGCCGGATTAGTGACGGGTAGATCAATGCTTACGCCTCCACCCCAGCCTGCAGGTCCAGCGTCAGTCGGCGTCATCTTCGCCACCGCTCCGTCTTAGGCCCCCGATGGACACGCTTGCGACCCCAATCCAGCCATGCCCCCCGGCAATCATCCATCCGTTTTTGCTCGCCCTCTGCACGCCGTTTGCTGATCGCCTACACTCGGTGCGGCCCGCAATCCCCGCGTCTGTCGCCTCTGTTCGTCTGTTCGTCTGTTCTCCCGCCCTCCCCACCACCACCGCCTTGCAACCCTCTCGGAATCTGCCTTGCGCCCAGCCTCTGTGTAGCCCGACAGTCCTGACTCAGCTTCGTATCACTCTGAGCCTGAAGTTTCTCCACGATGCAGTCGCAAGGAACCCCTGCAAACAATCTGGATACGAAGACGGTCGAGTCCCTCATCGTCTCCGTTGAGTCGTCGCCAGACATGCGCTGGGCTCCGGGGCAGAATGGCGGCGGAGCACTTGCCACCGTGCCAATTCCAGGCTGAAATCACACACCTGAAGCGGTGTGACAATCCCATGCCGTTCTTGTTCGAGGGGTTTTTGGATCAATGGGACGTCGATCGCACAGCAGGAACGTGGCGCATGTGGTGAAAAGTCTGGTCGTAAGATTGCGCCGTCCGTGGCATGACGAGGTAAATAATAAAGCGAGCCTGCTCCGCCCCATCCCTCATACGCGTCCTGCTTCAAACGTCATGGACTGAGGACCGAGCTACAGGCAGCTGTCACGTCATCGCTAACCCTGTCGAGTCCCCGCTTCTTCACTCATATCCTTATCGCCCCTGTCCGAGTCCAGATCCGCCGGGCTCCGAAACCTTGGACCGGCCGCGAACACTCGCTGCGTGCGGCAGCCACAAATTCAAGACGCCGCGAATCAGTCACCCTGCTTGCCCGCTGATGCCCCTGCACGCTGACGCTGCTGGAATCCTTAACATTCTCCCGCTCTCCATTCCCTTTGTCCCCCCGTCCTCCTCGCCACGAGCATGGTCACTGTTTTCCCTTGGACAACACCGAAACAGCAACCCACCATGTCACCCTCAATCCAACCCGTGTGGGCCCGGAGCCGGCGATCCTTTTTCTTTTATCTTACCTGCGCCTTCGTCCTTGTCGCCGTCCTGTTCGCCTTCTCCGGCACCTTTCCTCGGCGCTTAGCTGAACCCGAGAGCCACCCAAAACCCGCATCATCCAAGCCATACTGGAACCAAGGGACCACGACATGGCGATTCGACCCCGCCCGCGACGCCAGAAATCTCGGCCTGTCCGACGAACAATGTGACATTGCTTTCCCGGACCTCTACACTGAAGTCTACCGTGCCCGTGACCATCTCGGCCTGAATTCCGTCAAGCAGATCCAGGTCCAAATCTACTCGGAGCGGAAACCCTGGGCCCATGCCCAGATCCATGTCCTCATCCACTCGGGACAGGTGCGTCAAAGTCGAGCCAGCGCGCCAGTCGTTTTTCACTCTGACCATACCGCAGTTGTACATTGTCGACGAAATGAAAGGCGCATCCAACCGCGCCCGCGCTCTCGCCGGCCTCGCCAACCTCTACCGCGCCATCACCGCCCTCGACGACCCCAGCACCATTCCAAACGTCGAGTTCATCCTCGACCTCGAGGACACGCCGACCCTCGACGCACCCAAGGACCGCATCGTCTGGGGCTGGAACCGGCCAAAGTCTAATCTCAACACCTGGGTCGCTCCCGACTTTGACGGCTGGGCCGTAAGTCTTGCCGCACCACTGATAATCCACCCAACCCCACCGCTAATCAACCCTAACCCGTCCAGTTCCCCAACCCGGATCTCGGCTCCTACATCTCCTTCCGCGACCGCATCCAATACACCGAGCAGCCCTTCGTCACCAAGATCCCCAAAGCCGTCTGGCGCGGCGCCAACAACAACCAAGTCCGCGAAGCCCTCCTCTCCGTCGTCGAAGCCTCCGAGGCCCACCAATCCAGCTCCCTCTCCTCCTCCACCTCCGCCCAATCCACCGGCAGCGGCAGCAGCAGCAGCACGCTCGACGAATCCTGGGCCGACGTCCGCAAGATGAGCGAGCACCGCATGCACATGGCCGAGTTCTGCAAGTACATGTTCCCGATCCACACCGAGGGCGTCGCCTGGAGCGGGCGGCTGCGCTACCTGCAAAACTGCGAGTCCGTCCCCATCATCCACCAGCCGCTGCAGCACCAGGCCCACTACTACGACCTGCTCGCCGCCGACGGGCCGCACCAGAACTACATCGCCGTCCGCAACGACTTTGCCGACCTCGAGGAGAAGGTCAAGTTCTATCTCGACCGCCCGGAGCTCGCGGCGCGCATCGCGCGGAATTCCGTCGCCACGTTTCGGGATCGCTACCTCACGCCTGCGGCCGAGGCGTGCTATTGGCGGCGGATGATCAGGAGCTGGAGCGAGGTGCAGGCGTGGGAGCCCGAGAAGTATGTCGACGTCATGCAGCACGACGGCAGCGTGTGGAAGAAGCAGCGCGGCGTCGATTGGGAGATTTTCGCCGCCACCGACCCGCATTATGTTTTGGATTTTCCGGGATATGGGAATGGGGAGGGGAAAGAGGGGAAGGAGGAATGAGGAATGAGGGGAAAAAATGGTTCGTCATCTCGTAGGGGTTTTTTTTTTTGGTTTTTTTCTTGGCTGGTTTCGACCGTGTTGTTGTTGTTGTTGTTGTTGTTGAATGTTTGTTTAGCTCTGTGGAATGAATGGGGTGTTGTCGTTCTTGGCGTTTGGGAATGGTTGGCTTTTTGGGGCTCAACACGGAATGTGGAGATGCTACAGGGCCGTTTGCGGATTAGACGAGAGATGCATCACATGGGAGTATTATCTAGATTTTTTCTTCTTCTTCTTGCAATGTTTAATTGATATGTATCTTACGAACTTTGTTTTCTTTATGCATGCTTGTAGAAACAGCTGTTTGACTTCGACAGCGCAACGGTCGATCGACGAAAGGAGCATTGATTTCGAAGGAGTTTAGTGAGTAAATGCAAAGGTGTTACGTAGATAGCAGACGAGTCAATCCATTAGATTTAAGAAGAGACTAAATTTTCGTCCATCTTGTGTCCGTATCCCATCGGGACCATGTCGTTGTTATCTTCTACAAACTTTACGGTGAGTTTGGTACTTGTTCTAGTACTTCTGCCCAAAAGGCTATTGGAATTGGATGTAGTCTATAATTTATCTTGAACGACTCGAGTGAGAGTCATGTCGTATCCGACTACCTAACCGAACCCGAGATGACAACATCCAACTTAAAATCAACATCCCACCGGCAAATGGCCTTGTGCATACAAGTCTATAAATCACACCCCATTGCCTTCTTATACGTATCCTCTCAAGCCGTTTCGAAGAAAGAAAGAAAATACAAACCGAAAGGGAAAAAAGAAACGCCTCAGGTCCCGCCAATTTCGCCCATATCTCGCACAAAACCTTAAACAAATAGTCCCCGAGTCCGAGCCCAACCACAGACTCACATCCGACATGTTCGCCCCACTATATACGTCTTGCTTCACGACAAACAAGCCCGCCAATGCAACCGGTCATCGCCCCATCCTCGTCCGCTAGCCACCATGGGCAGCGGTCTGCCTCCACCGCTCCTCCTTTCCTGACCACTTTTCACATCGGCGCCCGCTCTGCACCATTGCGGCGACGTGATTGTATGTCGCCAAACTGCCCGTTACGAACCCCAGAACACTGTTTTGAATTCAATGGATTGATAGAGTACTCGAGGCGTGACCATCATGAATAAAGTGAACTACTATGTATATACGTGGCACTCTCGACACGTACGCGCTAACCCCCTTTTGAATTAACCCAGGCCGCATGGCCCAATAATTACCGTTGCTGTCGACTTATGAGTAGGTAGGGAGGTATCCCGCACGGACAAAAGCACCTAAAAGCCAGCAGAGCTAGCACGAGTCAGCTAGACGTTGGGCCGCAAGGCAAGCTACAAGGAAGTTTTGGCAAAACTCGGCAGAAACAGGAGCAAGAAGTTGGTGGTGAAGGTAAGAAATTTGGTGTACTGTGTCTATAGTACTGAAAACATCTACTTCTCTGCTGCGAAAAAGAGGAAAGAGCAATCAAACGTTCATCCACTGCCGTTTTCCACCTCTGCGCCTTTCCAGCGACCCGATCGCATGCTTTGCAGCTCTACGCCATCATCCCGAGATGCTTGCGTGGTGTCGTGTGGCTCTTGATGCGGCAATAGGCGCTGCGTCAAGGCCGGATCCATGGGAATTTCGACAGGTCTAAACACGTCGACTGTGGCCCGCGTCAAGCAATTAGCAAAACGTCTCAGTGGTTAACAAATCCCACATCTCGTCGACATAGTACCGTAGTACGCTACCACGCCAGAAAGCGCCGGCTGGCAAAGCAAGCACAATGGCAAGAGCTGGCCAACACCCCCAGCGTCCCGCCCCGGTAGTGGTGGGATCGCACAGTCCGTTTCCGTATCGCTCTGGGGTATCGAGCGTCTTCTGCAAAGTGACAAATACGAATGACGCGATGAAGGAAAATAGCTTTTGGAAGAATGCCGTGCGGGTGGATCCGAGCAGCAGGGACCAGAAAAGCCCCTTGACACGTTTCTCCGTTGTCCGGTGTAGGCGATGTTTCTGCCCTCCGTGCATGTCCGAGCGATGGTGTGCTGAGTGGAGCCAGTAGGCTGGCAGCCAGCGGCGTTTGGAATGCCACATGCTGCTGATTTGCCGCCTCACTGTCTGCTTGAGGCCTTCGGAGATGTTGATGATGGCGATCCAGAAGGGGTAGAGGAGAAGGAGAGCTGCGAGCACGTCCAGGCACCAGGAGTGCGGGGTAGCCGGTACCCAGCTTGTAATCGTTGCCGTCCCCTTCTTGACGACGATGTAGGCTACGGCGGAGAAGCCGGGAGGCCATGATATCATCAAGGAGACCGCCAGGCGGAGGGCAAACACGACGACGAGCTTGAGGCGGATTCGAGCCGGAACAGATTTTGATCTGAAACAGCTCTTGAGGGTCACCACGCTCGCCAGATGTGCGCTGCTGGATAGACAGCTCAGGTAGATTATTAGGTGGAAATGGCTTTCAGAAAGGCGGTCGACATGTTCCCATTCGCGGCTAAACATGTCCTTGTTTGATGCTCGGATGTCAGCCGCTGACGATTGAAACGACGCCCGTGAGGAGTCGTTGGTCGGCCAAAGCAAGCTTTATTTGATCCAGAGCTTTACGGTACAATTCCTTCTGACTTCGCAGCTTGGTCGGTAGGACGCCGTCGGAGGATGAGGCTCCATCCAGTATTGCCGCACGCACTGAGAGGATCACTGCAAAGGACGCTGTTGCCACAGAGACCGAAACAACCTGTTCCTCTATCAGAAGACGATTCCGACAAAAACAGTTGGAGAAACCTACACCGATACCAGCAATATCATTGTCGGTATTTCCCGAGCAATAGATGGAAGGATCCTGGAGGAAGATCAAGAGCCCCACTGCTTTCTAAAAGGTAGGCTTACTAGAGTTCAACATTAAAACAACAGTAGGTCTTCACGCTTCAACTCAACACCACCACCTTGGTATCCAAAACCCCCATGCCCAAATATAGGTAGGTATCCGAGCACTTTCCCTTTCCCTCCCGCTCGCTCCAACCAACCAACCAACCACCACCCTTGCCCCCCGCAAAAAAAGACCTCCCCCCCTGTCTCTCACCTCAACAACCCACACATACACTGACAATCCGGCACCGGACACGTCTTGTGCTTGGCGAACCAGTCGCGCGCGTGGTGCCCGTGGAAGCCGTGCGCGCACGTCATGCAAAACACCATCTGGCGCGCCTCCGGGTCCTCCGTCTTGAGGCTCTCGGCGCCGCCCGCCGTGGCCGGGTCCGGGCTGCCGAGCCACATCATGCAGATGCCGCAGCGGGGCATGCGGCGGCCGCAGCGGGGGCAGACGAGGCCGGAGTTGTGGCTGGGGGTGTTGTTGGCGGTGGTGTTGGCGTTGGGTGTTTTGGATGCGGGTTTGGCGGGTTTGCCTGCGGCGGCGGCGGCGGCGGCGGCGGCGGCGATGCCGCTGGTTGTTGAGGGGGGGATGGTGGTGGGAGTGGTGGTGGTGGTGGTGGAGGTGGCGGGGCCGGTGGGGTTTGGTTGTTGCTGGTCTGAGGAGAGGGGGACGAGCTGGCCGCCGCGGCGGGCGAGGGCGAGCTGGCAGTGCATGCAGCGGATGGTGATTTGGCGGGGGAAGGGTTTGTTGAGGCAGACGCCGTCGCGGGTGGTGGCGACCCGGTTGTGGGAGACGATGAAGCGGGTGCGCTCGATGAAGCAGCGCCACGTCTGCAGCTGCATGAAGTACGTCTCCTTCCAGTACTCCCAGCGCGGGTCGCTCACGTATAGCGGGTTCGTGCGCGCCATGACGAGCACTGCCGTCTGCACGTCGCCGAACTTGGCGATGTTGTGCTCGAAGAGATCCATGGCCCGCTCGCCGAGCCCGGTGAAGACGATGCCCTCGATGTCGCCGTAGACGCGCGCCCCGTGCGAGACGAGCTTGATGAACTGCGTCAGCTGGTCGTCGTCTAGGTATTTCAACGCCACGCCGACCCGGTCCACCAGCGAGAGCTCTTCGATCTTGGCCACCGCCTCCCAGTCGGCCGTGATGAAGTATTGGAGAAGCGCCTTGAGATAGGCATCATCCGTCTCTTCAGCCATCCACTCGCACAGCTCGCGCTGGTCTTTGTTCACGGTGTCACACGCGATGACGGCGCCCAGCCCGATGTTCTGGAGCAATCGCTGACGGACGAGTTGCTTGAGGAAATCGAGCGCAATGTCCTTGTGCCCCTTGAACACTGCAAGCACGATGGCTTTGTAGTACTGCCCCTGCTCGATCAGAGCCTTGCAGTTTTCTCGTATCCTCTGCGCCGAAAACGTCCATCCGCAGATGGCCAAGCAAAGCTGACGATGCTCTGGCCGTTGCGTCTTGACCCCTTGGAACGGCGGATACTCCTTTTCTTGCACGATCTCGCGGATCACGGTGCGGAAGTCGGGCGCCGAGACTGACGGTCGGCCAATGAGTCGATACCCGTTCTGTTTGCCTCCGAGGCTGTTTTCCCAAATGTAGGCGACACCGAGATAGCTCAAGTCGACTCCTTCGGCAACCATGCCGTCATCCTTGGCCAGATCATCGAGACGCTGCACGAGCTCCCATAGACCCACGAGCCATTGGTCATTGGCGAGAATCTGCTTGTTTTTCTTACAGTCCAGACAGTAACCCTCTTTTGCACGTCTCTTTGCGATCCCAAACGACTTCAACATGTCAGCGATGCCCAGAGACACGCCGGGGTACCCTAGAGTCAAAAGTTCCTCGTGGCGCTCACGGCTTGTCGTTACTTTTGCCCGATCGGGAGCCTTGTGGGCAAAGTTTTCCATGCTGAGTTTGTCGAACCGGGCGAAAGCGCCGACGGTATTGGCCTTGAAAGCGCCCTGCGACGGTCTTCTGTCGTCGTCGGTGATGCGGGTTTGTAGCCTGAGGAGATCTTCGGAAATGGGCCCATCCGGTGGCGAAGGCTCCGCAACGGCCATTTGGTTGCAGTAGATTTCATCCAACGCGGTGAAACGGACGGACGGGGATTGGGTGGGGATCTTGGTGACCTTGACTTCACGGTTGTACTGAAGGTTGATGGTGCTGTGTGTGCCGATGGGGGATCCTTCGGGCATGAAATCAAAGGCCATGGTCCGAGTGGACTCGTCCTGGCCATGGACGGCATCATACCATGGGTGGTGGAGAGTGTGGCTGTATTTGGTGAAGTGTTGGTATCGAGATGCGTTTCCCGACGAGCCTGGCACTTGGTCCTTGGACTCGAACTGGGCCACCTCGACAACCTTGAGTTCGCCAGTGTTCGAGATGGCACCAAAACACCCGCGTTTGGTGCCGGAGAAGCGAAGGCCCCAGACCGCTGCACCGTGGGTGTTGTCGACAGCAGGCCTCAGTTCGAGCACAGCACCAGCAGGAGCCTCTGTCGAGGGAGTGGCAGGGCCTGGCCGCGAAGCAAAGCGGCGATCCCACACACTGACGGTCGGATCTCCAGTAGGGCCGGCGGAGATGATGTAGTTTTCGTCCAAAGGATCAATGGCCAGATTGTGCACCTGGCGAGTCCCATATTGGGCTGCACTGACAGGTGCCGAGTCTGCGGCAGCGGCGTCAATCGACGGCGCAGGTGAAAGGGTGAGGTAAGTAAAGACATACCACGAAGGTCGTAGATGCGGATGCATTGACGCGACACACCGGCAACAAGGGTCTGGGGATGACCGGGGAAGAACTTGATGCTTGTGATGGCTTCGGAGCTGGCAAGCTTCTTGTAAGGCTCCTGCTGGGCGGTGTAGGAGCCGGCATTGAGGTCATATATGTTCATGCAAAAGTCATTGCGGACCCTGTCGAGACCGGTGGCCAGCAGGTTGCTGGTGCTGAAGGCGATGGAGTTGCACTTGCGCTGGTGCTTGATGGGGAAGGAATGAGTGAAGACGGAATCGGGGCGGCCGGCATCGAGCTCCAGCAGACTGGCCTCGCCCGAGGCGGAGCCCACGGCGACAAAGTGCTCGTGGGTTCTGGACCAATCGAAGGCGGTGAAGTTGGGCAACTTGTCGCGAACAGCCAGCTGCTTCCAGCGGACCGTGTTTTTGTCGACATTGTCGACTTCACACAGGCGAAGCCGGTTGCCGACGACATCTACGATGATGAAATGCGGCGACTGCTGGTGGGCGTGAGGCGACCAGCGGATGGCGGCTTCCATCGTATCTCAGACGGAGAGCCTAGAACGAGCGCGGGAAGGCTGCGACGTGAGGACGGAGGCCAGAAGCGGGAGGGCTGGCCATGTCACGGGCGGAAGCGAGCTGCAGGCCGAGGCGGCATTGCTCTGGGGTGAGTGGGTGAGTGGGAAGGTGGTGACAGGTGTGGCTGACAGGCCCAAGCTTTCCCAAGTTGGCCTGAGGCAAGCATCGGCCGAGGAAGCGCCGCCAGCCTGCGTCAATCCAAAGAATTTCCCCGTTGCATCTGCCCGCAACAACAACAATAATGCCCGGCCTGAAGCGCTCCCGCGCACAAGTCGACGCTGCTGACACTTTCGCTCGCTCTTCCGCCTCCACCGCCCGCTCCAGCGCCATGGACCACGCCAAACGCAAGGCCGACGGCAATGCGCCGCACGCGAAGAAGCAGAAGACCGTCGCCAAACCGCCGTCGACCAAAAAATACCAGCCCAAGAAATACTCGCTCAACCCGCTCAAGGCTCGCATCCGCGACTTGCGCCGCCAGCTGTCTCGCAATGCCGACGACATGCCCGCCAATGTCCGTGTCGACAAGGAGCGCGAGCTGCAGGCCTGCGAACACGAGCTGTCGGTCGCCGAGGCTGAGCGTATCAAGCAAGAAATGATCCCGCGCTACCACAAGATTCGCTTTTTCGGTATGGTTCTCAGCCTTGGTTGTATCTGCCATGTACTAACAGCTTGAACAGAACGTCAAAAAGCCACGCGCTTTCTCAAGAAGGTGGTCAAGCAGCTGAACGACGACTCCACCCCCGAAAAGCACGCCGAGCTCGAGCGCGAGAAGCACGTCTGCGAAGTCGACCTCAACTATACCCTCTATTATCCGTTGATTCGCCCCTACGTCTCCCTTTACGCCACCTCGAAGAACAAAGACGAGGCGAACGGCTCCTCGACAACGACCCGCATAGGAGGCGACAAGGAAATGTGGGAGCTCGTGGAGAAGAAGACACAGGATGGCACGCTGGAAAACTTACGGAACGGTCTCGAGTGGAGGGAAAGAGCTCCCGAGGATGCATCTTCGGCCAAGCCCGTGGTTGCTCCGCCGGAGAAGAAACCTGCGAAGACGCGCGCTGGGAAGTCAACCGCCAAGTCTGCTTCGACACAGGCCAAGGAAGAAGACTCGGATAATATGAGCGACGGTGGCTTCTTCGAATGAGGACAGCCGTTGCAGTGGGTTTGCGGTCAAGACGTCTGCCGGGCATAGCGTGGAGTTGGTCAGGTCTGGCGTTTGGAAGGAATAAAAGCATTTTGCTAGCACCATGGCATGCATGGAAATGGGTTTACTTGTAGGCATACGGAAGGGGACCATGATGTCTCAGAAAGTAGATACGGGCGGAAATCGTACAGGGAGACATAGTCAGTACTAACCATTCTTACCTTTGTGGAATTACTTGATTTGTCTAGTATTGACGCATGTTCGTAGCCAGAGAAGATTCGTCGCGACCAAAATTCATGCGGGACCAATGGCTTACTTGATGGCTTGTACCGAAAAGGCTAGTGTGCCCTAACTGCGTACTTTATCAACCCGTCTCCCGACTTGTGGTCTCTTTGGTCTACATATCGATCCCTTTCAATTAAACGGCTCCACTGACTTGGAAATGAATTTCATGCGTGCTAGACCCTCACCGCTGGACGGATTGTCAAGTAAGTGCCAGATGACATGTTTGCGAGGCGGACATGGGATCCAAAGGTGGCTTCGAACAAAGAGCTGATGTCCGAGAGGATTGAACAGTATCGAGGAGTCAGCGAGCCATGGGATCCGTGGCGTTGAGGGCTCGGCATCTCCGAGTCGGACTTGTCGAAGGCCAGGCTCTCCCAAAGCCTGAGCCAAAGCCTGCACAACACCACCTGGCTTTCAGCCGCCGGCGCTCAGTTCTAATTCCGAAGCCGGATCGTCTCGGGGATAAGCTTGGCCGAGGATTGTCTACCATAGCCCAGTGTGGCCAATGGCAAGGCAAACAATTGTCCCCACAGGTCGGCACTTATCCGATGATGTCAGCCGAACGCGACCCCGCCCCCGCGTCCAACGCGTCGAAAGGGAGAGCTGCTGTGCGTCCGCTCCTCCCCACGCTGCCGAGTCGCGCGATATCGGATTTAGGAGGCCTCAAAAGAAGCGCGATTCCTCGAATTGGCGCCGCTCAGTATAGCTCCAGGCATTATTTCACAATGGCACCGCAGTGGACCCATCTCATCCGCTTCATCGCCAAGGAGGACGGCCAGACCCATTTGGGCCAGGTCGATGCCGCGCAGTTCCCGGATGTCGGCCTCGCTGTTTTCGAGGCCAAGGAGGTCAGCGTGAAGGAAGTTACCGGTGGCTTGTACGACGGCGTGGTGACGGATCGGGTCCTGCATGTGGACAAGGTAGGCCCGCAGCCTTTTCCCCCATCTAACAGTTGTCAATGGAAACTATTGCTTACCACGTCACTTGCAGCTCCTCTCGCCCGTCACGGTCGACCAAGTGCCGCTCATCCGCTGCCTGGGCCTCAACTACCGCGACCACGCCAAGGAGGCCAGCATGCCCATCCCAAACGAACCCATCCTCTTCATCAAGCCGCGCACCGCCATCAACGGGCCGTTCCCGGCCAAGATCAACGTGCCCAAGGTGGCGCAGGACGGCACGTCCGACTACGAGGCGGAGCTGACCATTGTCATCGCCAAGGACGGCAAGGACATCCCCGAGGAACGCGCGCTCGACTACGTGCTGGGCTACACGTGCGGCAACGACGTGTCGGCCCGCGCGCAGCAGTTCAAGAACAGCCAATGGTGCTTCTCCAAGGGCTTCGACGGCAGCGCACCCGTCGGCCCCGTGCTGGTCAGCGGCAAGGCCATTGGGGATCCGCACGCGCTGGACATCAAGGCCATTCACAACAACAAGGTTGTGCAGGACTCGAACACGAGGTATGTGAAATGCACCGTGGCTTTCATATGGTGGGGGGGCTGACGGCGCCGTGCTTGCAGGGAGATGATTTTCAACATTGCGAAGACGGTGTCGTTCCTGTCGATTGGCACGACGCTGGAGAAGGGTACCTTGATCATGACGGGCACTGGGCCGGGCGTTGGCGCCATGCGGAACCCAAAGGTGGTGCTTCAGAACGGCGATGATATGAGGGTGCAGATACAGGGCATCGGGACGTTGATCAACGAGGTGTACTACGAGTAGGGGGGTTGGGATGAATGACGCCGCAAGATGAGCAGTGTGACGTTGTGTGCAGTCGAAGCAAATGCCCATGTGCAGGTGCAAATGCGAACAAATGCATTCACTCGGCAGAGTACATAGGTGATATACGTATCCGTAGTAGATCTGTTTCTGCACCCACATGACATAAGAGCTGATGAACCCTGCAACACGGGCAACGTAGCCACTGTGCACGCCTGATGCGAAGATGGAATTGGTTGGCCGGTCCGGCAGCCGAGACAAATCCTTCATATGCGGCGACATGGGAAAGAGCGCTGTGCGTACATAAGCGAATGGGAATGCGGTGCGGCTGCCGCTCGCCAGCCTCACCAAGTACCCGCACCCTGGACATCACATCATCCTCTTCCCTGACCCACTCCCACCGCCCTCTCCTCGCTCCACAGCTACCTTCACACGAACTTCCACCAAATGTCGTCCACGACGCGTCACTGAAGCCCAACCGGTCAACCCAATGCAACATCCGCCGCATCGAGGAGAGTCCCGCATCTGTCGCGTGCCCTCGTTGGCACGTCGTAATGCCTTTGCTGGGTATACTGCTGCCCGACTCAGCTGAATGCAACAACATGCACGTGTCGCATCTCGCTCGGCCTGAAGGCCAAATTCGACCTGAGGCTCCCTAAGCATCATGGGACGCCTGAACATGCTCCATTCGCCCCCTCGTTTCTGCACCATGCACCAAAGGACATTAATTCAAATACCAACATCCCAAACCACGATGCATCGGCACACTGCATCAAAATTGGGTCGCTCGCTTATCGGATCTGCTGGCGGACGCGGCCTTCACACTTGCTTGGTCAAAAAAAAAAAGAAAGGTGAAGAAGATCATGCACCGTTGGAGCTTTCGATCAACGAAAGCTGCATTCCTCTGAGATGTGACCACTGGATTCCTCTGAGATGTGGCCACTGGATTCCTCTGAGATGCCGCCATACAATCACGTAGGGAAGTCGCTCATGCCGAGGCACTGCAGCCCTTCACGCTTTGGTGAGACACTCCAAAAGCAAAAACCTTGGCCCTGATATCGCTGATCGTTGCACCAAAACGCCCTGCCGCGAAAGGGGACACCTCGCCTACCGTGATCTGCTCGCAAGGCTGTATTTGATGGAAAGCTGAGCAGGGATCCGCAGTCCGTTCGTTATTCCCGCTTCTCTCGTACTCGTACGTCTTCACGGATCAAGCCGTCGGACACCCACTACGTCGAAGCCATCGCGTCATCGTGATATCGGATACCTCCAACAGCTCAACAAACCGCCGCCAAGAGGGGGTTGACTGCAATTATGATGACACATGCAAGGGTGTTTTGCTTGTTTCTCCACCTACAACCTCTAGAAATGGCTCACATGCGTTGGAAAGTCTTGCTAGTACCGAAGATGAATCGGGGTACGTCTTCCTCATTGATATCGTGATGAGCATTTCTCAAAAATCTACCGCCAAACGTTGCTTATCTAACAATTTGCCTCAAGAATACAGATCCGAAACTCCAACAAGAAAGGAAATCAGCGCAAATCTCGATTCGTCTAATCGTCCACCCTTGCCGTCAGCCTGATGACTGCTTCTCCGAGCTCTCGCAACGTGACTGCGTCCCTCGGCACCGTGTGACCTTTGCCATGGTCAAACAGCTCGGCGCTATCTTCGTCACACAGATTGTACAGGGCCATTGCTCCATGGATGTACGGATCGTAGCAGCCTACAATGTGACAAGTGGGGATGTCGATGACATCTTCACACTCGTCGGCCAGCAACGCGTGCACCTCCCCATTTTGCAGCTTCAGCGGGGGCCAGCCAGCCAGGAAAATGGCCGCCTGAGAGACGGTCAGCGCCACGAGTCAGCTACGACCTATCGAAAGTCTTACCTTGATCCGGCGTGGGATTCCGTGCTCCTCGGCCCGTCGACGCTCTTCCAAGACGAGACTGGCTGCTGTCGTGGCTCCTTCAGAGTAGCCCAGAATGCCCTTTGCTTGATCGTCAGCACCTGCTTGCATCCATGTCCTTTTGCCGATTGCACTCACCTCGATTTCGGGATCGGCGTCAATCACAGCGAACAGGTGATCAAGAGCCTTGCGCAAGTTCACGTCGCTGTACGCTGAGCCCTGGCTGTCGTGGCTGCTGAAGAGGCGACGCATCGTGTCTTCGGCCGAGATGCCCTCTGGGAAGTCACGGATCTTGTCGAGGATGTCTTCAAAGCCCTCCATGCCGTCAAACTCCACAAAGCGGTACAGCGGGCCGGGACCAAAGTAGTCTTCGAAGCCAGGAGGCGGCTTTGCGGGAACAGTGCCTTGGGTCCAAGCGAGTTCCACCACACCGGTCTTCTCGCACTCGGCAGCAAAAGGGCCAAGCTGGACCTGGAAATTCTGGTCGGATGGTCAGTCACTGTACTGCGGCGGGCTGGCTGTTCGGGTGCAAACCTTGGCGCTGCCATAGGCGCCGGGGAGACAGAGGAACTTCATGCTTTCGGGCTTGTAGCTGACGGACTCGCAATGATTGACCACGGCTTGTCCCCAGGGCGGATGGTGGCTCTATTATCTACGCCGGGCACGTTTAAGGCAACTCCAAACGTTTCGCTTTCCTTTTTGGCTCTGTGTAATCGGACGCCTGAAAAGTCATATCGCGAGACGGGCTATCAGGGCAAAGAAATGATCTGCGGCAACATTGCACCATTGGTGGAAAAGCCTGCCGTGAACGGTCCAGAACTCCGAGCCAAGTCTCTCGAAACAAACAGGATCGGCCTACGCAAGAGCGTCGGTGCCACGGCTCACCCCCTCCACTCTTTGGACGAGCCCCACTGAGGGACTCAGCTTCTCACTGACTCAATATATTGATAACCCCGGCACCATGTCCATATCGACAGAGAAATCCAGCGTTGACGGACAGCACGCATCTTCACGGCTGGCTATCGATGAACGCGACGCGTTGGAGGTCGAGTTAGCCACGCGGGAAAGCTTAATCAATTCGAATCACCGGCGGTAATCTGGAACGACCCTCGTCCGACCGTTGAGGCTCCGGCGCGGACGGGCCGAGTGGAAGAGACCGAGCATCCGAGGCTTACCACGCTGGCGGGATGCAACGTGCACCGGGATGTCCGCTGGAAAGTGGGCCGATGGTGGTCGCGCGAGTGCTTCACATCCGGAACCTTTCAGTCCGAAACCCCATCCGAGCGTGCGCGGACCAGTCCATCACGCGGCCGTCTTTTACTCGATGCCATGCTGCGCAAGCCGAGGCTCCACGCACGCCTGCTTCAGCTCGGGCAACGACGCCACTGCAACGAGTGACGCGGACACCCCAGGGTGTGGTTTCGTCAGGCCTCAACCAGGTGCAGGCGGGGCGCAAAAAGCAAATCGGTGCCCTGTGGATATGAGCCCGCATCGCGCTAGCATGCAAAGGATCGTCGCCGAGGAGACTCCGCACCAACGGGAGTGGGGGAATCCGCCTTGGTGTTGCGCCGAACAGAGTTTATCTACACCCCAGCCCAACCATGTTCTACCAAAATCGCTTCCCCACGCCGGCCTGAAATCATCCTGCCCTGCAGCCGTTCTCGATTAGGTGCCATTGACGGCTGTACATGGCCACGCGAGCCCTGAGTCGTTGCACATGGCACCTAATTCAATGCACGCCACCCGTCTGCATCACATGCAGCCGTGCTGCCACTGTGCAGCCGCGCTGCTCAGGGACCGCTTTGAGGATGCATGGCCGATCTGCCGTGCCTTCATTATTTGTTTTCTTGTCCCCAGCTGAAAAAGGAACGCCCAGTTTCAATGTGACGCCTCGCATGGCAGAGACGTGATCCCGTTATGAGAGTGGAGCCCCAGACTATCTCGATCCCGAGGCCCCGATATGGATGCTCTGCTTGCCACCGCAGATATATAACAGAGCCCAGATGCACCCATCCAGCCGGTTCAACCAAACTCCTCGGCAGCTTTTCCAGATACCTCGGTGCTGCCCCTGAGTTTGCCCATCATCGACTCTTTTTCCCCCCACCATCCGCAAAGCAGAACCAGGTCAAGCCATGGCTCAGTCAACACAAGGCCGGGGTGAAAGCCCCAACCTTATGCCCATCGCCATCGTTGGCATGTCGTGCCGTCTGCCGGGAGATGTTTCGACTCTCGAAGAGTTTTGGCGCTTGATGTCCAGAGCGCGCAGCGGGTGGTCTGCCATCCCCGAGGACCGCTTCAGCAAAGACGCCTACTGGCACCCGAACCCAGAGAAGAAAGGATGCTTCAACAACGCCGGTGGCTATTTCCTCAGCCAGGACCTGGCGACGTTTGATGCTCCCTTCTTCAACATCACCTCCCAAGAGGCACAGTCATTAGGTAGCCGTTGCCTCATTTCCCAAACGACACGCCGTTACTGATGCATCCTTCTCAGATCCCCAGCAGAGAATCCTACTGGAGTGCGCCTATGAGGCACTTGAGAACTCGGGCATACCGAAGGAGTCGGTCATCGGCAAAAACACCGGTGTCTTCGTCGGCGGTGCCACCTCAGACTACCGTCTCAGCAACCTTCGCGATGCCGACCGCATTCCCATGTTCGACATCACCGGAAACCACGAGGCCATTCTTTCCAACAGAATATCCTACTACTTTGACCTGCGAGGACCCAGCTGCACCGTCGATACGGCATGTTCTTCCAGTCTCTACGCGCTGCACCACGCCGTCCAGAGCATACGGTCTGGCGAGTCGGAGCAGGCTATCGTTGCGGCATGCCACATCAATCTCTCCCCAGACGATTTCATCAGCATGTCCATGTCCAGGTCTGTTCTCGTTTTGAAAGGAAAAAATTGCATCATGGCTGACCTTGATACCGCAGACTGTTTTCCGAAGAGGGCAAGACGTATGCGTTCGACCACCGCGCCAAGTCGGGGTTCGCGCGCGGCGAGGGTGCTGGCTGCTTGGTGTTGAAGCCTCTGGATCAGGCGCTGCGTGATAACGACAGGATCCGGTCCGTCATCGTCAACACCGGCGTGAACCAAGACGGCAGGACAGTCGGTGAGTCTTGTCGCAGTGTTAGCCTCGAGGTGATTCGCACGCTGACATGTGCCTCCAGGATTGTCGAGCCCCAACGGTGATGCGCAGGAGCGCCTGATGCGTGAAGTCTATGCCAATGCAAACATCAGTCCCAGCGACACGGGCTTCGTCGAGGCTCACGGCACGGGCACCAAGGCCGGAGACCCCATCGAAGCCAAAGCATTGTACAACGTCTTCGGCAAGGGCCGCACCGCGCGGCAGCCGTTGTACTTTGGCTCGGTAAAGACCAACGTGGGGCACCTCGAGAATGCAAGCGGCCTTGTTTCCGTCATCAAAGCAGCCATGATGCTTGAAAGGGGTTTCATCTTGCCGAACATCAATTTCGAAAAGCCCAATGAGGCAATACCCCTGGCCGAATGGCACATGAAGGTAAGACACGGTTGCTTTTCCCTTGCAAACATGGATCCCCGGCTCACACATCAAACCAATCAGGTCCCGACTTCGCAACGGCCATGGCCAACCGCGAAACGCTTCATCAGCGTCAACAACTTCGGCTTCGGCGGCTCCAACGCCCACGCGGTGCTCGAGAAGCCGCCGCTGCCACCCAAGTCGGCGCTGGCCAAGGAGAGCGCAGAGCCCACGCAGCGGCTGTTCGTGCTCTCGGCCAACGACGAGAAGGCGGCCCGCAAGGCGACGGACAACCTCGGCGTCTTCCTGGAGCAGCATCCTGAGGTGTTCCAGAAATCGCTCATGCGCAACATCGCATACACGCTCTGCCAGCGCCGGTCGCACCTGGCGTGGCGCGTCGCCCTCGTCGCCTCGTCGTCCAACGAGCTCGCCATCGCGCTGAACAGCCACAATGCCAAACCCACGCGGAGCCCGCAGACGCCGCCCAAGATCGCTTTCATCTTCACCGGCCAGGGCGCCCAGTGGCACGCCATGGGCCGAGAGCTGCTCGACGGCTACCCCGTCTTCGCCGACGCCATACAGGCCGCCGACGACTGCATCAAGCGTCTCGGTGCCGACTTCTCGCTGGTCGAAGAGCTCGGGAGGGAGAAGGAGGCGTCGCGGGTGGGCGAGGCGCACATCAGCCAGCCCATCTGCACGGCGGTGCAGCTCGCTCTCACCGACCTCCTCAAGTCCTGGGGCGTCAGCCCGGCCGCCGTCACCGGGCATTCGAGCGGCGAGATCGGCGCCGCGTACGCCGCGGGGCTGCTCGGCCTCGAATCCGCCATGGCGATTGCGTATCACAGAGGGCAGGCCATCGTGCGGCTGAAGGAGAAGCACCCGGACCTGCAAGGCACCATGTTGGCGGTCGGAGCCGGCCCGGATGTGGTCCGCCCGCTCTTGAAGACGCTGCGCAGCGGCCGCGTCGTGATCGCGTGTGAGAACTCGCCGGGCTCCATCACGGCTTCTGGCGACGTGGCGGCGGTCGAGGAGCTGGCGGCTGCCATCGAAGAGAAGCAGCTGTTCAACCGGAAGCTCCGCGTCGACGTGGCGTATCACTCGCCACACATGAGCCTGGTGGCCGACGACTACCGTGCCGCCATCCAGGACATGGTCGAGCCGCTTCCGCACCAATCCGCCGCCTTCTACTCGTCCCTCCACGGCAAGAAGGTGGATGGCTCCAGCCTGGACGCGTCGTACTGGGTCGACAACCTGACCAAGCCGGTGCTCTTCTCCACCTCCCTGCGCGAGCTCTGCCTCGACAGCACGCCCGACGTCCTCGTCGAAGTCGGCCCGCACACGGCGCTCGAAGGCCCCATCAAGCAGACGATCAAAGAGCTCCTCGACGGCGGCAAGAAGCAAGCCCAGAAGCTCAGCTACGCCGGCACGCTCGTCCGCAACAAGAACGCCATCACCACCTGCCTCGAGCTGGCGGGCGCGCTCTACACGCGGGGCCACACGCGCCTCGCCTTCGCCCGGATCAACGCGCCCAAGCCCGAGGAGAAGACGGCCGTCTTCCTCGCCGAGATGCCGCCCTACGCGTGGTCGCGCGGCGCGCGCTACTGGAGCGAGTCGCGCGTCGGCCGCAACCACCGCGTCAAGCGCTTCCCGCGCCACGACCTGCTCGGCCGCCTGGCCGACGGCTGCAACGACCTCGCGCCTACGTGGACTAACGTCCTGCGCACCGACGACCTGCCCTGGCTGCGCGACCACCGCATGCAGGCCCTCACGACGTTCCCCTTCGCCGGCTTCGTCTGCATGGCGCTCGAGGCGGCGGCCCAGCGCGCCGCCATGCGCCACGTCGACGCCGCCGCCGGGGCGACAGCTGCTTTCGACCGCTTCGTGCTGCGCGAGGTCGTCGTCGCGCGCCCGCTGCTGCTCGAGGACGGCGGCGAGTACGAAGTGATGCTGACGCTGCGGCCGCACGCCGAGGGCTCGCGCTCGACGTCGACACCGGACGCGTGGGACGACTTCAGCATCTGCTCGTGGACGCAGGAGAGGGGCTGGATGGAGCACTGCCACGGCCTCGTCGGCGTGCGCAACGGCAACAACAACCCCGTCTGCGCGAGCAACACCACCCAAGCCGCCGCCGCCGCCGCCGCCAGACTCCGGCAGGCCAAGACGGCGGCACCCGCCTCCGCCTCGACAATCGACCCGGAGCGCTTCTACGCGGACCTCGAGGCCGCGGGCGCGTCGTACGGACCGGCCTTCCGCAACGTCCTGCGGCTGGACGCGTGCCACGACGCGGGCGCGCTCGGCGTCGTCGCCGTGCCCGACACGGCGGCGGCGATGCCGCTCGCGCACGAGACGCCGTCGGCGGCCGTGCACGCCGCGTTCCTCGACCAGCTGTTCCAGATGGCGTTTCCCATCTTGGGCGCGGGGAGGCGGGGTGTCGAGGAGGGCGGCATGCGCGCGCTGTATATGCCGTCGGTTGTGAAGGAGATCAGCGTGTTGAGCGGCGCGCCGAGGACGCCGGGAGAGCGGCTGCGGGTCGTCGCTGAGGGGAGGCCCGATTTCGTCAACGATCCGAAGCCGACGGATTTTATGATGGAGGGGTGGGCGATGTCTGGTGAGGAGGAGGAACAGGGGGAGCCGGCGGTCAGGCTGGAGGGGCTGACGTTCAGCCCGATCAAGGGGGATGATGCCGCGACTCTTCTTGCCGGCGGTGCGGCGCCGAGGGAGGTCTGCTACAAGTTGGCGTGGGAGCCGCTTGAGCAGAGGGCACTGCCGCAGGAGGAGAGCGACGGGAGTGATCAGGTGAACGGGAGTGATCTGGCGAACGGTGTGTCGACGACGAACGGGCATCGTCGGAACCGGTCTGGCGAGACGAACGGGTCCAACACCAGCTGGGAAAACATCGAGAAGGACATGGCCAGCGCGCCTGTCGTCCTCGTCGTCGCCGAATCCGAATCGAACAACCCGCTCGTGGCCACCCTGGCTGATGCCATCACCATCCGCACCGGCCAGGCTCCGACAGTGACGTCCCTGGCCGGCGCCGACACGGCAGACAAGCTGTGCATCGTGCTGTCCGAGCTCGACCGCCCTCTGCTCGCAAAGGCTACCGCCGAGACGTTTGCTCAAGTCCAGAAGGTCCTGACCCGCTCCGCCGGCGTGCTGTGGGTGACGCGCGGCGCGTACAAGTGCGCCACCAGCCCCGAGTCCAACATGGCCGTCGGTCTGATCCGCACCGTGCGGTCAGAAACCGCGGCGAGGGCCGCCACGCTGGACCTGGATCCCAACTCGTCCTGCAGCACGTCGGCGCAGGCGGACCTCATCCTGAAAGCGTTCAAGCGGGCCGTCGAGGCCTCGCCCTCGGAGCAGCAGCCAGAGGCCGTCGTCGACATGGAATACGCAGAGGAGGACGGCTCGTTGGTGGTCCCGCGCGTCGTCGTCGACGACGAGACCAACCTCTTCGTCCACCGCCAAGTCTCCCCCCAGTCCGCGGCGCCCTACCTCCAGGACTTCCCAGCCCCAACCGGGCACGGCGACGGCAGCAGTCGCCGGCTGCGCCTCGCGATAGGCACGACCGGCGCGCTGGACACGCTGTACTTCAAGGACGACGACCACGCCGACCAAGGCCCGCCGCCGCTCGCCGCCGACGAAATCGAGATCCAGATCCACGCCACGGGCATCAACTTCAAGGACGTCGTCATCGCCATGGGCCAGCTGCCCAACCCCTCGCCCACGGCCTCGCTCGGCATCGAATGCGCCGGCGTCGTCTCGCGCGTCGGCGCGGCCGTCTCGTCGCTCTGCGTCGGCGACCGCGTCTGCGCCATGCCCGACGGCGCCTACGGCACGCACACGACGCGCTGCCGCGCCTCGAGCGCGGCGCGCATCCCGCACGGCATGCCGTGGGCCGTCGCCGCGTCGCTCCCCATCGTCTTCTGCACCGCCTACCACGCCCTCGTCGACCTCGCCCGGCTCGGCCGCGGCGAGCGCGTCCTCGTCCACGCCGCCGCCGGCGGCGTCGGCCAGGCCTGCGTCCAGCTCGCGCAGATGCTGGGCGCGGACGTGTACGCCACGGTCGGCAGCGCCGAGAAGAAGGCGTTCCTCACGCAGACGTACGGCGTCCCCGCCGAGCGCATCTTCTACTCGCGCGACCCCGCGGGCTTCGCGGCGGCGGTGCGCGGCGCCACGGACGGCGGTCAGGGAGTCGACGTCGTGGTCAACAGCCTCGCGGGCGAGTTCTTGCGCGAGTCCTGGGCGTGCCTGGCGCCGTTCGGCCGCTTCGTCGAGATCGGCAAGCGCGACATCACGGCGAATGCTGGTTTGGAAATGGGCGTCTTTGCGCAGTGCGCGACGTTCGCGTCGCTCGACCTGACGCTCCTGGCCAACGAGCGGCCCGCCGCCATGGCGCGCGTGCTCGAGGCGGTGATGCGGCTGCTCGAGTTCGGGGCGGTGCGGCCGGTGGAGCCGGTGACGGTGGTCGGGGTGGGCGAGGTCGAGGCGGCGTGGCGCCGGTTGCAGGGCGGGAAGACGACGGGGAAGGTCGTGGTCGTGCCGCGGGTGGGGGAGAAGGTCAAGGTGAGTGGTTATTTGTTCGTGCTTATGGCTCAGGGGCTGACTTTTACGTTCTTTTTTTTTTTTTTTTGCTACAGGCCACGCATCCGCGCAAGACGGACTTGCTCCGCCCGGATGCTACCTACCTGATCGTCGGCGGCACCGGGGGGCTGGGCCGCAGCATGGCCAAGTGGATGGCGCAGAAGGGGGCGCGGAACGTGGTGCTGCTGTCGCGCAGCGGGAAGACGGACGGCAAGGTCGGCGCGCTGGTGGAGGACCTACGTCGGTCGATGGGTGCGAACGTCGTCGTCCGCGCGTGCGACGTCGCGGACGAGCGGAGCGTGAGGGCGGTGGTCGAGGAGTGTGCGGCGAGCTTGCCGCCGATTCGCGGCGTCGTGCATGCGGCTATGGTGTTGAGGGTGAGTGTTTTCTCTACGTCCTTCCTTCCTTCTTTCCTTCTCATTCGGATGCTAATCATCACACGACACAACAGGACGTCCTCTTCGAAAACATGACCTTTGACGACTACCACGCCGTCATCTCCTCCAAAGTCGCCGGCGCCTGGAACGTCCACAACGCCCTCCTGGCCACCTCATCCACCCCAACTCTCGACTTCTTCGTCGCCCTCTCCTCCGTCGCCGGCATCGTCGGCAACAGAGGCCAAGCCGCCTACGCCGCCGCCAACGCCTTCCTCGACGCCTTCGTGCACCACATCCGCCAGACGCTGCCCGCGGGTGCCACCACCCGCACCGCCGCCCTCGACCTCACCGCCGTCTCCGACGTCGGCTACCTCGCCGACGGCGCCGACGCCGACAGGCGCCGCGAGGTGCTGCTCAACATCGGCGGCGACACGCTCGACGAGGCGGAGGTGCTGGCGCTGCTGGCTGCGGCGGTGGCGGGCGAGGCGGGCGAGGCGGGCGAGGCGGGCGAGGCGGGGGGTGCTCGTCACTGTTTGACGGGGTTGCGGTTCCCAACGACGCAGGGAGGTGATGGTGGTAGTGGTGCTGATGCTGCGAGACCGCCGCCGCTCCCGTTCTACGCATCCGACGCCAAGTTCAGCGTGCTGCGGCAGGCCGCTCTGGCCTCGTCATCCACCGACCCTTTCTCTTCCACAGCGATCACGAAAAAGGAAACCCTCGCCGCCTCCCTGGCGCGCGCCCCCGACGCGGCCGCGGCGACGGACCTCGTCGCGCGCGCGCTGCTGGAGAAGCTGGCGGCGATCCTGACGGTGCCGCTCGAAGACATGGACGCCGACGTGGACGCGGAGCGCAGCGTCACGACGTACGGGCTCGACTCGCTCAACGCCATCGAGCTGCGCAACTGGATCGCGCGCGAGGTGCGCGGGGTGAACCTGCAGGTGCTGGAGCTGCTGACGAGCGGGAGCGTGAGGGCGTTGGCGGGGGTGGTGGTGAGGAGGTCGGGGGTGCAGTTTGGTGGGGAGGGTGGTGGTGAAGGTGGTAGTGGTGTGGAAGGGGGGGTGTGAGGGGGTGAGGGATGGGGCTGTGATGAGCTAATGCGAGGTGGTTGGGGGGAGGGTTGGAATGGGTGCTTGGGTACTTGGGTGCTTGGGCGCTTGGGTGGGTGGATGGGTGTTGGGAAGGGGGGGAGGGGGGTTGTTTGGTTTTTTCTCTTTCTTTTTCCTTTTTTTTTCTCTCGCTCTCGCTCTGTCTCTCTCTCTCTTTGGCGTACTTCGTTGCGAGTTTTGATGCGGTTTTTTTTTTTTTTTTTTTGGAGCTTGTTCAGGGGTGCTTTATAGATAGATGATTACCAACATGTTGTTTCTTCATCTCTGCCTTCCGTTGCATGCCCTTCCACGCCAACTGCGTACGTATCACTTACGGCTGTCGTTGATGGCTATTCGTGAGGAACATGTTTTTCCCAGAACATGGGGAAGAATATGCGGGGAAAGGTAATGTTCAGCGGTTGGAAGACCGAGATGGATTCTTGCTGACGTCGGCCGCGAGCAAGCCACATGTGGGGTTGTGCGGAGGCGCCGGGTGTGTAGTGTGTGCGAGTGTGCGGGGTTCGGCAATCGGCAACGAGTACTTGTTGCTCGTACCTGTCCCTATGTAACTCGTGGCGATCGCCGGCTTCCGAGGCTATATATCGGAGCTGGAGGGCACGGGGCAATTGTTTCTTCTATTGAGCTGAGACGGCACGTCAGCAGCTAGCTCCTGGCAAGAGACGGCGTCGCTGCTAGCCGTGTAGGTCGGCGCCACGGGACGGGGACGGAGCCGGCCCGGATTGTCGCGAGAAATAATAGACGTGTATAAGGAGAAGGACGGGTGCTTATCGTCGCTTCTCTACCTCACCCGTTCGCCGTCGGTTCTCCGTCATCAACGGCGCACCGGTAATACACACACGAAATCTGCTGGACAAGCAGGTGCACCTTTCCACAGATCTCCGCGGACATGGGTCCGGCAGGTTAGCGTCCCACACTATCGCCTCCACCCCCCTTCCAGGGCGTCTGTTTCATCTCCGTCCCTGCTTTTTTATCGCGCCAACGCCGCCGCCGTCGTCGCCGCCGCTGTCAGCCGTCAGCCCGTCAGCCGTGCCCATGGACGTTTTTTGACGGCTTTGCACGCTATAACGACGACCAAGGGGCCCCAGGAAAAACATCAGCCGAAAGCAAAGACAGCTACGCGCCACACTCGGCCACAACCTCGACCGCTCTATTTATCACCCGTCGCCCAGCTTATTGCCCTACTACTGCCAACCATCATCCACCTAACCGCCCCATAGTTCTCGTCCGCGAATTCCGGATCCCGGCGGCGATCCGCGAGAGTCGATCCGATCTACATACAACGTGCAACGACGTCTCCGTCCCTTGCGTTCGCGTCGTCCTCCCATTCCCGTCCCAATCACTCCCCCCACTCCCACGCGCCAACGTCGCACAAGCACGCACAAACCCCCCAACCCCCCCCCACCTCACAAACAAAAACAACAACACCCCAAACAAACAAACAAAAAACCAAAACCAAAAAACACCATGCCGCAAAAACGCCAACCGGCCCCCACGACCACCACCATACCCTCCGACGCCGCCACCGGTACCGCCACCGCCACCACGACGACGGCCGCCCCCGACGACGCGGCGGTGCGCAAGCGCAAGCAGAACCGGCTCTCGCAGCAGTGCCTGCGCGAGAAGCGGTCCGCCGGCGTCGCCAACCAGTCGTTTTTCGAGCGGCTGGCGGCGGACATGCGGCGGTTGCGGGAGGTGTGCGAGAGGCAGGCTGCTGCTCAGGCTCAATCGTCATCGTCGTCAGCAGGCTCTGTGGGAGGAGCAGCGGGAGGGGGAGCGGGAGGGGGATTAGGAGGGGGAAGCGGTGGTGGGGGAAGTGGTGGGGGTTTGGAGCAGGTGAATGTGGTGGCGGAGCTGGTGCGGATCAATGAGGGGTTGGTGGAGGAGAATCGGTGCTTGCGGGAGGGGGTGTTGCGGATGCGGAAGAAGTTGCTGAGCTTGAGTGGGCAGGCGAGTGCGGCGGCTGGTGAGTTTATCTTTTGGTTTTTTCCTTTCTCTTTTGCCCGCTGTCTATAGGAGGGGAGGAGGTTGACAGGGGAATAAGCTCACTAACCGACCCGATTGTGCAGAGGACCCGGTCTTCCAAAAGATCCTGGGCAAGGAGTCGGAGGCGGCCGAGGCTACGGCGGCGCCCAGCAAGCGGCGGAAATGCTCGTCCAGTGCCGGATCGGGGTCGGCATCGGGTCGGGCGGTCGGCTCTGCATCGTCGGATGCGGAGGAGCCCGATCGGATCGAGCCCGTCCCAATCGACGAAGGGGACATGTTTGCACACTTGCCAGGCGAACCCTCCGGCTCCTTCAACCCTCTTTCGTCATCCGCCGGCTTCGACAACCGCCTCGTCACCGCGAATCAGACAGACTCCTTGCAACTCTTCCCGCGCCACCATACCGGCCCGGAGATATGCTCGGCCTTCACCACAACGACCCGCCCGCCGCCGGACTTCCAAACAGGGCCAAACTTCTCCTTCTCGAACCTCCCGCAGATTTCGCTGACCAACACGGCCATCTTGGACGCTTGGATGAGCCGGTCGTACGCCAATCTCCTGGCCCAGAAGGTCGAGAACGTATGCGTGCAGTACGCCCTCAAGTCCCGGGCCTGCAAGCTCGACATGGGATCCCACGCATTCCGACACTTCGACGAAAGAACCATGGTCGAGCGCCTGGGCGAAATCGCCGTCCACATGATCTTCGACGACACCGGCCTGGGCCGGTTCATCAACACGCTCGAGGGCGCCCGCGACTTCGTCAAGTCCGTCATGACATGCCGCATCATGATCGGCTGCGCCAAGCCGCACGACCTCCTCCCCGACGAAGTCGACGACACGGCCTCGCCGCCCTGGACCACCGGCACCCGCCCCCTCATCGTCGACCTGATCGCGTGGCCGTCGCTGCGCGACCAGATGGTCTTCCACTCCAGCTTCTACGACCTCGACGAGATGACCGAGGACGTCGTCAACTACACCGTCGTCGACATGCCCGACCAGCACCTCGCCCTGCAGATGTACAGCACCCCGCCGAACCCCTTCCCCAGCGCCTGCCGCCCGGACGAGTACGACGCCGTGAAGCCCTTCCGCTTCGCCGAGTGCGAATTCACCCACAAGATCCTGCAGCTCCCGACCCAGGACCTCTTCGACATCATCGCCCGCCGCATGGACGCCCCGCCGCCCGCCACCACCACCGACTACTGTGCCGGAGCGGGGGCCGCCGGCGCCGTCTACGCCCATTCCGATCTCCTGGGCTCGGCGCCGAGCGAATGCATCCCGGCCAAGACGACGACGTCGAGGACCTTTACCGGATATAAGCTGAGCGGCGCTTTCTTCAAAAAGTATCCCTTCTTGCAGTGCTCGTCGTGTAAGTGTATACATCTTGGACGTATGTCTTGGCTTGCTTTGAAGAACTGACAGTTGAACAGTGGCGTCTCCGTATCCCTTCTTACCCTCCTGCAAGGTCGCGACATATTAGGCAAACAATACCAGAAAAAAAAAGCATTCCGTCACCGCAAGCAACCCTTACTTTGCGATATATGAGATCAAGACAGGCAACTCCCAGCACACACACACGAACGTCATGAACCAGTGAAAAGTCCAAGGATGCAAGTTGGTGGTGGGGAAAAAAAAGAAAAAGAAATGCGCACGATCCCTCCCCTAGCCGCGCCACAAAAAAAATAAAAAGGCAAAACGTACATACAACAGCCGGGATTTCCCATCGGTCACCCACTTGAGTACCAAATGATCTGCTTTGGGGGTATCATCGGCCTAGACCATCGGCCCCTGCTTTTGTCTTGCGAGCTCTGATCCCGTAGAGCATTCTCTGGCCCGTGCTTTCTTCTGGAGTTGTTGCGTCCGTGTGGGCGTCCCCCCCGTGCGGGATCCAAGGCCGTGCGGCTCTTTAGCATGTGAGGCTGCTTGGCTCCTACGGCGCTTTTTCCCCGCGCAGGCTTTCTGCCCTCGGGATTATGAAGCCCTTGTCACCGGAGGGTTCGTAGCACAGATCAAAGTGAAATGCATTAAACCACGTTACTACATACGAAGAGACACTGCTGGAGAAGACATGTACAGAAAGAAGATATCACATGGACAAGCAGAAATGCGCCAAGCGAACCAACGGACCGCACTACTTGCACGCCGCGCCCCCCTTGGCGATGCTGCCCGAGTCGCCCGTGCCGTCGGTGTAGCTGTAGCTCTCGGCGGGGTTGTAATTCGTGATGCTGACCTTGGCCACGGTCATGGTCCACGGCATGCCCGCCTCGCTGCTGTACGTCGTGTCGCCGCCGGCCCACAGCCGCGTCCAGTACGACTTTGCCGGGTCGCCGCCGGCCCAGGTGCCCATCCGGACCTTGGCGGGCGTTTGGGGGAAGTTTGCGCCGTCGAGCGCGTCGGCCGCGGCGAGCGTCCGCACCGTGACGTCGTCGATGATCCACTCGATCCGCTCCTCGGTCCAGTCGATGGTGTAGGTGTGCCAGGCGTCGACCGGCGTCGCCACGGCGTGGTCGCCTTCGCGGTCCGACACGGTGCCGTTGCCTTTGCCGAAGTAGTCCGAGTGCACCATGGTGTTGTTGCCGCCGAGGAATTCCTGCAGGAAAATAAAAAGCGGGTAAGCATCTGTTGTTGTTGTTTGTTCCTCTATGCTGACGGGGGGGGGAGGGGGGGGCCGTGTTACCCAGTCGATTTCATCCAGCACGTCGCTCGCCAGCGTGACGGAGCTGACGATGCCCTGGCCTGGTGACGACTTCATGGCGACGGAGACGCGGCCGTAGAAGATGTAGAAGTCCGTCTCAATGGTCGGAGCTTGGTATCGGTCCGCAATCGTGAACTCGGCTCCATCACTCGTGTACTTGAGATTCGTGCCATCCGCTGCCCTCCAGTTGCTATCATCGCCCGTAGTGAAATCCGTGACATGTGTGCTCGTCTGGCATAGTCCAGCGTCCGCCGGGCAGGGGAACTGAGAGCCGTTCATCGGGTTGCAGCTCGTCGTGAGTTGTGCGGCGGAAAGAGGGACGAGGGCGGCAAATACGGCGGCCATGGCGCCGCGCGAGAAGTGGTTGGAGGACGACATGTTTTCAGATTGAGGTGCGCTGATGGATGCAAAAGGACATCACCTGGTGTACTGCAATATATATAGGCCAGTTGGTTGCTGTCCCAGAGCACTGAGCTAGCACTAACGCGCAAGGGGCAATAGCTCTCGGCTAGTAATAAATCACCAACTATCGCGCCGATGATCTATAAAAGGAGGCGGGAAATAACGATTCTGTAGAGAGAGCTAACGCGGCTCAAGCCCGGCCATTTTTATATAGGGGTAATGGTGCAATCACACCGCTGTAGTGTCACTCATGTCGACTGTTCGGGAAAGTGGGTTACAATCTGGTGTTAGTGAGTTCGGTCTGCCAAGACTTTGAACTGCTGAAGTACGACTTCAATGAGTTCAAGGGGATGAACCGGTGGGGCGCACGTGACTTGGACGCTCAGGGCATGTTTCTGGGGTCCGTTTTCTGACTTTGCTGAACGGCCGCGATCTCCAGTGCTCCGCAGCCTATGGTCGTACGTGGAAGGGAAACTGGTTGGCATGGTTCATGACCACCGGTGGACTGGTCGTTGACTGTCTCGACCTCAATTCGACTGCTCATCGATTTCGATTCGACTTTCCATCGCCATCAATGCTCTGTCGAGCCTCAATGCTCGGTCTAGCACTTAGTTTTCTTGACAAATGAGAAATTGCACGCCGCACGTCTCCGGGTCACCTCCCTGCCGTGGTGGTGGCTTTTGCTGGAAGGCAAGAATAGAAAGACGCTCGGGCGACATTTCGATTGGGACGCGAATGGGCAATTTCACCATCAGTACGTGTATGGGTCGGACGACACTGTTGACTTTGTGATTGGAGGACTTTGAGGGGGGGCAAGTAAAGTGGTGGGGAGTATCGCGAAGAGGCCAAACGGGAGTAGCGGTAAGTCGAGGTTGGGCCGGATGGTGGTCCTGCTACCTAGCCAATATCCAAAGTGGTCTCATATGTTTCTGCAGAACTGCCGTCTAAAAACCATGTGAATGAGCTTCGATACCTTAAAAGCACGATATTTTTCAGAACCGATACGAGTTAAACGGCATATAGATGCTCACAAGACAGAGACCGCATTTATTGTAGATGAGGAACGTGTTGTGACAAAAGAAATAGAACAAGCGAGAACATGGCGCCGTAATTCAAGCAAATTCCTTCTCACCATTAAGCACTTTCAATGAAAATAACTAACTACAGCAAAACTACGTGGTGTAGCATTGAAATCCGGTCTTAGTTTTGAAGGCTAGGGTATAGTGGCGCAGCTGTAGTTGAGAAAATCTCGATTCTCTTGGCAGATGCGAAGAGCCACAGGATGACGGAAAAGCCGAAAGTGATGGCTATCATGACATGGATCCGCACCATGTTGTCACAATGATACAGCGCCAGTATCGCATTCAAACACCTCCAACGGAACGAACACCATTTCCGGTACAAGATCCCGTGAATTGCCTTTGGATTCTCACTGGGTTCCTGTTAAAGGATGACTCGAAAGCGAACGTTGAGAAAGCGTTGGGAAGACTCCAGGCAGCTCGATATGAGCCACTTTCTGTGTCACAGCCCACGGAGACTATTGATGCACTGAAAACGGCATCGATGGCTCCCCAATCCGTACCTATGAGGTGTTTGATTGACAGCGGTGCAACTCTGAACGTCGTCACCGAAGTTCGTTCGCGACCACAACTTTAGTCGCCTTATGAAAGACAAACCACTTGTCGAAATCGTCGGGATAGGTGACAGCGTGGAAGCCAAGCAAATGATCGAACTCACATAGCACTATCACTCGGATCCAGAGCCACGGACTGACGTGTTTTGTGTGTTCAAGGATGGCCCTCAAGATGCTATCCTCGGCAAACGACTTTGGGAAGACATTAGGAACTTTCATTGTTTGCTAACTTGGACAAAAGAAAAAAGCAGATGAGAAAAAGAGGAAGACGGAAGCGGACCGGAAAGCCGAGGAAGACGTCGAAAGAAAGCTAAAAGCGCAAGGATGGACGTGTCGAACCCAACACCAGAGCAGGTGTGAGCCAGGAGAGCCGGCTCTCGAAATAAACTTATTCGAACCAGTTGGGAAAAGAAACTTGATTTCATCCAAGTCATCCTCTCTCCCCGATGTCATGTTTCAATTGTTGATATCAGATAGACTGAAATGCGAAACTCATGAGATGCTTACAAGCATAAACGCTCTAGAATTCTTGTTTCTATGCTGCCAGATGGTGAACCCGAGCAAGCCTCTGCGTTCTCCAGACCATTCCTTTCTTTCGAATCAGAAGGACAGCAGCGGCACCGCATGCTCCGCTCCAAATGCCCAAGCAAGTAAAGTACCAGCCCAAGCCAGCAGCGTCGAGCAGAGGCTGTAGAACAGCAACACCGGTGGCTGCCATGGCGCAACGAACCATGCTTGCGGTTGCTGCTGCTGTGCTTGGGCTCTTTGGATACAGATCGACCAAAAGCGTGTTGTAAGTGGTGTAGAAGCACGTACCCCAGAACCCCTGTATGAATTGCAGAATGAGCGGCACCGAAACGTGAACGTGGCTGCTGACAGCCCATCCGTAGCCTACCAAGGTGGCGGTGGAAACAAGGAGCAACCCAAGGCTTCCTCGAGATCTTGCTTTCTCGATGGGGAAATCGTCTATGCTGTACCTTGACGTCGGATCCGGCGTCCAACCCGTCTTGTGCGCCGTGACTCTGAAGTTGAGATCCATGAGCCTGCCGTTGCAGTAGCTGCCGATGATGATTCCGGTGCCACGGGGCAAGTACGCCAGTCCCGTCTGCAGCTCATTGAACGAATATACGTCCTTGAATATGGCAGGCACGGCGGCGACAAGCGTGTAGTCAACCGTATAGAAGGATCCATGCATCCAAAGCGCCAGAAAGGTGTCTCGGTGGAAAATGATGCGCAGACACGCCAGCGGATTGGCCACGCGGCACCGCTTCAGGAACGACGTCGTCTCGTCCGGCCTGCGATCCCTTCCTCCTCCTCCCCCTCCTCCTCCCTGCTCCTCCCCATCACCGCACCACCACCTCCTCACCCACCGCCTCCCCACACTCCACCAACCCCCTTCCCACCACCCATCCACCCCCTCCCTCTCCCTAGCCCCCAACGTCTCAGGCAACCACAACCCAATCGCCGCCCACACGCCCACCCCCCACCCGACCAGCGTCCAAAACACCCACGCAAACCCCCCACTCCCGTACGCCACCCACCCGCCCACCACCGGCCCCACGCACGCTCCCAGATTCAGCGCCATCCCCAGCGGTCCCACCACCCTCCCCCTCTCCCCCGCCCCACACACATCCGCCACGACCCCATAACTCACCGCAAACGCCGCGCTCGCCCCGAGACTCTGCACCCCCCGCAGCACCACCAGCGCCGCGTACGCTCCCGCACCCGCACCCCAACCACCACCCCCTTCTTCCACCCCCCACCCCAACACCGCCAGTCCGACATTCGCACCCACATACACCCCCACCGTCCCCAGATACACCACCCGCCGTCCCACGCCGTCCGAGAGGGGTCCGAAGACCGCGGGCGACACCGCTTGGCAGACGATGTAGACGGTCAGCGTGAGGTTGATGGCCTGCGGGGTGGTGTGGAAGGCGTGCTGGAGGAGGGGCAGGAGCGGGAGGTACGTGGTGGCGGTCAGCGGGGAGGCGGCGGTGGCGAGGCCGAGGAGGAGGTGGAGGGTGAGGCGGTGGCGGGGGGGGAGGGTGCTGTAGGGGGAGGGTGGGTTGGGGGTGTTGGGGGGAGGATGTCGGGGGTGGGGGTGGGTGGTGGCAGTGGTTGTGGCGGAGGGGGGTGGGGTGGTGATGTAGGGCGGTTTGGTGGTGGTGGTGGTGGTGGTGGTGGTGATTGGGGATGTTGCCGGTGGTGGAGTGGTGGAGGAGAGGTTGACGGTGTCGACGGCGGCTTTTTCCATGGTGGCGGGTGTGAGTGTGAGTGTGGGCGGAATACTTGCCCCGCCACGCTTGCGTTTGCAGTAGTATGGTCCCCCGCTTTGACTATATAGCTGTGTAGAGTAGAGTGAGCCTAGTTGCGCTACTGACATCACACTGACGTAGAGACTCTGCCTAGACGAACAACGCACGAATCGTCAGGAGATTGCTCAGTAGAAGAATATGTCGTTTCTTGATGAACTTTTACCATGCACTGCTCAATGCAGCAGCAAAAACGAGTCTCAGGCCACGGTATGGTCCCGCTCCGCGGACAAAGAGACTCTTTCATCCGCCGACAGCCTTGGAGGGCCTTCCCCATGGGGAAACGGCGCGTATTTGTCGACGAGGTAGTACATGTCCTCGTAGGCACTGGTAGCAAGTCAGCCCGCGAGCACGATATTCCGCAACGAGACACCTTCCTCTGCCGCACCGCCTTGCCCTCGCCCCGATGATTGACGGAATAAATCACGTTGTAGTAAACGCAATACATCCGATTCCGATCGTCCCACTCCTCGACCGGCTCGCTCGGCCCCATATACCGCAAATACGTCCGCGTATACACCTCCGCATGAATCTTGTTATACGCACACCTCCACCCCCCCACCTCCATCTCATGATGCGCATACAGACTCGCCCCATCAAACACATACACCCCGCCCCCCACCGCCGTCCCCACATTCCCCTCCCACAAATCCCCATGCACCAAACACGGCCTGATGCCCCCCCGCGCCCCCCGCGCCTCCCGCTCCACCGCCCCCACCAGCCTCGGCACCACCATCCCCTCCACGCGCCTCCACACGCGCTCCAACCCCTCCCACCGCCCGTTCGCCGCCGCGTCCAGCCGCACCGCGTGCGCCAGCATCTCCCCGAAGCAGGCCGCCCAGCTCGCGTGCCACCCGCGCACCGCCTGCGCCGTGCGGCCCTGGCACGTCGTCGCGTGGAAGCCGAATTGCCCTGTTGGGGACGCGCTGGTGCGGTGGAGGGAGGAGAGTTGGGCGCAGAGCTGGTCCGGGTCCGGGGGGAGGAGGTGCGGGTTCGGTTGGAGGGGGATGAATTGGGTGAGGAGGAAGTAGTAGGTGGTGGGGGTGGTCGTGCTCTTGTTGGTGGTAGTGGTGCTCTTGGTGGTGGTGCTGCTGCTGCTGAACTCGCCCCAGGAGTGAGGTGCTGGGACGAAGTCGGGGGCGGCGGCGTAGAGGGCCGACATGGCGTGGTATTCGCCTTCGATGAGGGCACGGCCGCCCGCGCCGTCGTCGCCGTCGTCGTCGTCGCCGCTCGCGCATTTGAGGAAGTAGCGCTGTGTGGAGCCCGAGGGGAACTCGACGTGCAGGCAGGCGGTCGTGGTCCAGGCTGAGGTTCCGGATGGCGTGGCGGAGAGGAGCTTCGTTCCGGCGGGGAATTTGGCGAGGATGGCCTCCGCGTCGATGGGGAATCCTATAGGCGGGGGAAGCGGGTGGTCTGGAGGGGCTCGGTGGAGTAGCTCGGGTGCTGTTGCGCTCATGGTGGGTGATCGAAGGCGGTGCGTGGTTTCTGAGGGTGTCTGTTCTCTGGTGCTTTGAATCAACCGTGCTGCTGGTAGTTTGCTCACACTCACCGAAACAGCAGGAAGCCGGTGTGTTGCTCAACAGCAGCTGAGCTATTCGGGGATCCAGTGTAGAGCCAAGACGCTCAGTCAGAGCGGGGTTGGACCTTTGGCGCCAACCTTGTTGCACTAGTTCCCGAGACACTGCGGAGAAATCATCTACCTTGATCAAGCATTCCAAGCTCTGTCAGTGCTAAAACGTCGTTAACCAACGACTTGATATATGCACGCACGCAGGCTAGGTAACGGTCGACAAATGCATGTGATGAAACGCCAAGTAACACGCACAAGAAACTATATATTTGGCACTTCGTTGTGAATTCGGGAGTTTCGTCTAGAACTTCAACGGAATACATGGCCTACTTGGGCATCATCGCACTGTCTCTGCTAGCTGTGAAGTTGCTTCGCGACTCAGTCATTCAGACTCGACATCTTCGACGTCATTGACCTCCGTGGTCCCTAGATGGAATATCTTCTCAAGAAGAAATCTCGCTTCCGTTCCTTCCTCGGATCCTACAGATCATCGGGCACAGCTGAGGGTGTGGCGTAGCTGGGTTGTGCATCACTCGACGCTTGACCCTCGGGTGAGCCGGATCCGGCACTGGGTGGTGTTGATGTTGAAGGAGTCCCCTGAATCACCGCTGATGGGCTGGTGGATAACGTCCCCCTCTCACGCGTCATTACATACACACACACACAAGTATCTGGCAAATCATATTTCGTACGCACTCTAAAAGTCACACGTAATTCATCCCACGTGCCACCACACCTACACCAGCTGCCCGGCAACCTTCATCGGATGCGCCTCGGTATTGAAAACCCACTGGTTCTTCCCCCCAGGACCGCCAAAGACTTGCCACTCGGCCTCGTCCGCAAAAATCATGTACGCATACTTCATGACCTCGGCGAACAAGAAGCTCTCCTGATTGTCGTTGGCCGTCCCGCCACCAGCCACGTTGACGTCCTCCACGGCCGAGAAGCCGCTGCCGCGCCTCGCCGTCGCGTTGATGTTGACAATCGCCTCCCACGCCCATTCGCGGTAGCGCGGGTCCCGCGTCTGGCGGAAGGCGTAGTAATAGCTCTCGAGCACCTCGGGGCGGAGGTCGTACGAGGACGTCACGATCCAGAAGCCGTGTTCGTTGTAGAAAGACAGCTGATCATCCGGCACATTGGACTCATTCCACGAGAAGGTTTCGGGGCCGATGCCCGTGGCGGTTGACGTGTACGTGTTGCGGCAGCCGGCGACGAGTTCGAGGCCGAAGTCGATGTAGTCTTGGCGGCCGAGCACGTTGCCGCCAAGGATGAAGTTGCCGCCATCGAAGCAGGTGAGGTGCTGCGAGAGGTTCACCGTGGATTGGCCGTCGAAAGCGGCGAGGTAGGTGAGGTCCGGCCGCGACGAGGGGTGCGAGGCGAGGTGCTCGATGGACGAGTCTACGGCAAGGATCCAGCTGGTAGGCAGAGAGAAATAAAAAGTCAGTTGCTGTTTTCGTTCATTTCATGCTCGGCGCCATCCATGTACATACCGGTCCTTGTATTCACCAAAGCGCTCCGGGTCGTACATGTACATTTTGATGAGGTACTCGTAGAAAGAGTCATCGCCGCCGTTCCAGCCGCCCGAGGCATCCGTAAAACTGCCATCATCGATGGCAATGTTGGTTCCAACGAGACCAGGCCACGGCTCGTTGTACGCAGGCTGCGGGTTCAGCAAGTACGATTCAGCCTTTTGGGCCAGCTGGGCGTATTCGTCGTCGCCCAAGAGGTCGGACAAGCGCGTCCATTCGAGCACAAGCGTGCCCACGGTTGCGAGGCCATTCGTCTGCGCGCCGTCGTTGCTCATGTCGTCGAGCCAGAGGTTGTTATATGGAACGCCCGACTGCGTGTCGAAGGCGTATTTGAGCGTGTCGGCTAGCGTCTTGGACTGGGCGAGCAGAGCGACGACTTGGGAAGTCTTGTGCTGTCAGCTCAACGTCGCAAAGCACAAGACATGCGGTGCACTCACATCGCTCGCAAGGTCTGAAAGAGGCCCGGTCAACAAATCGTAGGCAGAGAGCATGCCGCCGAGGTAGCGGATGGTGGTTTCAAACAGGCTGACCACGTCTGAGGTGGTGGTGAAGTCAATGGTGGGGATAAAAGCGAGGATTTGATCCACCACCTCCTTGTCCTTCATGATCAGCGCGGTGCTGAGGGCATCGACAGCGCTCGCACCCCAGCCGTTTCTACAGGCGCGTCAGAAGACGCCATCTCGTCGACGTTTCGAGAAGACTTACCTGCTATCCCCGAAGCCATTGGAGACGGGATGGAGCTCATCATGCGGGAACGCATACGTGTAGTAACCATTCCAGGCAAAGTTGAAAGCATCCTTGACTGCATCGGCTTTGCCCGCATAGGTGTCCTCGGCCCTGATTTGGAAGTGATGGGCTTGACGGGGCAAGGCGACTGCGGCGAGCAACTGTGGGGCCAGCAGAAGCAGGAAGCGAGAAAGAGAAGGCGCCATGGCGGGGTTCGAGAACCGGGGAGGGCGGTCGACAATCGGTGCTCGCGCACTCTGGTGAGATGGCTCTATGGCGGACGAACGAAGCAGGGAAGAAGGCAGAATTTAAGGAAGCGGACGGCAAAGCAGGCACATGGCCGGGTTGAGAAAGGGAGACAAAAGAAACATGGGGACTGCGGGCGTTGACCATCCACGGACCAGGCAGACGGCGGCGGGGCGCGCAGGGGAGGTTTGATTAAGCAGAAATGTTATCTCACTAGTTAGACGCGATGCTGAAGGGCTTAATAAGCGAGTAAAACTACTTAAAACTACTCCACACTCCTCGGCCAATCAGAGGCACGCCAAGCATCTTAGCGTTAATTCAGCGTAAAACCCTTAGCATCGCGTCTAAGAGCAAACGGTCGCAATTTATATATAATCTAAAGCAGTAATTTTTTCGAATTATTATAACTTTATAATAACACCCTCTATTATCTTCGTTTCTACCTATAGCGATTCCGTTAACGGTAGACTTTCGTTTCGTATATATTTTATAGCGATGCATATACTAATTTATATCGAAGTATAGTCTTAAAGACGAAAAAAAACGCGTAAAATCTAAATAACTTTAACGCGTCCGCTCGATCGCTCGTATCCACTATATAATATACTATAAGTCCCTCTATTAATACGCTAGGGTTATTCGGCCGCTAAAGAAACTCCTCGCATATAAGATTTACGCGTAGGACGTAGTAGGCGTTAGTATAGAGTCTTATCCGAAGGGGTATTAAAACGTATTTCGACGCGCCCGCTCGATACCTCGTATCTACTATATAATATACTATAAGCCCCTTCGTATATACGCTAGAATTATTCGGTCGCCTAAGAAACCCCTCGTATATAGAATTTACGCGTAGAACGTAGTAGGCGTTAGTATAGAGTCGAAGAGGTCTTAAACCACGCTAGTAAGATATACTACCCGACCCTATACACTCCCTTTAAATAGTTATTATTAGTAGAGACTCTAAACTACTCTAAACTACTCGATACTACTTACTTAAGTATTCTTCTATTTTATATAGCGGCGGCGGGGAATCTAGAGGCCCTAAACTTCTTAAAACTACTTAAAACTACTTACTTAGATATTCTTTCGTTTTTATATAGCGGCGGCGGAGATTCTAAACTACTTAATACTACTTATAACTACTTACCCGGAGTTCTCCCGTTTTTATATAGCGGCGGCGGGGAACCTAGAGGCTCTAAACTACTTAATACTACTTATAACTACTTACCCGGAGTTCTTCCGTTTTTATATAGCGGCGGCGGAGACCCTAAACTACTCGTAACTACTCGTTTACGTATATTAACGGATATCTATATAGGTATTAGTCATAGCACGCCGTAATAGGAGGAAGAAGAAGTCTAAGGAGTAACGGGTAGCTATATCTTCTATATCGTTTAAAGATAACCTTATTAGGCGCATCTAAGCTATTTCTCGCCTCGTATTAAGTATACTTCCTAATATCGTAGATGTAGCGCGTGCCGAGGCGAACGTATATCTATAAGAGGTTATTATTTATACTTATCTTATACGTATCCTCGGTAAAGATCGTAAGCTACGGCTAGAATAGGTTCGTACCCTAAGACGGTTAATATTTTACTATAGTAATACGTTACTTATTATACGTACCGGGTTTAGTAAGAGTTTAATCTTCTATATATTCTCTATTCTAACACGGTATATTACTATCTAAATTATTTCGTTAAGTAAGCTTAGGGAGGAGTAGTTAGGTAATATCCGGCGTTTTAATAGTACTCGGCCGTATCTTATCGAGTATAGATATAACGATAACGACTTAATAAGAGATATTACGGCCGGCTAATATACCTATATTCTATTAGGTCTAGAATAGACCGAGCGGAAGTAGTTTCGAGTAGTAGTAGATAAGCTTAATACGTAGCGTAAGATAGGCATAGTCGCCATTAATAAATACTATCTTATAGAGGAGTAGAAGGACTTTAAACCGGCTTTTACGTATTTAGAGAAGTTACGAGGTAGACTTTACTAAGACGTAGTATAATTTATCTATTTTACTACGTTAACCGATGCCGCGAAGCTAACTATCTTATACGAGATAGAATTTCGTGCTATAGATTCTAAAATATACTAGACTAAGGTTATTAGGACATTTATTAACCGTTTAGATATATCGATCTACGTTAGGCTAATCCCGGTTAGAACGATTAGATTATTTACGTCGTTATACTTCTTACTAGACTAGAGTATCGCTAATAGCGAATATACGCCGTTAGCTATACTAAAGACTATCGTATTCGTCGATAGACTTACCTTCGTTAGCTAGGCGGTAATCTTCCTTCGATAAGCTCTACGCTCTAAAAATTAGTACTATTCGAGTTCGGGGGGGTATTACGATATTTATAATATCGTCTAGGAGTTTACTTCTAAGGTATCCGACTAGAATCGTATCTCCCGATACGAAGAGTTCTATAAACCCGACTCGACTACCCGGATAATAGTCGCAACGATATTCCTTAGTATAGAGGTTAATATTCTAGATATCGAACGTATTATCGTATACGGTTTCCCTATTAGTATAAGTATTAGTAGCCTCTAGTAGAGGTTAGATCGTAGTAGCCGAGAAGAGGGTCGATCTAGTATTAGTATTATTCTATTACTATATTAGATATTCGATTCTAAAGGGCGAGATAATCCTAATATTACTAAGGGGTCTAATAAGTAACGGACGCCCGCGAGACGCTATTAAAGGAACCTCCTACCGGCTAATCGTAGGCGTATACGGAGTTAGTTATAGTATAGTTTTACCCCCGGTAATATTACCGATACCTCTATCTTAGTAGCATCGGATTTTTCGGATAGATCTAACGTGTCTAATAGAGACGGGGGTGCGGTAGTATTAACTTAACTAGTTATAATAGTGCGGTTCTAGACTATAGTAGAGACGAAATAACGAGCCGCGTTATCCGCCGAATAGAAGCACCTAGTAAATAGGCTATACTATAGATAAGCAATTATAGCGTATTTAGGTAAGATAAAATTACCTCGCGGTATACCTATTACTACTATCCCGCTAGAGAGGTATTATAGTGCCTATAATCCTTCGTTATACCCCGTACTTATTAAGGCACCCAGGCCCGAGAAACGTATTCGGGCCCTAAAGGTAAATACTCGCGCGGGATTCGCCTTACGTTTAATTAATAAATAGGCGATAGTCTAGTACGAGAAGCTATACCTTAATTCTCGATTTCCGCTTCCGGTAGTAGTCTATATAGATAATATATATCGCTAGGGATTAGCGTCTATATATACCGGAAAGAAGCCGGCTAGCTACTAGAATTCGCTAATCCTTAAGACCATCGAGGAGAGTATCTCTTTCCTTCTAGAGTAGCCGTATCGCGATAATACTAGTATATCGCTATTAGAGCTACTACGGTTAGCTATCGGGAAAGTAGACTATAAATTTACCTAGCGGAGGGAAGGAAAAGCTCGAGATATAATATAGGCTACGGGCTAAGATTCTTATAGATCTTAAGACGGGGTCTAATAGGCTATATATACGGCCTAAGATAGATTAGCCGCCGAGTTTCGAGTAAAGAATAATAGGCTGGCTATATTAGTAGTAAAGAGAAAGGCCGTAAAGGCTACGGTAGCGTAGTTATCGTCTAATATTCGTAACTAGGTAGAGGGTTTCGTTTATAGGCCTTATTAAGTACTTAATCCACCCCCCGTTAGCGTAAGCGATAATATTATACGGCTTAGACGGTAATTAGAGCGTATTCGGTCGTAGTCGGTAGAGATATATTAACCCGAGTCTATATCTCGATCGGAAGCAACTACTATATAGATAGTAGACTCGTAAAATACGGTGCTAGACTCTTAGCTAGGGGCGGCTACTATATAAATAGTAGACTCGTAGAATACGGTGCCGGACTCTTAGCTAGAAACGGCTACTATATAGATAGTAAACTCGTAAGATATAGTATAGGACTCCTAGTTAGAGGCGGCTATAGTTTAGATAGTAGACTCGTAAGATATAGTACTAGATATCTAGCCGCTAGATACGATAGTTATATCTAAATCCTATAGACGCCGTAGAACGGCGTCGGATACTTCGACTCTATCGAATCGTCTATCGAAATAAAGACGTCTAGTAATACCATCTTAAAGGCCGTTATTAGTAAGAAATAGAAATATAGGGGGTCTTAGACTAATATTTTTACTAAGCTCGTTACGCGGTCGTATACGGCGGGCAACGTCGAAAGAGAAGAAGAATTTTAAGATAGCTTAGTTCTATATAGTATAGTTTATTCTCTAGCGTTAGGTAGTATTAATCGGGATACTAAACTACTTAAAACTACTTAGCTCGGAATCTCCGGTTTTTATATAGAGAACGGTAGGGATACTAAACTACTTAAAACTACTTAGCTCGGAATCTCCGGTTTTATATAATAGACGGTAGGGATATAAAACTACTTAATACTACTTAGTTTAGATTCTCGAGTATACGGACTAGGCTATAGGATATAAGACTACTTAAAACTACTTAGCCTAGATTCTTCTATATTTAGTAGCTAGGACTCCAATACTAACCTTCTCGAGTACTTTAAGAAGGAGAGCGGTAACCCCTATACTTTATATCGTATAGAAACCCTATACGTAGACGACGGAGAAGTAAGACTACTTAAAACTACTTAACCGAGTTTCTCCGGTATTTATATAGGAGAGTATAGAGAAGTAAAACTACTTAGAACTACTTAGCTAGATTTCTCTATAGGAGGTATAGACGAGAGATATAACTTTAGAACTAAATTTTTACTTTAACTATAGGAGGTATAGACGAGAGATATAACTTTAGAATTAAATTTTTACTTTAATTATAGGAGGTATAGACGAGAGACATAGTATTAGAGCTAAATTTATATTACGCGGGGTCGGGGGGCACTCTTCGGAGTTTCTCGCGGCGAGGCGGATAAGATACGGCGGC